CTGGATCTCGGGCAACAGAATTGTTCGGAAGCGACAGCCGAGAGCCCGGAGTCAAAGCAATTTGTCAATCCTTTCTCACGCTCGCACTTTGCATCCCCCTGTAGGATTTTCTCTTTCAAAGCGAGCCACCCCTTCGTGCCGGAGACAGCGACTCGACAAAGCGGCACCCCCGAATCGAACCACTGCTCCTGTAAATCGATACATCGATCAGGATCGCTCGAGACGAACTTATGCCACTCGCGACCCTTGCAATTCCTCCTGGCTCCCGGAGAGAACCTTCCGGTGTTACAGCGATCGCATAAATGTCTCGATCGAGGATAATTCAATGACGTTTGAGTGACTACTGCCCGAGAGGATGCGAATTAAATGCCCGATTTCCCTGCGCCCTGATTTCCTCTCTTCCACCGGCGTCGCGATTGTTTTCCCTGGATTATCCTCCACCGATCCCGTTTCCCCTCGAATAAAAATCGGTACGGTTCAAGGCATAGGGTCGAAAAAAAAACCAGCGAGGGATAAATAATAAGAGGACTTTTGACCGATCCTAAATGTCAAGACGGGAAAAAACCGGATACCTCCCGAAGGGAACAACAAATTTAGTCCCTCCTTTATCCGTTTTAAATGCCCGATTTTCCCTCTTGTGCAGGTAATGCGATTACTTCCCTTCCCAAGGATCTCTTCTCTGAACGAGACCCAATCGAGTTTGAAGCACCGCGGAGAAAAAAAGTCTCGCTTTGGTTGGGAATAAATTTTGAAAATTTAATTTCTTCAGTTTTTTCACGCCATCCGGCATAAAAGGGGTGGATCGCGCATGGGGATGCCGGGAAAAACGAGCAAGGAGTGGAAAATATTTAGTCTCCATAGTTTCGAGGATTACGTCGAAGTGAATCCACTCTAGCGATCGAGGATCGAGGAGGGATGAAAACTCCGTCGATGGCGTTTCCAACGGGGATCCTGGCTCGCCGGGCAGGATTACGGGGAATGATTTCGGCAACAACGAAGGTATCGGATCTGGATATCGTTACGGAGATGTAAAAAGGCCGAAGTGGTGTAATCCGAGCGCCGATTTCGTTCGGTTCGTTTCTACTCCTATCACGGGCCAGGAAGGGGAATCATCCTCGGCCGTACGTGTTCCAGTTATTTGCTTCATCCTTTACACGCAGAGCCCAGGGCGCGGTACAAAACTAGCTCTCGGGAGCAACGTGAATGGAAAACCGCGGGATTTATTTGAGCATCGGTCACTCTCAACAATGCAGGTTCCCTCGGCGATCGCTCTTCCACTTTCTTTACTTATTTCTGACCTATTTCCTGCCGTTCGTTTTGCGCGGCTAACGAGCATCCTTCGGATTTCATCTCGGTAATGATTAAATTCTTCCCGGGGTAACCGCATTCTGCCCCGGGGAGCAAGGCGGGCGTAAAAAATGGCGGCACGATTGCCCCGCCGAGGAATCCATAATTTCGCGAATTTTCGGATCGGCCCCGTCCATCCGGAATTACGGGCCGTTAATTGTGCACGAATTACTTCGGCCACTTCGGACAAGGTCAGCGGACGCGATTTCGACGTCCGAAATCCGAGTTTGCGCCGATTAAATTTTCAACCCCCCAAGTCTCGCGCCCTCCTTACTCCTGGATTAGGCTCGCGCGGCCAATAATTTAGGTGGATCTGTCGAATGTGCAGCCACCGGTGTAAACGGCTCATTAAATCAATCGATACGTCGAGTACTTGCTCGCGCAACAGGCAGGGGATTGAAATTTCCGAGATCCCGGCTTCGAGGGAGCGAACACCTTCCCCGGCACGTCGAGACGATCGGATTCGTCCCGACGCGTGATTTTCAGAATTTCCATTTTTATCATCAACTTGCACCTTACACCTTGAAAGGCGTCAATAAATTTAAGTCAGAGAGATTGGATCCGCGGTCACGGGACAAGGAATTTCTCAAGTTGCAGTAATTTCATCCTTACTTCTCGAGTCTCTTCGACCGGTTAACCGATCCCCGGGTCTATTGGCCGTCAAAGAATTCCCGAAATTCCTCTGGGTAGGAACCCTTCGTCGGGGTCCTCGTCGAGGGTCAAGGATCCGAGGGAGCCGGAGATCGATGCCGGTAATTTCTGAAATTCCCACGAAAGCCGAGTCTCTCCTATAGTAGATTTTCCATATACAACATTCAGAGGTGTCAAAATTAATTTAAAATATTTTTCACATAGTTTTCCATCTTGAGGGAAGCAGAATCGAGGGTGGAGAGAGGTGTAAAAGGTATCCCTCGGCCTGGCCATAATTTTCCAATAGGGGCACAAGCCTCCGCGGGGTCGGATCTCGCAAATGGCGAGTTCGTCGGTCCATTGAGGGGCGCGAAATGGGGTGGTTCGGGTCCCGTAAGAAGGTTTCCCAGGGGATAATTCGAGGCCACTCCTGGCCACTCTCGGGGCTTCCCTCGGGAAAGGGCGAAGACGTCGCGGCGACTCGCGACCGCGACTCGGCGACCGTCTCGACCGGGCGTGACGAGAGCTTTCGGTCGATATCTTGAACCTCGTTTGACCCGTATTTCATACCTCGGAGTTCTAAGCGGCTTGTCCTATTTACTCTCGCCCTGTGTGTGTCAGAGGGCGACGCGAGGGTCGGCAAAGCGAGAGGCGCGAAAAGCGAGAAGCACGAAAAGCGAGGAAGGAGAGGCGAAAAGCGCCTTCTCGGCCTCTAATCGGCTGACCGACTCCGGTTATCCCTCGGGACCGATGTTGTTTTATATCGGATCGAACCCGATCGACCGTGCCCTCCTTCAGGGGGTGGGTTCCGCGGGAACCGTGCAACCCCCGGATAAGAGGGCGCGGATTGACTCAACGACGGGACTTCGGAGAAAATGCGCACCCTGGGCCCGCGTGCTTCCAAGGTCTCGCAGATAAATTCTCATCCAAAACGTCCGACTTCCATCCCCGTCGCCGTTCACCCTCAGCCCTTAATCGGGCCGAAGAATCGTCATCCACTCCGGGCGCCGCCGAACTGGGGGCCAACTTCCTGCCCTCGGCAGCGAGTTCCGAAACGCTAAGTGGTCAATCCCGGGCGAATGGCAAGACTTAACTTTCGGCATTGAAATAATGAGTTCCGGGCCCGGTGGGATTGGCTTTCTTCGAAAACACTGTTTCGCCCCAGTTCCGGCCGATGAGCGGTCAGTCCTGCAGAGGTTCCAACTCGGTTAACGAGAGCCCCTCTTCTCTCCTCCTCGCTCCCTGTTTTTCCTCGCAAGAATTAATCGAACGAATGGCCGGTTTCCGAGGGAGCGTAGAAAAAGATCCGAAGAATTAGAATAGCGTCCCGATAAATTAGTTCCAGTCCCAGGGTGCGGTTCGTAGAGTTCATCTTGGTGGCGAGTAAAATCCGCCTGGGCCTTGATCTTGCATTCGTGCTCATCGCCGTTCCAGGACCCACCGCGTTGATTGTGCGCTCTCGTGGATTAAAATCGTCTCGGGAGCAAGTGGTCCTTAACATTGACCGTGGCTCCTAGAATCTCGGACGATCCTCCTCGGCATATGAAACTGCCGTGAACGAACGTCGAGGGCTCTTAAAGCTTCCGCAATTTTCCGTTCGAGATGAAACTTTGATGGACGCGGGAGCGACTCGCCGGTCCGCCGATCCTAAGACACGTATGCGCCTCCTCGGGCACAGAGAGCCGAGCTTTTTCTCCGGGTAGCCGATTCGCATGCATGCATGCATGCCTGCACCCCAGGATCCCGGCATCTCTCGTCCCAGCATCCCGGCTCCAGAGGGGCGCGCCTCTCCTCGTTTTCCTTTCCTCCTCCTTTTTAGCCTTCCCTTCTCTCGGGGGTATTCGACGGTATGTTCGCGCAGTGCTCCCGGGTGCTCGCCGGGTTGAATCTTTAACCTGGGCGACGCAGCCTGTCCGAGATTCGAGTTGCCCCGGCTAGTCGCTCCTCTAATATTCACTCCTCGCCGAGGGGTCTGACCTACGAAAAATGGTCCCGCAGTGTCCTGGCACCTAACGAAACCCCTGGACCTCCAGCCACTCTCTACTGAAAGGTGATCCTTGAAAATTTTAAAGAAAGTCCTTAGAAACGCCCTCGGTCTGCAGAGGCTCGTGATATTCCATTACCGATCCCTCTTTCGGTGCTACCGGGCGTATATCGACCCGCTGGGGTTGGTCTTGCTCCTTCCGATCGAGTCCCCACTTTCCCTCTGATTCGAATTAGTCTTTCACTTAAGCACAGGGGATGCGGCACCGCATGGTGGAGCGAATGGTTTCTCTGCACGCTCCATATGTGCCCTGGTCGTCCTCAAAACACGGGAGTTGTTCGGCACAATTCTCAAAACCACCCCTTCGTCTTGTTCTTCCGTCTCGCCCGAAAGCTCTGCATTTCCTGTCAGCGAAATTTCGATATTCACCCCAAAAGATGACGCGATGTCATTACCGATGATGCCGCATCGACTTTCCAGGGTGATTTTTCTCTATCGATGGGGAACGCCGAGTCTCTCCGTTGGATCGGCAGATTAGCGTGTTGGCGGTACATCAAAGAGCATGCAAATCCGATTAGCGGCTAATAATGAATATGAGACCGTCCCTCGCGTCCTGGGACAATCTCTAAAATGATATTTCAGGGGATCGGTACCGAGACCAGCCACCGTAACCTCTAATGGGATTATCTGTCGCAACTGTGAACGCTTCCGATATTCCCCTCCGCCCTTTTCGCATCCTGTAGATCGCATTTGCCCAATTACAGTGCGAGAATGTTGCGTTTATTTCCAGCTCATGGTTCCATGAAATTCAGTCATCGCAGAAATGACGGGGGCCGACTTTGCCCGGGGCATCGCCAACCCTTTGTTCCTCGGCGAAATGTTTTCCGAAGATATTAGTCACTGCTGAAAGGAGAACGAGGGGAGAGTTAAATTCCCACTTATTCCGTAAACCAGAAATGGCGCGACTTGGAATATGGCAATTTAATGATTTTTCTCTGAGTTTATTCCATGCACGTTCGGGGAAGTATTCACCCGGTTTTCAATGCTCGTCAAATGCGTCTTCCAGGGCGAGCTCAATGGGGGTTGTAAAGCGACTGTTTCGACGAAAAGGTTCGATGAAGTTGCGACGCTTCTTCGGGCCGGCCATGTTGCCTCGGTCTAGCTGCTCCTTGTAAAATGTTCGCGCTCCGCCGGCGTACAAAGGGTACTTCAAAAATTTCTGCAGCAGAAAATAGAGTGAGGTGTATCCCGAGATGCTCGTGACATGTAACTTAAAGGTAACGATTTAAAGAACCCCGGCAAGACGAGTGGCAGGTTCATTACACGGGCTGCAAAGAGGAGAGCGCACGAGGCCATGTAAATTTCCTCGGAACTCCTTCTTTACCCGGGAACTATTTCGCAAAGTATCGCAAAAGTGGTTTCAAGATCGAGGACAAGCCGCTTTGCTCGCCGCTCAAAGAGGCGAGTGCTCTTCGAATTTTCGACGATTAAACTCGCGAGTAAATTCCCGAGTCTCCTGATCCTTAATAATTCCTAACGATCCTCAACCATTTGTAACAAGGTAGGGGTAAATAATTCTTTCGTTTCCCCGGGAAAACCGACGAGTTTCGAGGAAATCCGTGAAAATCTTTCCGAGGCCGAAGACGAGTCGCTCGACGGAGCATTGCTCGTCGCTCAAAGGGAGACCATATTTCACGCTTATTACGCAGAAAATAAGAACGCCACTTCCCGAGCCCGGGACGCGGATTACGAAGTAAAAATGTTAACGCGGTGGAATAGTTTGCGAATTATCTCGAGGCGGCCCAGAGGCGCGGGACCAAATGCCTTCCCCTCGTCCCCGGCTCGGATCGCGCGAGCCACGAATCAAAAAGAAGCCTTCGAAAAAGCTTCCTTTCAGAGCTTTCGGCTACCATTCGATTGCGCGATACGCGGATGCATTTGCGGCGCATCGGTCGTGTCTCACTTTCCCGACTGACTCCGTCGTGTTTCAGCGGGAGAGGGCTCTCGCAAAGTGCGCTTTTTTCCTCTCGACGAGTAGTCGATCGAACGAGCGAAAAAGAGGCGATCCTGCAGGAAACTATGCCCATTTCCGATACCATGTGGCGAGTGAACCGCGACTCCCTACCATTTTTCCCCATTTTATCGACGAGTAAATCAGAAAACGTAAGAATAATGTGTAATAAATTAATGTCGCCGGAAGATGCTCACGCTCTCGTCGTATTCCGGATGGTCCATTAGGGGTGTAAAATTAATGTCGCAATAGTTGTCGATGTATTCCGTGAAGCAGTCGTTTTCCAAGGGAACGCCGGCTATCATTTCGTCTACGGTCTCTTTTGAGACGAGCAGGTTGAGGTACTTCTTCACCAATTCCCTGCGACGTCCTAATTTGAAGTAAAGAACGGATGCTCGTGTAGCTATCTAATGAAGAGTATATGTTTCCTAATATTTATTCTCGTCTCACCGATTAATTGCACCTCGTCGTCCTGTGGTGGTCGAAACGACGATTTTGTCTCGGTACGCCACTCGTTCGCGATTTTCGTTGGCGAGTTTCTCGGCGAATCGTCGACGATGCATTCTCCCGAGTGATCACGTCCATTTACCGACCTCGCCGACATTCTTCATAGCAGCTCCGTAACTCTCACAAAGAAATGCGAAAGTTTAAGGGAAGTCTGATGCGATGAACTGGTGCAGTCTCCGGGATTTGTTTGAATGTAGTTATACTTACGGGAAGCCGATTAGAAACCTAGATATTTGATCGAAATACCCCGGTCTCCATGGAAACGGTTGTCGCCTAACAGGAAGAAACGTGTACGATGTTGCGGCGGTTGCCGTAAGATGGTAGCACTTTAGTGCGAATCATTTTTCCACCGGGGAGAAGCTTCTCTGGGGGTCGCTCTTCCCTTCTAAAAAGTAGTCTGCTAGGTTTGCTGCAGATTCTTGGGTACTTTGAATGATTTTTTCTGGCAAGGGATATTGGAGTAAAAGAAATTTTGGATAAAATCGAAGAAAAATGGCTACGGCGGCCAAAACTGGTCCGCAGGATATGCCTCCACCTGGAGGGTACGGCAATATTACGTACGAGCGAGTCAAGTTAAAAACCATCATCAGAGGTAATAATTGGCACCGTAAACACGTACTCATAGTCTCGTTAACGTAACTGTACGAATTTCGGTTTCCAATTTTCAGGCCGCACGATTCTGGGATTAGTATTAGGATCCATTGCCATTGGAGCTACGATACTGTCCAACACTCTGAGACGGAGGAAAACAGAGAAACGTGAGGTTCTCAGTGGATACTTTGCTATTTATCCACTGCTTCTGGCGGAAAAAGAACGAAGGCATGTTCTAATTCTATATTTAGCACAATAAGGATATATTAGATCATTTAACGGACCCTTTGGGTTTATTTCGACACTATTATTTAGGAAATAAAATGTTATGCAATTTTAACCGTTCACATGGGTATTATTGTAAGTTGTTACTTACAGGGTTTTAAAATATTTACATGGCTTGCGGGCCGAGGAAGAAAAATTGATGCGTAACTTCCCTGAGTGGGAAGTCGGTACACTTCTTGGAGAACCGATATACAAGACGATACCAAAAGAGCAAGTGATAATCCCAACAGAACCAGAATGTTACATGCATTCCGATCCCGAGGAGTCGAAATTCCGTAGGACATTCTGGATGTACCGGTAAAATTACACGATACGGTAGTCTGAGCTTCGGTGTAGATAAGGAAGTGTTAAAAATACATCTTGTAACGTCTTTGAAGGATTCTTTCTTTAAAGATTTTATGTGTTATCTATTTAGTCTAGCAGTAATATCGTGAATATTGATGGTAATAAAGTTCTGCTTTGTCGATTACACTCGCTTCATATTGTAAACTTAAAGATCGATTGCTTAATATTTAGTTCACAAACAGGGCTGTTATTTATCATTGGTCTTTAATTATTTCAAATGATCGGCATTGTGACTTGCAATACTAAGTTTGCGTTATAATTTCAAATACAATGGCCTGAGGTATAACTACAGGTAGATTTATAAAACAAGAGATTTGCCGTAACATTAAATGGAAAATCATAGACTCAATAATTAGAGACCTACTAATTGAAGGCTTCGATTCCTTCGCTGTTGCATAGGTATAGCCATATTATTATGAATTTCTCTCTGCTGTAGTCAGTTCCTGACGAATATTCTGTTTAGTTTCTTATAGTATCCAGGAACTAGAGCTGAAATTGTACTAGTATTTAACTTAGAGAACAATGGACAGTGTCGGAACAAAAATTTCACTCAGACCTATTGAAGTTAATTATCATTTAAGTGTGAGTCTAAAAATAATTCAGTATATAGGAACATGGCTTCCTAAAGGAAAACACCGATCAATGTATAAATTCTACACAATTTGTAGTTGCATTACCATACTAGGAATCTATCTGTTCGTCCAAATTGTGAATTTAATAACCATTTGGGGAGATATTGAGAAAATGGTAGCTGGAGCATTTCTCTTGATGACAAACACAGTACATGCCTTGAAGGTTTGAAATTATGTTACTTATCATTGCCAAAAAATGATACATCGATTCAACCAGATGTTTCATTCAAGGTAGTTGTCATATTGCGTTGTCAAAAACGAATTCAATTACTACTGGATACTGTCAACAGCGAGATGTTCAATCGATGCAATGATAAATACAAATATATTTTGAATTATTACACATGGAGTGGAATATTTCATCACATTGCATACCAAAGTTTTGGAACTGTCGCTGTTGTATGTTGGGGGTTTACACCAATTGCAAACATAATAACAGGAAAAGGGAGACATTTACCGATGGATGGCTGGTATCCATACGATACTACAAAAACCCCAGCTTTTGAAATAACCTGTTTACATCAAAGTGTGGCTGTTATAATTGGATGCTTTCACAATGTTGCAATGGATACACTAGTTACGGGTCTTCTTACCGTGGCATGCTGTCAATTGGAAATTTTAAAATGTAATATTTACTCGTTGGGAAAGCAAGAACATTCCGAAGAATTTTCAATTTCTGAAGGAATAAAAGATCAAGACAGCCCAGAAACAGTTCTTTATACGCTTAAAAGGCACATTCAACACCATAACGTAATTATCAGGTTAGGTTCCTTTCCATTTGACAGGTGTTAAATGAAAGCCTTATTTTTAGGCCCTACTCATAATTTCAATTTTTGTAGTTTTGTGAAGGAAATTGAAAATATTTTTGGGACAACGATACTACTGCAATTTTTTGTGAATGGTTTTATTATTTGCATATCTTCATTTCACATAGCACAGGTGATTTCATAACGACCAGTACGACTTAATATTGACATTTTTAATATTGCAACATTTTTTTTAATCTTCTCATAGATGAAAAGTTACACTGCACCAGAATTAATCGGCATGACAATGTACATGTGTTGTATGACATATCAAATCTTTATATACTGCTGGCACGGAAATGAATTGTACCTTCAAGTGAGTTGTCATAGTTTCACGTCACATAATGATATACATATATCGAAAAATGATTAGAGGTTTTGTTAGAGTCAAAGCGTAGCACTCTCTGCATATTCCGGAGCATGGTGGAATTGCAGTCAACAATACAAGCGCAGTTTACTGGTAATTATTGCCAGAGCTAATAAGCCATTCAACTTGACAGCAGGAAATCTAATGACAATTTCGCTAAAGACTTTTATGGAAGTAAGTCTTTCGATAAATGATAACCTACATTGATATCACTGATCTTACGTTACTAATTAGAAACCTGCTTGTAGATATTACGGACATCGTACTCCCTCTTTACCGTTCTTCAGAGTACAACGATGAATTAAATCTAGTTCGAAATTATCCGAAGCAGTATTGACGATAGCACATGATTATGACAATTGAAAACCATTCATTATTAAAGGAAAAGATTAACTCACAACTTCTGAAAGTCTTGAAGATCTTACTAACATTGAATATTCCTTGATAGGCTTTAAACGGCTGTAAATCATAAGACATACATAAGAGCAGTAAATGATAGCCTTAAACAACAAGCAGATCTTGAAAATAAAAACCATAAGTTGCTGTTAGTACTAATAATATGCAATTAATATAGTATTAATAGAACTAGATCCGTGAAGTGGATAAAATTAATACGCGATACGTGATTAAAAACAGAACGCACAACGCGCAAGAAAGAAATTAATAATCTTGCTTGTGCGTGATGTTTATATACTTGAGCAGAGGAGTGCAGTAAAAGAAAATACTCATTATTTTATTAAGAAACGAGTACCACTTTAATTTTAAATCAATATATCGGTGTTAGTGTAGATATATTGGTACCTTACAAATTAGAATGCACTGTCACGTATCTGTTTCCTCATAACAAATGAAAGCACTAAGCAATACAAAGCAACACATATTACATTATTGCTAGTCTTATTATAAAAGAGTCATTACTACTTCACATTTTATTTCTAACACATTACCCTTTAAAGAAGTTAAAAATTGCTCTACATTATTTAGACGCATCTTCGAAGTGTCCTTTTTGCAATACACTGTTAAAATTTTATAAAGCAATAGCCTTGGTGCATGTTTTTAACAGAATCTTTAGGTTTTGGCGTCCGAGCTCTCGGCATTAGCACTAACATCTTCCTCCTTGTCTTCGACTTGATTGACAACCTCTTCCTTTATCTCTGGCTTAACGGACAGTGTTTGCTTCTGCACTTTGACTTTTTTGGGGATTTCCGGTTTCTCCCTTTCGTACATAAACGTTTTCCGTTTTCGTTTTGCTGGCTTGCAGACTTTCTTGTATAATATTTTCATCTCTTTTATCCTGCTGCTCTGTATTGTCCAATCCATTTCATTGGATGTCATGTCTGCATTTCGTGTAGGATCTAACTCACCTTTATATTCTGGGATTTCTAACCCTAACTTTTTCATTATCCTCATAATAACGGTATCAATGTTTCCATTTATTATTAAGTCTGCTTTTTTGTCCTACAAAGGTGGGTCATCTGTAATGTACTTCATCCTGCATAAAATCAACCGCAACATAATAAATATTCTTACATGTTTTGTTGGTTGAAGATTACAAATCACAAGACGGCCACCATATTTTTTTGTATGTAGAGGTAGATTACCACTTGGAATTATTTGGAGAGTCGTTCCTATGCATATGCTTAAGTCTGCAACACTGAAGATACAATATAAAGAATAGTCTATGCATTTCATAATGCCGATAATTGTCAATTTATTATATTCAGCTCTACCTGGAATGAAGATCAGATAATGCGAGATCGTTATCTGGCAAGTTATGTTCCCAGTCAAGGATCGTGTCGTGCATGCGGCCACGACACGGACGTCCACCGATCTGTTCCGATCTGCACACCGTATCTAGGTACTTTTTACCAACACTTTTGGTAGCAAAGTTACGAATAAATTGCCTGAAAATTTCATGTCTCAAGTAGCATTCAAAGAATTATCAATTCTTAATAGTACACATATGGCAATTATTCACAAACCTTCCACATTTGTCGCATTGCTCAACAAACATATTACCATGTAACTCTGCAAGATACTGCCTCGGAATTCCAGAACGAAGATGCAAGCCATCAATGTTCTGGCTTATTATAAACTTTACTTTGTCTGCAGAAAAAATGTATAAATTTTCATTTGGTGTAAAGGAAAAAAAAATGTGTTCCTTAAGAGCGATCACAAATGATCTACTTACTACTTTCAACAAGTTTTTTTAGTGCCATGTGCGTTTTTGTAGGAATTGCTTCGTCGAAAGCCACATTCATTTCTGGTTTTAGGCCCTTTTGCTCCAAAGTCCAAACACCATTCGGACCCCTAGCGTTATCGTAATAATTCTTCAATACTCAAGAAATCCTAATATATTTATCTTCTACCATGGTTAGGCTTTCTCGAGTAAAAAAATTACAAAATGAAATTCACAGACGTTAATGAAACGTTCATCCTATGGCACCAATTAAAGGCAAATAATTTCCATAGAACGATTTCGGAATGACTAAATTTTTCAAACCGTCACAAGATATAAATTGGATACTAGTTAAAAATTCGACATAAAAAGTAAAGATCGCCGATTAATCCCTGAATATTTTTAAAATTTCAGGTAAATGGACCAGAGGTCCACACCATAGAAGAGAAAGAAATATCCCAAGTGCATAGAAAAATCTCCAAAAGGGGCCAGAGATAAAGTGAGGAAAAAAAAATAATCTCCATAAAGTCATAATAAGATTATTTTTCATGAAAGTTAGGTCGGCCATTTTCACGTGTTCCAGCCCCCTCTTTCGTGTAAACAAATAAACCGGAGCGCCAGAGTGGGGAGGAAAACAAAACGTGGCGATAGCACGTGTATAGGTAAAAAAAAACTGGAAGAAAAAAAAAGGAACGCAGGAGAAAGGAGTTAATCACCGGAAATCGGGGATGCCGGCCGCGGTGCTGATACCGGCGCCCGTGTGCACGACGACGTGCCTGGCCGCCTGTATCCACTCGGTGAGCAGGTCGCACTTGAGTCGTAGGGTGTCATCCGTGTCGTACTTCTGAAAGGCGAGAGCGAAGCCGAGTCAGGTGAGCAACGCCATTGTCGGCGGGCGACCTATCGATTGCGCTTAGAAAAATACGAGGGAAACCGCCGCTGAGTTTCCGCACTTACCTCCTCGAGGCCCAGCTTGCCTTTGTTCTCGTAGGGCGACAGGCCGTCCGCGTAATTGCACGACATCTTCCGACGGGTCTCCCGGAGCTGGCAGGGTCGACGTCAAGGCGATTATTCAAAATCTGCGCCCGCGGGTCCTCGGTGTCATTTACCTCTCAGGCGAGGCTGGCTGGCGGGCTCGGAGGCATTGACCACAATGGCAGCTCGCGCCGATTCATTTAGGCGCCACAGGTGACGTCGAACGATTCAAAACACGCGGACCGGCCACGAAAACACATCTTTCTGACCCGCGCTCTCTACGTGCAACGCGAATTTACATCCGACACGGTTGCACACCATTCCGGGTGCATTCGACACCGTTGCACACAGAGCTCCTTGGCGTTACACTGACAAGGCGGACGCATGCGCCGACGCCCAGGTTGGCCAACCTCGCGGCCGGGAGCGCGAGGAGACTGGAGAACAAAATGGTGGCGCGCGTCGATGCCTCGCGAGCCATTATGGCGTGACCCGCTTTCTGTCCCGATTTTCCTCATTTTCCTGGCGGAACGGATGACGAAGCAGACCTCGATTATTAAAATATGAACCCTCCATCCCTCTCGACCGATCTCATCTTTCCGTTTAGACAAGGCTCTGGGTACGCGTCTAATATCAGGCAACATTTTTCTAGGTGGACCAGGAAGAGGGAGATCCAAAAGCGATTGAGATTATGGAGTCATGGTGAGGATCGGAGGGGTGATTCGATTATATAAGGCTTATAATCGGGTCCGTTCCTTCCGGAGGAGTATGTTTAACTGAAGCGTTTGGTGAAAAAAATCCTGTGTTGCAGTTTAGACACGACCAGCCGTAAAATCGGCTCTTCTTTATGGTGGCGCTGCAGGTGTAATAAAAGTTTGCTTTAGACGCCCACGTTTCTGCAGTCAAAATAGAGACTGTAGGAACGTCGGGGAATGGGGCATTTAAGCGGGAGGAATGACTCTCGATTGCAGAAATACGAAGGAGAAAATCCATTTAATTCGGAAGCGACGATTTCCGATGTTTCCAGAGTTACTTGTTTTCCTTTGTGCCTCATTTGTCTCGAAAATCCTGCACGTAGCCATGTAGTGACATACGTGATCCAAATGGGCGCGTGCGCGACTGCAGGGATACCAACGTTACTGGTTGGACTCTCCTCGAAATTGTTTTTCAATAGTCGAACGTTTTCTTAACGACGAGCATAAAGTGCGCAAAGGTTACCGAAAGACGGCCGGAGTCATTGTCACTGTAGCGATGACCATGACTATAAATAATGATGCATTTTACAGATAAACGGAGATTTCTTTATCTACCAATTAACAACGGGTTGATTTAACATCTTTATTTCGTAAGAGTTACAGAGAGCCATATAATTTATTTAAATGCTTAATCAACAGGTATACCGGAATGCCTACTATGGTAAAGTAGTCTCCTTCGATTTTCTCTACCAAGCACCCACCGATTCCTTGGATGCCATACCCACCAGCTTTGTTCCTGAAATGCAACATTTTTAAGACATGGAAACAATACGGAAGTATATAAATTTGTATTTGTCGTACAGTGGTTCACAGGTCTTCACGTAGGCCGATATCTGCTCCTCTGATACATCTCCAAGTCTTACTTTAGAAGAATTGAAAAATTTAATTTCCGTTGTTGGAGTTTTCAAACAAACTCCAGTGAATACTATATGTTCCTTATTAGCTAAACTGTAAGAAACGATTTTCATTTAAATAACTTTTTATGCAAATTTTAATAGTTCCATACTCTGTTCCCTATTTTAGAAGATAACATAATCTGGTATGTTTTACCTAGATAACATTCTAAATGCATCGGTACTATCCTTTGGTTTTCCATAAATAATATCTCCCATAGTTACGAGCGTGTCTGCCCCAATTATCAATGAAGGAGGAACGGAGTCATTTTTTAAATCATTAAATACATAGAGTACTTTATGGTATGCCAAGTCTTGCACGTATTCTCCGTGACCTTTGTAGTTATTTCTGTCGAGGTTTTCATCGAATAACGATGGTACTATTTCTACATTTACACCCTATACAGATTATAATATAAAATCGTTAAAATAATAATGCAAGTTTCTACACTACAGAATTCTGTATGGAAAAATGTGAAACGTGAAATATGCAAATAAGTACCAAATTCCTCATTATTTCCCGCCGTCCTGAAGAGCCACTGGCTAAAACAATTCTGCCCCCCGATAGAGCTTTTATTGTTGGTTCTATCATTTTTGGAGTAAAATTCACTTATTAATATCGACAACTTTTAGTTGATCTGTTCAATCACACTTTTCGAACAAAGGACTGATTGCTTGACAAAACCAGACAAAACAAAACGGCGATCAACGAATCATTTAGTGGGAAATCTGTGATCCGTTTTTACCGCTCACTTCTATGCAAATTTCATTCTTAACAGATTCAAGCAATGATTGGTGATTTCCGATGTACCCTCTTTTAGGAGGCTTATAAAAAGGAAATTAACCAGTTTTGTAGATCTCCCTCTGTTCATAGGGATAGAGAAAAGAGAAGGAAGTGAATTACGTCCACATGTCCGCCATTTTGTAGAAAATGGCCGGTCGACTGCTAGCAGAGATGATCTCTGCTAGCTGTCTGTTAATCGCTCGAGTTTAGCAGAGTTTAGTTCCAAACTGTAATTTTCATTGACCGTCAGTCAATTTGTTGCCGACGAACTTTTACAAAAATTTGTAGGAAACTGTGGCTGCTTGTAACTTTAAATTATGTGTTTAAACACGATGAATGTTTGTCAAGTGTCCTGAAAAATTCCTGCTAAGATTTGCTTACGTTCCGACAGTGAAATAACCTCAATTTCCAGAATGTTATTATTTTCTGTTAAGAAGTAGGAATTACAGAGTATCGTGACGATTCTTCTTACCTGTAGCACCACATGTATCCGAAAAAGGTAATTATTTGTAAATAAATTCTTGCTGATAGGTTAGTTGTGTTGTCAACACCTTTGACATTCTTTCTATTTAGATGCTCTGATCGTTAGATACTGATCTACAGGCTTGTTTTCTTTCAGGGCATTCGGACGCAGTACGATGAAAATCATTTGGGAAAGTCGTATGATCGTTGTGCTTATTTAAATTGTTACAAAGGGAAGTACATGGGAGTACAGTTATTTAGGTTTCCTGCGAAGGACGATCGTAGGCAAGAAATATGGATAAAGTGCAGTGGTATGTGGTTTTATAATCTTATGTTTGATAGTCTTTATGAAGGAAGGATAATGATGGAGAAGAACACGTAGATTATTTTTGTTAGGGAATCCTCGGGTGCGGACCTGGTCGGGCACGACCATAAGGAGGGCTGGACTATGCGGAGATCATTTTACGGCAGAAAGCTTTACGGATGGAACTCGTAAAAGATTAAAGCGCTATGCCGTTCCAATACCTTATACATTAACAAACAGCAAAAACTTTCAATCTGAAAGCATCATGGCAGCATCGGATTGGTTGACAGTACAAAATAAGATAAAGATGGATGAGCCAAGGACTTCTGTTCCGGAGCAACAAGTTATTGAAAATGTGGATCAGCCTGGTAAAATAAAATTCATGCAAAAGACAACTGAATCTAAGCCTTTAGAATATACAATACAGTACGAGAACAATTTAACTTTGATTACATCTGAAAGTGATTCTTGGGTAAAGCAATCAAGTAGCGTAGAAGAAGATGCAACCACTCTTATGACACTCCTAGATGAAGTAAATAGCGTCAATGGACCCATACCTCAGTATCACACGAAAAGAACGCTTAAATCAAAAGGATCGGAATCTTTGCTTAAATTGGGAAAGGCTTCGAAGCTTAGGAATATTAAATATACTCGCTGTGGTTCAAACATTTGGAATGATGGCATAAGTGTGGGATGCTCTTCGGAATTAGCTAGAGAAACTCTAGAAAAGCTGAAACAGCAATATCCAAACCGTGAGCTGAAAATTATGAAAATCGTAAGACCCGTGGGATCGAACAAGGTACACGTGCAAACTATAAATCAGGAGCAGCTTAAAGCGGAGACAGACAAAAATTCCAAAATAAGAGCCAGTCTCCCGGAAAGGCGATTGATACAGTACCCTGAGAAAAAGGTAAAAATTGTAAAAATTGCTAAAACGGATGACCAGAATAAAACCTTCCCCAACGTAGATTTGCACAGTACTAAAGTTACACAAAATTCAGAGATTTCCATCTCCAATAATGAGTCCGATAGTGCCGATAATTCAGTTTTGTTCCCTGCAAAGGGTACATTAACGTTACCAAATCATAAAGGTGCTGGCACTCCATTGAACCTAGTTTCCGAGATCGATAACAAAAGTTCTTGTAGCGAAGAAACTTGCACATTACAAATCAAGACAAGTTCCAATCTGCAGGAGTTGCAGGACAAGTATAAAGAATTGGAAAGGAAAAACGCTTCTCTTCAGAAGACCATAAAGGAGTTAAACGTGAAGTTACAAGAAGCACAGGTACCTAGGTACAAGCTGAAGATGCAGGTGTTTGCTGTTAATTAATATTTGTATTAGTAATTCACGAGGTTAATTTTATTTTCCATTACCTAATTTATCTAAAAGAATAGATAGAATTTTGATACGTTATGCAATAACCATAGGAGTATAACTCCTTTATGTGATTTCAGCCGTTTCTTAGGAGTAAGTGTATCTTCCTCTTGAAGAGGGAACGTAAATGTGTTTTGTAAAAACCATTTGTAACATAACGCATGTAATTACAGCTTCTATTTGCCGTGAAAGAACGTGTCGATCTCTGTATCATAATTCACAAAGTTTAATGGCAACAACTTTCCAAGCATCGTTTATTCTCTCAAACTTTCAGATACATTCTACTCGTTGAGCAGGAAGGGTGCCGCATGGTGCATAATTCTTCTCTAACACAGCCTTAAAATACAACCACTTGTTTGATTTTGACCTTGCGATCTTCCTCGGGTGAACACATATGATAAAGATGAGCGGAAAGATAGCTCACGACAATATCGTATTGTATGCGATAGTTTAGCTGCAAAGTTTCCACGGCAAATCCCGAAATGCCCCTACGAAAGTACTAATCAGTAAGTAGTATATCTCGTCATTAGGATCGCATCGTCTCGTCATAAATAACGCTTAAAGTAATCACGTGGAGTTGAATTTTTATTGTCGGACATTCGATTGTCTAAGTCCCCTAGGAAGGCGCATCTTTAATTCTCAAACGGTTCTCTTCGCTACTGGAGGAACTTGCACTGGAAAACAGGATACTCGGCTAGGAGGAGCGCTGCTAAGACAACTCGTAACTCGTCCACACTATTTCTTATGACTAGTAGTTAGCATTTGATTCGATAATTAGGGATAGTTGTAAATGAATGCGTTACCGATGACACTGATTCCGTTTCACGAAGAGCAGTGTACCTACGCGAGAGAATGATACGATGGAATGCATCATCATAAGAAGTATCAACAGAGATGAGTAAAAAGTTCGCTAAATCGTTCCTTTAGGAGGAAAATGGATCTTAAATTTACGTCGTCACTGCTTCACAAGCAGTGTCTGAACTGGGACTACGCAAAATGCTTCCGGTGAGTTAGTTTAGTCGCTTCGTTGGTAGCGGTGTCTTTTTTCCCTTTAAAATAATATCTCCTCTCTCTCCTATGAATTACTCGAATTAAGGCCAATGCGTCGAGAGCGGTACTTATTTTTAAAATCATATTAGCAGGACGGCTTACGTATACCGTCGTTAAAAGTCGCATTATCTACACGGCTAGATGCTAACTACGAAGCATCTAGTACTCGGCAATGGCTCTTCAAGATGCCTGGTATTTACACGCTCTCTTCTCACGGTTTCTCGACGTTATTGCTAATTTATATTACACTTGTTTAAACAATCGCTAGCGCAATATTTTGTATCTTGAGCGGTGAATTTCAGCGTGACGTTTAAAATGCGTCCAGGCGTACGTAAGGCGTATTAATTATATCGGTATTGAGTGCGTCCATCTTCCCAGCGTCGATGCGGGAAACGTCAGTTTTGTTCGAGTAAAAAATTATTCTCTGTTAGATCTCGGGCTTGCTGGGCAAGTAATTGACGTTCGTCTGGATCGGACTGTTTATAACTTGCAACGGTTCTTTCAGCATTTCCTCCTCCATACTGTGCAGCGGCTCCGTGCAGTACTCTTGTCCGCAGATCTTGCAGGCCTCGAAGTCGGGTTTTATGGAATTCCTCAGTTTCTGTAAAAATCGTATCGATGCCGTGAACGGATCCTCGAGGTACGAGCTCGCTTTTGGGTTTCTGAAGGAATAAAATGTACCTCCGAGAAAGTCTTGCCTTCGGCCCTGAGGAGAACGTAAACGGCGAAGGCAGGAATGCACACCAAGGAAAGCGACGCTATTCCCCATCCGATGGTTTCCGCCCACCATGGGTATTTGTAGTCTCCATTGTGATAAGTCGGTGGCTCGTAATCTATTAAGCTGAACACCCACACTGCCTGGAATTGCGAAATGATAACTTACTAAGATTTAGGACGTCCGGGTGTCGGGACGAATTCTTCGCCGGATGACGCCATCGCTCGTCGACGAGGCATTCTCTTATACGGGGAAAAAGAAATTCTTCCCTGGACGGAATCGTTCCTTCGATTGCGTTAGGAACTAAGAAGTGCTTCGATTAAATCGTTTTGTTAATTACGGAAGACGTTTAGGTCAATAAGCCGAGTATTTTGGAAAAATGATTACCATGATCAGGAGAGGCGCCGCCACCAGCCAACAGAATCGAAAGTACATCGAGGGCAGGCGTCCGGTCATTTCTTTGACATTGTTGCATAATCGACGCACCCCATAGAACCAGGAGATCGCGATTACTTCGAAGAACGCCAGGAACATGATCGAAATCGAGGCGGCGTAATGGTCTATCAATTGGAAGAAGAATATGCCACCCTGAAGAACGAAACGAGCGTTTATTATTTATTAATTCGGAGATGTCGAATCGAGGGTCGATCCGGACCTACCTGAGTTATATTGGGCAGCCCGAAGAGGAATGATACCACGCATATCAAAAGGACTAGCATTTCATGGCAAAGAAGCTTCTTCTTCACCCAGTTAGGAAATCCATCCTGGATCGACGTCACGACGACTTCTACTATTGCGAACTGAAAGGGAAAACGATCGGTGAGGATAAGTCGACTCGGTAAAATTATTACGCTCGATTAATGGACCTACTTGACTATTCAGAGAGAGGCACACCAGCATGAAGAAGAAAAGGACGGCCCAGAGTTGGGAAGCCGGCATCTTGGCTAGGGCTTGAGGATAAACCACGAAGACCAGACCAGGTCCTGGAATGGAAAAACGTGAAGAAGCCGGGGAAGCTCGAGAAGGAGATAGATACATTTTTGGTGGTTCCATTTAATAGTTGACGGGGACTGATCGGTACCGTCGCTTAGGACGTCTTCCACGGACATGTTCTGCTCGATGGCGATGTTCCCGATGGTGGCGAACGCAAAGATGCCGACCAAAAGGCTGCTGAAGGCGTTGATCAAGGACACCGCCAGCGCGTCCACCAAAATGTTGTTGTGAAATTTGTTGTAGCTCGCGAAGCAAATCATAGAGCCGAAGGCAATGCCGACGGAATTGAAGATCTGAGCCGCTGCGTTCACCCAGACCTGGAAGAAGATGGCCGAGACCGTCATCGGGGTGTTCGAGGTGATTGGGTCTCTTCGGGACGGCGAACGTACCTTGGCATCGCCAAGAAGGTGCCACCTCGGACGGAAGAAAAATTGCAGGCCCTTGTCAGCACCTTCGAGTGTGAGGGACCGAGTGAGAAAGACGACTATTAGAAGGAATGGGAGTGTGGCCGTGAGGTACCTGACTTGTGCGGATGACTTGATGGACTTCCATATCGAGAAGTAAACTATTATCCAGGCGGTAACTAGACAAGCTACTAGTTCCCACCTCAAGGCCCCCGGTTCTTCGATGCCGTTGCTCATTTGAAGCACTTTGTTTCTGAGAAAAAAATCAGCGATTAATGCCAGGTTTGGCGGATCGGAGGTGCGTTCCGTTGAAGCCTCGATAAAGTAACCCCTTGGATTCTCATCCAAGAGACGGACTGTGAATTAACTAGGAGGTAGAACATGGGAAAGTTACTCGAAGAACTCTTCGGACGCCGTTCTGGAGGTGTTGGGACGAGTTCGGTTGTCGAACGACTTCAAGGATGGCTGCCAGCAGGCTGGGGTGTTCCAGGAGTTATCACAGTCGGACCAAGGCTGCTCGGCCCTGAAGGCCGTGAAGAAGTAGTAGATCGCGTAAGCTATTATCACGTTGTGGTAGGTGGACATTAGGAATGAGATGACGACCGACGACAAGCCTGCTCCTGTTTAAACGGGACCAAAGTTGAGCGTTTCGTCGAGTTTCCCCTGGACCTTCCGGGACCAGTTAGGCTCTTGCGAGACCTTGATAGCTATCGAAGGTAACTTTCTATCTCGCCGGCCTATGGAGGTATATCCATTCCTCGCTAGTTCCCGAAGTTAATGCGTGGGCGATTGTTCATAAAAAGTCACCTTCGAATAGCATTAAAGCCATGACGCACCTTTGAACAGGGGGCAGATTTGGCCGAGAGCACCGATCGAGCCTCGCCGGGTAAACTGACCGATGGCTAGTTCCATGTACAGCAGTGGCACTCCGCATACGATGAGTATTAGAAAGTACGGCACGAGAAACACTCCTGGAGGAAGAGAAATCGAATTAATTTGGACATTTTTTACGTTTAAGAACGGGAGGTCCTGGCACGAGGACGAGCGAGCATCCTGGGATCACCACCTCTCTTCGGGGTCGTCCAAGGCTCGCTAACATCGGCCAAAGGAACACATCGTCATTTCCACGATGTCATTGAAATCACCGGAGAGGGACATTACCGGTGCGCCGGTTTAAGTGCTGGAAGAGCAAGGTCATGGATCAAGTTCCCAAGAGTTGCGACACGCGGCGGTAATCCGGAGAGGCGTGAGCTTCCAGACGCTGAAAATCGCCGGTAACTCTAAACCGAGATCCGTCTCGTAGTCGGACACTTTGCCCTTGTCCTAGTTGTCTTTCGGCTAATAAGACGCCATTAGGAGGAAGGAACCGCTTCCTGGATCTGGAAGTGCTTTCTTCCGCGACTCTTGGTAATCCTTGGATTTTTCTCAATTTACGGGGCATCCGCGTGCTGGACCCCAGATGCGGCTGATAGCCCACTCATTGCTCGCTACTATAGCTACGTCGGATGCGTATTTTATCTCACGTAACCTCACGTAACGGTAGCGCGTAACGAGACGATTACTCCGGGCGAATCGGATGCCTCTTCGAGATTTTCCGCACGAAGGTTTGCGTGATCGCGAATGACGTATCCATTGCAGATAAGTCGGTTCCACTGACCTGGGTATTATTCAGGACGGCTCTCCGTTACGATAAATCGAGGCAATCTTGTTTAGCGATGCTACTTTTGTACAAGAAACGCTGTCCCATTGTGTGCTCGAGATTGTCTATTCGATAGAAGTGCTCTTACGATTGTATAAAAAATATGTGCGCAGCGGGCACTCGATTGTAAAAAGTGGCAAATCAGGTACTTATCAGCGGTGAAATGCTCACGTCGTATCCGAAGTGCGATAAACTTTTATCCGGGGTGGAACTAACGAACGATTTGGGATATATCGCCAGAGGAAATTCCGTTTTCATCCGAGTGCCGATCTACCTTTGAAATGCCGCCGCGAAAATTGTCGGCAATTTGTCACCTGTCCTCGGACAGTTAAATCCTCGCCGTTAGATTAACCCGTGACTCGGGGCTCTGTAACCGCCGTTAAATGCCAGCAAAGAGTAACATCCACTGACCTTGCTCCGGCCCACGCAAATGATATTCATGCACCAGGAATCGCTTTTAAACGCGCCGAGTACTTTTGCATCGGAGGTGCACTAATCTGGTTGCGCAATCGCGGGAAGGAGCGTGCATTTTTCCAAATCAATCCGGCCTCCCGATTTGCACGGTGACGCAAAGGTCGGGGGAAGTGCTCGTAGAGGCTCCGTCTTTCTCTCTCGCTCCGGAAGTGCGATAAACCGGTGATGACGTTTAGGCGTCACTTCGGGTTCTTACGAGATGACGGAGCCAAACAATGAGTCCGTGATATCCAAGTCATTGGATCTACAAACGCGATTTGCTATCTGACAACGGGAATTACATGGGGATTTTCATGAAGCCCTTTGCGGAGTTTCGGTTCCTGCGGTAGCCCATTTTCATGCGGAATTGAAGGTTGTCTCACCTCCGCCACTTTTGTAGCATAGGTATGGAAACCTCCACACGTTTCCGAGTCCAACCGAGTAGCCGATGCAGGCGAGAACAAATTGCACTTTGTTTGCCCAATGTGGTCTCTTCGGTTGGCGGTAATCCCCGGGGTCTTCGGCGTCGATGTCATCGTAACTGGTACCGGTGGAAAGATCATCCTCCACTGGGCTGAAATCAGATTCCCTCTTGTTATCACTTACCAAAAATCGTGGGTTTAACGTACGCGATGAGATATCCGTTTTTTGTTCCGTTCATTCGCACCGCTTTACGGAGCGATTGTGCAACCAAAGCGGACGGTTTACTCGCCAAATGAGCGAGACAATGTGATAAGTTATTGGCGACTCGGAAGGCAAACAGTGGACCGGTAATATATTCGAAGGTGAAGACGTTACGATGATTACGCGATCCCCGCTGGGCCGGGATTTTAGTGCTCCTCGAAATGTCCTTTCAAGTGTCGCCACGGTTCGGTCCGAAAATTAACGCCGACGATTTCCTCCGCCTAGCTGCCGTATATTAAACCGTCCAACACTCGAAGCAGCAGTAAAGATATCTTTCGCAACGATATTAATTATTCTCTTTCAAAGGAGCGGTAATTAACCGCTCCGATGGCTACTTATCGAACTATCATTTTTTACCCTCTCCCCAGATTGGAACTATCGTAGAAAATTTGGAAAAAATTCTTTCTCCTGTGGGAAGAAACGGAAGAAACGCTCGCAAAATGCGGACGGTCGGCCTGGATGTTGTCGGCCCTATTAAGCGTCTTAAAGGACATTTAGACGCAATTTCCGCGGAAGAAACGGGCCAACTAAATAATGGAGTATCTGCTAGGCGTCCCATTACGTGCACGTACATCTATTATTCACTTACGTCTCTGGGGCAATGCTGTAGAATTGCCCCCCGTAGATGATCAAGCGACGCTTGGCACGTAGCGCGGGCTGCATCTTTTACTATTGCCGGGTTTTATTATCGCATCAACAAGTGGATCTAGCGACTCGAGGCAGATGGAAACCGAGCTGCTCCTCGACAGGGCTCGGCAGCGATATATCGTTCGATCCTTCCCGTCCGGACGCGACCAGGTTGCATTTTAAACTGAAGGCGACTTGGACGGAAATCATATTTGCACATATGACGGATGGTCTCTTATGCAAATGCAAGAACGAGCACTTTTCGCCTCGGCTTGTTTGGTCGGTGCGTTAGGTCTACTTAACGCTCGTCTTCCTTATTTTTCGTGATATGGGTCTAAGGATAAAAAATTTAAATAAAAAGAAGAAACGGATATTTTTAGTTTTTATTTTGCAGAGGGGACCTCGTTCGACTCTTGAGGAAGACACCCTTATCGCTCGCTCTACGTCACCCACCTTGCTAGCCAGCTTCTTCGAATACCAGGTGACTATCTCATCGAGTAAAGTGCCGATAAGTTATCAAGTTACTCCGCGGATTACCGAATGGAAATATCGCGTTTCTCTATTTCCATGCCCCGGGGAGCTCATCTCGGGACCCGACCCGCGACTTCGACATCGGTTTCCCAAAAGCCGATCGCCATGGACCGTCCCACTTCCAGGGGGAACGGTGTCCATCGCGGGCATCACGAGATGGGTCGTAATGCTGGCACTTACGTTGGCGGATGTACCATGTTAAGCAGCTCCGACGGCGAAGTGGGAACTCTACGTATGGTGAGCTTCCGTCCATCGGAAGAACCCAGGCCGATGGAGGCGAGGGAGCGGATGGACACGGAGTCGGGGAAGTGCCTGCCGACCTGGCCGTTCACGTCGGAGAAGACGATGGAGGCCCAGCTGGAGGCCGGCGGATGGTGATGGTGCTCGTCGGTGGCGTTGGACTTCAGGGACCTCATGCTGGGGTACCGATACCGACCCCCGTGGAGTTCTCCGGCCCGACCGAGTCTGCCACCGTGGGCGGAGTTCTCGCGACAGAGCCTCGACTCGGTGCCCTCGGGACAGACCGGCTTCTGGACCCTGGGACCCTTCTCGTGGACGCTGTCCGTGCTGCTGGCCCCGCTGCTGCATCGTTTCCCGCCGTTGCTGGCCGACCCCACCATGGAGTGGGCCGGCGCGATGGTCGTTCTTCTGCTCTCCGTGCTCAGGAGGCGACCCCTCTCCTCGCACTGGAAGTCCCCCTCGTGGTGGTCCCGATGATGACCCCCTGGGGCCGGCTCCGAGTCCGCCTCCTCCGAGCCCTCCTCCTCGTGCATCACGCTCATCTTCCGCACGTTGTTCTGCTTAGCCATCGCCGCCAGTCGCCCGTTGTTCGGCTTCAACAGGCTCGTCCTGTTGTCGCCGAGCAGACCGGAACTCGCCTGGTCCATGGTCAAGTACCGCACGGGGGACGACATGGGGTCGGGCCGATATCTCTGCGCTTCCTGGACTTCTGGGCCCTCAGAAGGCTCTCCTCATGGCGACGACTGGCCCCGCTGCACTCGGCTGGCAGTCATCTCGCCGAGGCCTGGACCGGCCCCACCTTGCCGGCTTCCCCCGACGACATCTCTGGAGAACACCCGAAATGCGAAATTAATCCACGAAGAGAGGAACCCTGAGGATGGAAATTCATCCTTTGGTCTGTTATTCCTCGCCGGGCGCACTTCACGCTCCGGGTGTTCGAAAGTAACGACTCCTCGAGGTGTTTTTACTCCACTACGCGTGCGCGTTATGCTATGTACGCGCTGAATAGCGTGGGCAAGGTGATAAGCGTAACCGCGTTTTTGTTCCAGGTGCACCTCGGCAGGGAAACGAGAGGAATAACGTGAATATTACTAAATTGAAATATTACTAGGAAGTGTATTCGTCGGCAAGGCTTTCCAGGAATCCCGACACCTGACTCAGCCACCTACAGTTAGCGGTGAACGATGCGGGGAATTTATAAATGGTATGCAGGGAATTGCATCGGGTTTTTGCGATACTCCTTAATCGGTCGACCTTTCTTGAACTATTTTAGCGCGTGTACGTTTCCTTTTTTTCTCTCGCTTTTGGCTAGTTCATTCGGATACGCCGTTGCGTGATTTTTCACGGACGCATGCGGCGTCTATCTACCAGGATCCGATTACAAAAATCCGGCTCCGTAAGCACTGACCTAATTGCGCGAGTGGACGACCGTCAGAGTACTCATTTCTACGTCCGCGAGAGTGGGAATCGCAGTCGTTACGAGTTCGATCTACAATTAGCTGAGAACGGTGATTTCCCGTCGCTGTATCCTACTTTCTATCCGTTTTAACGGCCGCAACGACGTACTCGCGGGTAATTCAATTACCTCCAGCATGGAGGGGACCGATGGGAAAGTATATCCAACGATTGCTCGCGCGTAAACGGCGGGACGGTGCAGCTGTTACCATTACGAGTTAATTACCAGGGCGCCCGTAACTACTCTGCCAACAAACGGAGAATCGTCAGCGGCCCGTATCGCGATCGACGGCTCTTTCCGACCCGTTATCAATGAATTTCGGGACCGAAAGCCTCGATAAGGGACGCGCCAAGTGGTCCACGTCGGTATCTTTGGCGGCCCCTTTGACGACGCGGATCCTTCGAGGGGGGAATGTCATTGGACTATTTTTCGATACATGGAATTATTTTTTTCAACCCAGCCCACTTGGAAATAATCCATCATCGGCGACCGGGGCGATGTCAACACGTGGAGACGCCGACCGGCTGCTCGGCGACCTACATATCCCTGGCAGAACGATCTGCGACGTGTCGCAAGATTCGCGCCGACTTATCAGACACGTGTCAGCCTATTCAGGTTCCAGCCAGGCCTCGCGACTAGAAGGGGCCAGGTGCGGACTCGAGGAGATATTCACTCAGGAAATCGGATTTTAATGCTCGCGATCACGTAGAAATCAACGCAATTTTAAGGCCGACTGTCACTTTTTACCGAATCGCATTTGTCGTTTGTCGTATGAAACCAAAGACAATTGATTCTCAAAGAAAAAAATCGCATTCGCTAATTTCCGAATGAATAGTCCCTTGTGGATGGAGGACGACGGAATTTCCGGATGAACCGGCCATTTCTAGGGATCTTGTCCGTTCCTAGGAGTACATCGATTCTTGGGATGAAATTAAAATGCGGGGATCCGCGCGCGGTTAATTCCTCTCACGCGCGTCCCGTAGCGCCCTCTGCCTCGGCGACACGCGCTCCCGAAGTAGAATTTCGAAAATTCTTAGAAAAGTGAAATCCAGAGGACGTGGTGGAGAAAATTATCGTATGCTGCGTGCACGGTCAGTTTCTCGAGAATCGATTAAGAATTTATCAAGAATTTATTAAGTCGATGTTAATAAATATGAAACTTCAACGCATTCCGTACGCTTCTCACCGGTGTTCCCACGGTTCAGGAGTTGCATGAAATTTTGGTAGAACGAGTCCAAATTTCCCTATAAGTATCGCGGTCAGGAAAATTTCAGGATTTTCGGCCACGAGCCGACCGATCTACCCGTGCGCAATTTGCGATAAAAAAACGGACTTCTTAAATTACAGGTAAACACCGAGGAGTGCCGAACCCAACCTTTTTCTCTTATGATTTGCAGTTTGTGACGGCTGGGGCCGAAGATTTTGGAGGAAATCTCGAGCCGAGTTTAGGCGCGTTACCAGGCGATGGTTCGTGTCGACCGTGATCTCCGCAATCGAGGAGCAGTCGGCGTCGGAAGGCGTGCGAAGGCGTCAAGCGGCGCGAGTCGGCGCAGGTGGCGAGGGACCCGGGACTCGAGATATTTCACAGAAAGGACCAAAATGGCGGCCCGTAGACGGGGGCTGAAGATGTAACGTCGTATACTAACCGGGTCTCTGGTGGTGCGAGCGATAACGAGTGGACGGCGCCGGACGACGCGTGGAAAACGATGCCGAAAGACGCGTCGCACGGAGCAACAGGCGACGAGGCCGCCGCCGCGCGACAACCGTACCTAACTAATGGCTAGTCGTTCGCCAGTCGACTTTGGTTTGGTTCCACCTCTACCGGACCCCGTGGTGACTCCTCTTACGCCGCCTGGCCGCCGGTTCACGCGCCATCTTCTTATCGCGTCGTATAGTCTCAAATAGTCGTGCACGCCGAACGCCGGAGCGAGCCACGAGTCTCGTGGGAGCCGTCACGAGCGCGTGAGCTCGCTTCCGCGAGCGGCGTGCAACGAGTGACGTTATCTCGACACATCTCCATGGGATGGACACAAAACGTGGATTACGCAATTTTAACGGAATTTTATAGGAAACGACTTGAGATAGAAGGAACGAGAATGGCGACCTGGAGTCGCCTTTTTCCTTCTCTTGTCTCAATTTGATAGAGTACATAGATATATGCAAAACATGAAATAATTGATACATGATCGATACGTGGAACGATTGTCTATCTTCTGGCTTCAAGTGCATAAGCTGAGGTCGCTTGCGAGGTAATCCTTGTTTTATGCCGCGATCTCATCGAGATCATGAGGAGATTCGATGGTATTCTGCCAAGCAGCGATTTTTTTTACCGATCGAAGTGGAGGGTATGGGTGGAATATTGATACATTCTGATTTCGGGAGGTACGTCTACGAAATCGTGTCGCCATCTCTTGATCGGCGAGTCGAAGGGGGAATTGTTATCAACGGAGCGGTTACCAGCTGCGAGATACGGCAGGTTTCTGCAAAAGGATCGACCGGCTACTTTCTCGATCTTGGATCCGAAGCAAGAGGTTCGGGCATCCGTCGTGAGAGGTCGGGGCTATTCCTCCGTTTAAAATTAGCAGTCGGAACGGTTTACCGGAGGTCGTTTATTTTTGTCTAGCATGCGTGCGGAATACCCGATAGACTAGTAATTAATGTAACGATTAACTTTGTTCAATTTCTTTCTTAAACGTTGAAGAAACGAGGAACAAGGAATCTGGCGGTGACTTCAGTCGGAGACTCCATCAGCCGCCAGGTTGCGTTGCTCGTCTCTACGGATTTCGGCAATGACGGTTCCTGGTAAATTCGGTATCCGTTATACCTTACGATTGTTGCATGCAGTCGGATAGAACGGATAGAATGCACATCGATTCATCGGATGTCACGCATAGTCTGGGATTCCCATGGACACCTCGTCAGCCTCCCCCGCACGCAGGAATTCCAACGACTCTGGCATAGTCTTCGTGCAGAAGGCTTCCTTCGCGGGAAGCTCGAAAGTGGATTACCATGAAGTACGACATTTACGGCTGTCTGCTTTAGCTGTCGCGTACGTAAATCCAGTGATCCATTAGCGGCGTGGGCCGCAGAGAAAGTTCCAGCGACCGGTCGGGAGGTCGTCTTCGGGACTCATCTCTTCGGGATCTCTGTCCTGGGATCGAGAGATCACTGGGCCACTCTGTTCATCTAGATCGTCGAGTTCTCATAGGCTAAGACCCCCTGCCGATTACGCAAGTTTGGTCCCTCGAAGATTCCAGGTCTTTAACCGAAATCAACCGTGGAAACGATTCAAGAAACGAAGAGATTTCAAAGACTTCGCCGAATCCTTAAATCCACATCACAGAAACTAGTCCCGAAAGGTCGCCGGAGAGAAAAGTGATGGACCGAGGAGCCCTTTAAACCAAGCCGAGGATCTCCGATCGAATTTTTGTCGCGCGATCACCCGGTCGTGTAATCAGGCGATTATGCAGTCAACATCTCTCCGTAAAATTGATCGCCACGCGTTGCGTAATGATAGGGTATGGATGACCGTCGTACGTATGGGAGTCGAAGAACATGCGGAATAGACTGGAGAAATCGTCTTGCAGAGGATACCTAATCCGATCTGCCTCTGGATTTTCGAAACCCGGATCAAACCTCGGATCGACCAAACGACGCCAAGTCAAGCCAACGGACTACAACCTGTTTATTCGAAATCTATTCTAAATCAAGGGGTATCGAAGGAACATAACTGTCTAAAGTCTAAGGGATCCTGATGGTACCCAGCATCCCGGACGTAAGGGTCCGTCCGCGGCGTGCTCTTTGCTCTTCCGATTACGTTAACTGGGACCCCTGATGTGCTTAATCGATCGCACGTATCGATTACGATCCGTGGACCCGATGCAGAAGGTTACTAGGTTTTTTCGCCGACCGTGACTCTAGAAATCCCAGACTTGGTCGTGATGGGGCCCGATAGGATCGCGGCGCTGCATCTGATGTATCGGACGTATTTGCTGGATCTAGGATATCTACTGAATCTACTATATCCACTGTATCTACTATATCTACTAAATCTATTATATCTGCCGTACCTCCCGCAAAAAGGCGCCGATCTCGATGCCGCTGCTCATAGATGTCCCGGAGCATGTCGCGGCACGGGTGCCTTTGTCGTGCTCGGATACTCGTTAAATACGGCTCTGCAGAAGTGAAAGTACACCCGGTGGCGTAATCAAAGGTCGACTCATCTCTGGGAATGGCCTCTATGGGCACGCTTGCAAGGACTGCCGTGGCTGACGTACTCTTTAAGCTCACCTCCTTCGCCGGCCATCGGCAGGTGCTATTTAAGCGTACGCAGCGTTCTGGAAGCCTTCACTGCAATTTCAGACTTATCCATGGCGGAAGGTTTCTAGATTGCTGGGTCGATGCCGAAAAAGGGACGGATGCCTTCGACGCTCATCCGCCCTTTCCGCGACATTATCGCTGCTATGAATAGCAAGTGACATTTTAACGTACGCCACTTCGGGGAAGCCTTCATTTGCAATCCTGGTACCTTTCGATGACTTCCTCGGAGTTTACTGCGAAACTACTTTTTATTCTTGCTGTAATTCCTTTATTCAAGTCGGTATTTATTGGGGTGTATTAGTTGCGCCTTGAGAGTACCAGGTATCATGGCGGCATTGACTGTTCAGACATGGGTTATTAACTTGCAGTCATTTTTAAAAGTCATGTCGATACCGTTCTTAATGGTACTGTTAGTTCTTACGGCGTCATCCTTAATGACGGTTCCCGTGGGAATAATTAAACTTGGATTCACGTTTTTCTGCGCCTAGGCTGAGGTGGCATTAGAAAAGGTCAGTCACCGTGGCCAATAGCACGTTCCGCTTCGTGATCATCGCTGGAAAGATGATTGTTTGCACCCGAGCACGTTCAGACGATGAAACGTCACGACATCTACAACGGAACATGACGCCTCGACTTTCCCCTCCATCTTAGATTTGTAGGAAAGGATCTGCAATTTTATCACTTGCGGTTACCGCTCGATTCCATTGATGTTCTTATCGGGTTATCCGGAACAAGTGGTGAGCTAACATAGGATGTTCACATTTTAGAGTGTACAGGGAAGAATTGAGAGACGAAGCGATCGACTGGATTTATTTTATATTAATTATTCTTCCCGTGGATGGTTGGATTTTTTGTTGTAAGTATATCACATCCTGGAACTCTGGGACATGGTTTCGTTTCGCAGGACGAATGTCGGAGTTTCACGCGAAACCAGCCGTGATTTCCGTCCTTGGGAGCATTACCTTGTTGCTGGTACCAGGGAGCCATTCGCACGGTATTCTCCATCATATTTCCCGTGCCCTTTTGCCTTTCCCATCGGCGATGCCGATAGGCTTCGATCAGCCTCTCGTCCAGTTCGACTCCACCTTTTCTCCGGTTCCCGGATGGACTCAATCGAGTCCGTTATCCATGAGAAAATAGGAATTAAAGATGAATAACAAACATTTCCTCACCTGGAGACCAACTAAGGCTTCGGCATACTCGAAGGTGTGTACGGCAACGTCTAATCCTTAATTTTCATAAACGTTTTATGCTTCCTGTTTCAAACACTTGGACAGGTTAATTTCAGGTAGGCCGTACATTGTTCAACAATCCCACCGGCACACGAGATGTCGAGTTGGGAAGTCGAAAAATCCATTATTGGGCAACTTCTGTAACAGGCATTCCTGTATAATCTCTAACGCCATTTCTCCGCGCAGAGTGCCGTTGCGAAATTTCGTAGGAGTTAAATTTCTCATTCGAGAAAAAGGACGAATTCACGACGAAGATGGCATCGGCGTGGATATTTACCCGGTGAGGAGCTTCGAGCTTCGCAGTTGAATAATTAATTGGGCAACTCGATTTTCTCTTCTCTTGATCGGAACGGCGAGGTGCTCGCTTATAGAGAGGCCCAGGATTTAATGTTAATTTCTATCGAAATTAATCTTTTTGGTCAGTCACTTTGGGCGTATCTTTGGAGCCTGGATGCTTTATCAAATTCACGTGTCGAAACAGATGGTGCCAATCAAAGTCTTACAAAATCGGGCGGCACGTACGACCGGTTATATTTGGGTGGGGTGATATATTAGAAATATGCAGATCTTTGGAGAACAGAATTCGGCGGTCGAAAACCATGTTTTATGTACACATGAAGCTTGTGCAAGCTGTATGTCTTCGGTGACTCAATACGTTTCAACATTTTAACATGTTTTATTTAGGAGGATGTTTACCGGCTCGGGTAAAAAATTAAATGAATTATTAATTTGCAGACGTCGAAGTGCTCCGTCTGATTTACGGGAATTCAATCGCGAAAGTTCACGCATTGTTGACGAGGGAATCGGCGAGAAATTTGCAAAAACAATTATTTATTTAGCCTCACGGTGGGTTCTTGTAGTAGGGAAGACTTAAAAGTAGAAAGGTTCTCCGTAAATTACGCTCCCGTACCTTACTCTGTAATGATAAATCGAGGAGTGGGCAATTACGTAAACGTCCATTATGTCGGAGGTTGGTAGCGTTAATTTCACTATTTATTTAACACAGCGAGAAAGCTAACCGGTAAACTTAATACGCGAAGAACAATAATTTGTACATATGTTGAGGGATTTTTCTGGAGGCGAGGAAATTAAAAAATGCGAGGCGATATCGAAGAGATAATCCGGGTAATCGTGCAACTAGCCATTACCTTAATAACGGGTCATTAAATCCCAGGAGTGCTGAGATCTTAAATGTTACTCGGAAATCAACAACGTTTTCGATTTACTCACCCCGAATGAACTCAATTGGGCAGTCGTCCAGCGAAGTACCTACCGAAACGCTAATTACGCGGATTTTTTGTTTAATTTTACGAGAAATGTCAATTTTTATTGGAACATATATTTATACCGAGTAATCGCGCGCCGACGATTTAAGGCTCGCCATTTTCTTGATGATGAGTTATCGTATGGTTATTGCAATGTGCTACCATATTTAGCGACGTGAAATTTGGCTCGTGTAACGGCAAATGACCCTCGTTCGAGCATCCTTGACAAGGTGCAGACAGATTTTAATTTTTCTCTCGTCATGGATTTCACCTGTGTTATTTTTATCGTCTAATTGCGAAACGTCTTTCTAGGCCCTTAAATAGGATTTGACTTCTGCAGTGGAGAACGAGAGGGACCGCTTTTTGGTACCAATGACGAAAGCTCGTGTCAAGGAAAACCAAAGGCCCGTCCTTGGTATTAAAGGAATTCGGAAGAGGCGATCACGAAAATGTATACCGCCTTACGAAAGTTTTCTCGTCATATGCATATTACAAGACAAGTTCGACCCTTCGGAATCGGCGATGGCGAGGATCGTTGCAGCAGGTCGCCAATATTTATGATCCCGTCGCATGTATCATTATGCATGAGCGTTTGTTACGATACACGATTACCTGCCCTTAATCAGATGGTACGACATCGTGTCAAGGACTTCCAACTCTGAAGTTAGATTCCCACGAGGGATTGACCGGCGCTTCTGGAGTTGGAATTCTCGACACGAGCTTTCTCTCCATTCGCCTCCCTGTATGGTTATTATTTATGTAATGCACGCATTAAGCTAGTTTCGTTGTATCGCATTTATTCAACAATGTTAAGTATACAGGACATATTTGACAAGAATTTATATCTTGATTTTCTAACGTGGATCCATCTTCTTCAGGGTTGTTTCTGCATGTCTGAAAGGTGTTCTTTAATTTTTTGTTTTAAGAATGACTGGTTATGCAATGCTTACGAACAAGCGAAGACTCGAGCTCGACACCTCGTCGGATTGAGATTTCTATTTCCGCAACAATGGCCGTCAGAGGTTTGACACCGTGTTGAAAACTTGACATCGCGTCCATACCCCCTCGCTTTCTACAATCAGAAACGGTACGTGCTTACAAGTGAAGCTGTCCTAAATAATGATCGATGGTGCATTGTGGCACGGTTACGGAATTTCTCTACGAGCTCCAGAAGCCGAGGAAAATTCAAAGATCGATCCCAAGACTTTCCAGGAATTTTTCGTCCTCGGCTGTTTAATTCTCGGCAATTTTATGAGCCTGGAATTTTAGGTCTCCAAATCGATGATTACGATGACGGCATCACCTGCAGTCAAAAGTTATATAATTGCAAGCGTTCTCACGTCTCTTACATAAGTGAACGACCAGGAGGGCCTTGAACTTCGCCTAAAGACTGCCACTTTGAGGATAGGATCTCGATCTTGTCCAGGGTTTTGGTGCAGGGTTTTCGATCGGGGTTAAACCGACTCTTCAGAGGGAGAAGTCGTAGCCGAAATACACTTTCCCGGGTTATGTAAAGCCTAGACTCGCCGTAGACGGCGGTATAAAGGTCGGCTCTGCCCCCATCGAGCGAAGAGTTGCTCGCGAACTTCACTCCAGCAACCATCGAAGTGATCCCCATATGTGAACCGGCTCTCTTATTGCGCTCACTGCACTTTCTTCGAATCGCCACGTGGAAGGAACGCTTAACCAGCATGCGCACTTTGGTAAGTGTCACCTCTTCACCCGCTCTCGAGTACTCTTGCGTGGTTTTCGACGCCGCCATTTGCATTACCGCTGATGCACATGGCCGCTTCCTAGACGTCCCATTCTAATTCGCATTTATTGCTTCTAATCGACACCACAGGCAACGGCAGAGTATGCAACAAGTGAAATTGTACATCTGATATAAATTTGTACTTTTCAAGTGAGAGATTTACAAAATATCAATTTGTGAATCATCGGCCGAGTGTTGCAAGCTGCAAATAAAAATACAGAATTCAGGACGATAGTAGTGGGATAGGTCGTGCCGAAGACGTGACAACCAGTTACGCAGGTCGTTGGCCTTAAGCATTTATGGGAACATTTACCTCCGACTGATGATTTTTTACCAACGTATTCAAGATATACTTCCCGAGGCAAAATCGCATTAGCAACTTTTACCAGGCAATCCGTGCCACCTCGATATCTCCGCATCAATCGGAGTCGATGTTTCACGCGCCATTCAATCTGGACCGTTTCGGCAAAGAGAAATTTTGAGAAATCGCGGAACACATCCATTAACTCATTCCAGAGTTGACGGACATACTAATCGAGGAGAAAGTGAGATCGATAATTTTGCCGGATTCATTCCGGAATTACTAATTCGAAGTCGCAACTTCTTCCATAATTAATTTCGATAACGAGGTATAAATATTTCTGCGGCCAGATTTTATTTATCATTTAATCGTTCCAGGTGTTCTCCCTTTTGGTGTGCTTGGCACGAGGCCAGGAGTATTTCCAGGAGCCGGAAAAACTCGTCAGCGAATCCAGAGATGTTGGGGATGCTAGAGGCCATTATTCCTTCACGTATGAGACCGAAGGCGGAATTCTGCAGAAGGAAATCGGCAGCCGGAAGTACGCCGGAACGCCGGATGAGACCCAGCTGATCCAGGGATCGGTGCAGTATAATGCACCCGATGGAACCCCGATTGCATTGAGCTGGACCGCCGACGAATTTGGCACTCAAGTTTTTGGCTCTCACATCCCAACTCCACCACCAATTCCACCTGCCATCCAAAGAGCTCTGGATTGGCTCGCGAAACAACCCTCGACAACCGAACATCCATCGACGACGACGAAAGCTCCGGTCAGACAGAATTTCCAGGGACAGCAGACCAGGTTCCAACAAAATGGATTCCAGCAGAACAGATTTCCGCAGAATGGCAGAAACTGAAGAGAAAATCGACCCTTTGAGTCCCCCCCTTTTTTTTTTGCAAAGCAAGGCTTCCGATAAGCTTTGGCTTCGAGGATAGATAGGGATACGATTAGGGCGAATCATGCGTATTTTTATGCAGTCCTTTGCCGAACCAAAGTTTGGGCGATTCTGCACCGAGGGAGAAAGTAAAGCTTAAAGTATTCCTCTTTCTTCAACGTTCAAGCTCTTTCTCATTGTTTAAGTTCTTCCAATATTTTCACCCCTGAAAGTTTAGGTTAGCGATTATTGTATTTGCATGTTATTTATGAGTTCTAAGTTATACATCTCTCTTTCTTTCTCGGTGGGAGGTAGTGGAGGATTATGTGTTCAGTTCTGGAGAAAGTCCGAATGGAGACTTTTGGAAATTTTATTAACACTTAATTTTATCGAGTAGATTTTATTTGTACTCGTCGATGCGAAGTATGTAACTGTAGAAGTAACTTTTATTTTACACGAGAGATGTTTAAGAGATTTACGTGGTGTCGAGTTTTGTACGGTTTATTGTGTTATATTAAAACCTGTTAACGTGTATGTGACGTTTTTTTACATGCTTTGGTGTAAAATGGGCATGCAGTAATTAGACCGTTTACGTAGAAATACAGGCGAGATATTTGCATGTGGAATAAACTCGATAATATATACCGAATTATAATTTTTCAATCGAGGTGTGTTCTTTTTTAATAATTCGAGTAATTACCGACTGCCTAAAATATCGCAGGAAAGGTGGGAGGATGTACCTTCATTGTTTAATTTTAATTTTCATGTGTTTGCATTTAATCAGAATCAACCAAGAGATTGAAGGTATACAAATATAATTGGTCTGTTTGGAATTAGGAACAATGCTTTATTCAATGAAAATAATATTTTTATTTCTTAATTGTATCATGTAGTGCTCATTCGTGCGATAGTGCTTAGGTTAATCAGGAAGCGTAGATATAAATATATAGAATTATTTCGCGTTTTTACATAAATTACCTTAGGACGAGAAGTCACTCAAGCGACTTCACTGATCGATCTCCAAACTCAGCATGAAAAATTTCGCGAAAAATTATCATTTAATCGCGGAATGCTTATCGGGTAATCGGACAAGCGTGCTTGGATCCACTTGTACCCAGCAATTAGCCAAACAATAGCTTCCTCTTCCCCATCCTCCGATTGTGAATCCTAACTTGATCGGAGCTCGACCATGCAACTTTTCGCTTTCGACCCCCAATCGCAGTATGCAAATCGTATGCACCCGTTGCATCAGAAGGTGGAAATTCGCGTGTAACCTCCGCGCAATGCATTAACCTTATACAACAATCGGACAGAAGTTCTTATCTCGATTTTCCTGAATTTCCCCCCAACTTCTAAAAAGACGATAAAAAGACAAACATTTTTTCTTCACGGCTTTACAAAATTTCTCTTCTCACAAACAGTGTCACAATCACCAGGGTGTGTCCCATCACACCCCAAATAGTGTCACATCTCCGCCGGTATAAAAAATTCCCAGGGAAAATTTCCGAAGAAGAAAAAACTGATTTTCCATCTCCCGGGGCACCCCAGCGAGGCGAATTTTCGGGGTCGCTGCTATCGTCGCGTTCCCCTCCATTTTTTAAAACACGCACCCCAGGGTTTGCCAGTGATAACATAGGTGTAGGAATTAGTATCTGTAATAATTTATTTACAGTGTCGTTTTTACATTGGGCAAGTGGAACGGTACTATATAATTACAGTGGGCGGTGGGACCAGGAAGACTCGCGAGGGTCATCGAGACCCCGCTCCTTTCTGGGCCCACCGATTGGGATTCTTCCTTGGGAAGAGAGGACCTTCGCCCTCTTTTTCTTTTTTAAAATCGGGAGTCTGGGACTCAGTAGTTCTGTCCTTGGGGAGCGTCGATGTTGTTCTCTTCGGGGTGCGCCGCGATGTACTCGAGGGCGTCTAAGATCTCCTTGGGGATGGGGGGTGGCGTCGGCAGATGAGCTCCTTGGGGCTGGAATCCATTCTCGTCGGCAACGTAGGTCAACTGAATGGGAGTTCCATCAGGGGCTGTGTAGCTGAAGCCACCCTGCGCCGACATAGCCTCGCTCTCACTTCCGGCGTTGTTCAGGTGGCCTTCTTCTTGCGCCTGGATGCCGTTTCCGGTTTCGTAGCTGTAGCTATACGAGCCGTCAGGGTTGGGGCCATCCTGGGCCTGCCTCAGGATGGGGATTGGGGTGGTGTTGTCCAAGGGTGCTGCCAAGGCGCAGACGGCCAGGGCCAGGACGACGAAAATCTGGAAAATAGTTTTTCATTATTTATAAATATTGATTTCCTCGGAAATGTCGATCCACGCGATTCCAGGGTTTAATTGCATTTCAGGGCCCTCGCGTAAAAATACTCGTACGATAGAATATCCACATAAGAATTTCGGGAATTTAACCAAATCGAATATTATTCAATGAGCTAATTTATTTATTTATTTTTGTCCGTATTCAACCTCAAGTCCTTGGCACAGCTTATGAACTTTATCGACGACTCTTGCACTCCTACGTCAGCGTTATTCCACATGCGACTTTACTCGTTTATCCTGTTTATTGATTATTGATTATTGACCATTGCGAAGAGCATAAACAACGCCCCACCACCTCGCAACCTCTATTCCGTGAACTTCGATGACTTCATCATTCGAAATTGGTTTATGACGTAACAGGCTGCGCAATGACGATCCCCGTGACTCAGGCATCGAGAAAATTGTGGAATATTCCGATATTTACGAAAAGTCCGGATTTTTGCCGAGGTCCTTCGACCATTTGACGTTTCGAAAAACTGATAACGTAGGATATAAAAAATTTCTGAGGGTCTTCTTTTTTTTCTCGAGGCCCATTTTCGAACCGAGTTCCAGAATATTGGAACTCACCGATCCCGATGTAATTAATTAAGCACTACTCGGTGAAACTAGACACATTTTGCCGATTTCACCGAAATCCACGGTTTCTCCGGCGATTTGAAAAATTCCTGTCTCCCCTTTCGGCGATGCACCTTCGAGTTACGTTCACTTTCGTTTCGGCGAAACAAAATCTCGAAGAAGTCGCTTACGTTTCGTGAATAGCGCGACATTCACGGCGTCCACGATTCGTTACGTGCGAGACTTTCTAAAGGCTTAATATAATCTACGTCTCTCTTCCACCTCGGTCCGAATCGCCTTTCGAGATTTCGTTTGCCTCGTCGACGGACAATAGTCAATGGTCAATGGTCACCGGGGTTAGAACTGGCAATTTCTCTCTCGAGTAACGTCAACCGCCGACAACGCGGAATAGTCAAAATCAATGATTTTCTGTCCCCTCGCGAAGTACCAATTACGAAAAGAAAAGAAAATTACCAAATTTTGTCGCTAATGGCCAGAACAGCTGATGCGACGTTAATTTATATTACAAGAAAAATTGGCAAATTTCTTCATAATTTTCCCTCTCTTCGCGAATCAACCCTTGTATGTTCTTTCTACTCGGTAGAAGCGTTTTGGAAAAATCGTAATGCACTCGAAATTTGTTGAAAATCCCGAAAATATACTCCAAGAGGTAAAGGGCACTTCGACAAGTCTGGATGGGAACTTTTTCAGGCACCACCGCTGGCTCGATTCGTTTGATTTTTCGTGGATAGTGATAACGCTGCGCGGTTATCTCGTTCTTCCTGCCGCGCGCTCTACTCGATCCCCATCGATGACTTACCGATCGGTACATCTCGGGTTATCAAGCTTTCCTCTCGCGGGAGCTGCTCACTGCACTGACTTGAGAATCCCGATACACCTTCCGCCTTATATATCCACACCGCAAGATTCACGGATCTTCGGTAAGGTAATACCTACCTTATTTAGTCCCCCCACCAGATGAGAAGATGGGCCGCGCAGAGTCCCACCTTGGTCCCGGATGGTCCCAGTCCCCTCCTTCTCCCCCAGTGGGGCCCATTGGGCCTCCCGACATCTTCGGGGTCGGGTTCACTTTGGGAAAGGTCGCCGATTCGACCTCACCGATCGCTCTCTAGGACCATTCGTCATTCCGGGTTCCATAGGCCCCTCGGGACACGAAACCGGGACTTCGTGCGAATTCGCCTTGGGACTTCTTTGGGCTCCAAGATCGACACGGAAAATCGCGATTACCTCTGTAACGTCTATGTTCGATAATTAGGCCAATTTTCCCAAATGCGCGTGCACCAAAATCCCACGTGTTTTAGATTTCACGCAAATTTTGCAGATACAAAATACTCTCTGATTTGGGAATACCGAATTATTTCTTTTTATCATTTTGTTTACCAACGTGGAATAATATTATAGAATATCGAATTCCAGAACGTAATTCGCGACTCTGGCGAAAGCTAGGACTCTGTTGATTTTTTTTTTTTCAGGAAAAAAGACACGGGGAGAAATTTCGCAATTTGCATAATGGAAAATTTTTTTCAATTCTTGTTAGTCAGGCCCTTTCCTTTTCGTTACGATCGAGACGTCCTCGCCCTTGGGTATTTGGTTCCCACGTGTTTCTCAATTTGAAGAGAAAAAAAAACTCGTATTTTAGATGATGTTAATCAGACGTATTGGTCGCCGGTTTTTACGACGAAGTTGGCCCCGTTTGCATAATTCGAAAACGACGAAAAAAGGATTCTAACGTCCAGAGTCGTTAAAAAAAGCCGCTTTGATAGTCCAACTCTTTATCTGCATATCAAATTTTGGGAGCGACTTTTTTTCCAGTTTTGCCTTTTTTTCGCCGTTAATGTTTTTCCCTGAAAAACGGTCGCCGAAGAAGTTACGTCGAAGAAGGGGAACGTTTAATCCAGGCGTATTGCGCGGGCTAATTAATGGGTAATTAATTGATTAATCAAGTTTAAAGGTTCGGGCAATTCAACAAACTTCGATACGATCGTTCCGGCTCGAAGCGAGAACCTCGGATAACTTTCTTCCAAGAAATTTCGTAATTACATCCTCTCCGTTTTCGAGTCGGATGTGAATCTCTTTCTACGTGGAAGAGCTCTCTTATCAGCAGAAATCTCAGACAAACCTTTCGCAAATCCATTCTAATTATTTCGCAGACCTGGCAAGCGATTAAGGACCGATTTTAACCGTCCAGGTAAATGAAATAAAAAAAATATACCGATATAAGCGAATTTCTGGAAAATATTTTGGACATTTGTTTGTCAATGGAGTTTGTAATTAGTTCCTGGGAAAAGCACTTGATTGAGGGTTTTTCAGATTTATCTTAATTCGGGTATATCGGTAGAGTCTATTTCAGGGAATGGCGGACGTCATTAGAAGGCAATTGGCTGATCGTGTTGTAAGCCCAGTGGCTGTGTCAAAATGCCGATTAGTTAATCTCCGAGGGAAACCGATTAGTTCCTAACATTTAAACCTAAGCTCTTATTAACATACTTAACTCGGTACATGTGTCCTTTGAGATCTAATTATACAGATAAGGGTCGTCCATTAACGTGTCGAAAGCGGGGATAAAGTCCTCCTCCCTCGTCGGATATTTTCCGAAGTTAATTTTTTATTCGCGGAGAAAATTATCCCTGGGGGCAAAAATAATTTTCGTTTCGCAATTATCTCGCGCATGGTTTCCGTGCATAGAAAATATTAATTCCAGTCGTCATCAAGCAGAGTCTCGCAAGATTCTCAGGTGACATCTCTTCGTCTTCCTTGAGCGCATCTGCCGTGTGCCGTCATTAAAGTCACCCGCCGAGAAATTTTCAAGTCATCCGTCATCTCTTCTGTACACACGGGTTACTTCACCGCAATGCGGAGTAATAAATAATTGAGTTAACCCGAAGTAACTCGGCGGCGTTTTACAATGAAACGTCTCTCGGGGTTTCTCTAAATCCATTTCAAAAAGTGTAGTAATTTGTTGATCGCCGGGAATTGTTCTCTCGGCGGTGATTTTAATTGCGCAGACAAGGCGAGTCGTTTGCAAAGCCGTCTCATTAGGGAGTCGAGCAATAAATTCGACGAGTAAGAGCTGGATGAACGTAAAAAATAATATTTCCGCGAATTTCACACCGGGAGAAAAATAATAAACGCGCGTACGTACATCGATCATTCGATTGCGCATTAAACACCGCTTTCGATGATCCTTAGGTCATCTTCTGGGAAGATTAAGTCATGCACTTTGGGATTTAAGAATTCATTTTTTTTTAGATGATATGGAGCATTTTTAAAGAATCTTTTGTATTAAAAAATCATATGACGACGTTCTGGGTAGTCCGTCGAGGTGGAGGAACATCTTCGAGACATGCTAATGACATGAACGGCGCGAGCAACAATTACGCAAGTCCGGGTGCTCCTTGCGTCCTTACGAGCCTCCCTTGCAATCAGGATAATCATAGAAAAATAGCAATGATATTTCAATAATCAGTTGGTAGCTCGGCTGTTTTGTAACAAACCGGCGTCGATTATTTCGACGCACCCACCGGTGAAGGAAATTCCCTCGGATCCAGCGCTCGGATAAACAAAATGGCGGACAAAGTTTAGTAAATCCTCCGTTTCCTCATTTTTATATAATTTTCCGATACCTCTCAGACAACGATCGAAATTGAAATTACATAATGCGACATGTAAGACGTAACAGGAAAAGTAAGAGAAGTCAAACGTATCATGAAAAGGGAAAAATATTTCGATTAGTAAATAATCCGTGAACTTGGGAAATAAATTCATGGATTTTTGGAGCAGATTGCAGGTGGGATGTGATACGATTTTTTTGTATAGGGAAGCATTGCTTGGGGATCAGTTGTCAGATGCAAAGTCACCTGTTGATCGATTTACACGTTACCCGTACAATTGGCTCCGATGATCCCCGATTAACCATAGTTATCGGCAAATCTTCGATGCATCATCGCAAAGAGCAAGTATCTCGGACATAACAAGAATGATTACAATATTTCCCGACACCTCGAAGTCGTAATTGAGATTCATCATCGTTCGACAATGAGCACGTAACACATGGTACCTTAGAGCTTATATTTTTCAGGCGCGTGCTGTCACTCCTCGTCTTATCAACCGTTCTTCAGGAGGCCTGGGAAGAAGAAATGATTAATTAACGGTGCTCCTTTTAACCGTGACCATTTTCAAAATGCAGCTGCACGACTGACTTGCACGGATGACGTCGAAAAGTCTTTCGATGGGTCTCAATCAGCTCCCGAGGATCGAAGCGTTACATTCTCCGTTAATTATTCTCATCCTTGAGACTCGTTTTTTGCGAGACCAGTCATTTGTCTTTTACTTTACCCCGACAATTTGTGGATTCATTGTTGCGCCGTTGCGAAAACCGTCGGGCTCTATGGGACCCTAAAAAGTGACCATCGACTCCGATATTCCGCGTTATCAATATTTCCCAACGAGGGATCGACGTCTTAATCTCGAGAGATTTTGGAATGATCGTGAAAACAGTCAGAATCTGTAAAAAAATAAATACAACCCACGAAACGCGCCAAAGATGGAAATTCGCAGGTCTTCGTCCACAACTTTCGCAACCAAATTACCGATGGCTCGTCAAAGTGCATTGCGCAAGATTAGAAATGATCGACAATGTGGCAACTTGATAAATTAGGCAATCGAGTCCTCGGCGATCTTGAAGAGAGTCGACCCAGAACTTGGAAAGACCCATAGAAATTTTCTTTCCTTTTATTTTTCCCTTAGTTCAGTTTCTATCTCTGGAGGAAGGAAAAATTCCTAACGGGAGATGACAAGGACGATCTTCCTCGATCTTCGCACTTTCTTTTCCAAGCGGTGACCGAGCTTCGTAACGCACTTGCGAAAGCACGATGACGACCCCCGTCTATGCTCTTCCTAGGCCGTATTATGTATTATGTGGAACCGGAGAGAGTAGACATAATGGCCGAGGTATTAATGGCTGTATCGCTCGTTCGATCGGACGTAAGAGCATAACGGGTTAACAAATGTTGTGAAGGATAATGGCAGTGAGAACATCCTAATTCGTTCCATACGCGGCTCATGCGTGAAGCCGAGCCACTTTTTTGCAAATCCTAATTATAGTCCTGGCCAACCCCAGGTGTATACACGTTGTGTACATTTCATGCGTTTCTGCATCCAAGGCCTCCGGAATTATTCCCGAATTTTTCCCATCCTCTCTGCGTGGGTGCGTTGATACCTTCACGCATTGACTTGAGATTTGGATTTTTCTCGATTTTTTATATTAATTTTTGCATCAATGTCGCATTTCATCAAGAGCCTCCTTTTGGTCGATAGCGATGGCGGTCGTGTACTCATTTGCAGGGCATAAAAAAATGTTTATTAATTTTTTCTCTTATTATCTCGTGACGTTATCGGGGTCTATGTGTGTCAATTTGCATTAATGAGTTCCTAGAGACCAATCGGGCCGATTTGGGATTCCTAGGCGATATTTTTCTGGAGTTTGTCGATTTCCGCCTCGACTTTGCATTTCTACGAGCGAGGCAAGGTCGGCCCTCTTCTTGGCCGATTGAGGTCGCGAAGACGCGACCACGTGTCGCGGACGCAGGATTGCCTTTTAATAACGCTCACGCAGTTAAGTATAGGGTTGCCAGGCTGAAATTAAGAGTCAACGATAGATGTGCCGCCGTTTACGACGATTATGAGGATGGGAACCGTAGGTGCTACAAATCATAGATGAGTTGCGCGTGACGTAACCTTTTCACGGCTTTCACAAGCGAATCTCGATGAAAAACCTCGGAATGGCCGTCCTTATAAAATGCACAAACCGCGTTTCGAGAAAAGGCCGTTAAATCAAACACCCCAAGATCTCTAAGAAGCGCGTTGCAGACATAGAACCGATAATAATGATAGAAATAAAAATTGGACAATCTCAATTGTCCTCTCGGAATAACCCCCGTGGATATCGAGGCTTCATTTTTGCGGACGACCTTTAATTGCACGGTTCGGATTCACTGGTTTAAAAAAAATGCAGGTAATTACAGGCTCGGTGACTCATTAAATACCCAGCCATCGACGGATGTTAACATTTGAGTCGAGGAAGTCGATTGCGAGATTTTTGTGGGTGCGTTATAATCATCGGGCCGTTACAGTCGGATTTATTAATAACGCGCAATTAAACTCGCGATGAGGCGCAATTAGCTTCGCGGAATTAATAAGGTGCTCGAATTGAAACGGACACATTTTTTGTTCATACATCTTTCAGATTTGTAGAGGGAATGGAGATTATTTGGAGAATTTGGGGCGGTAGAAAATCGGGGAGAGGCTAAAAGACATTCTCAACGATCAAGGCACTCGGGGAAGACCTGGAACATTATAAGTACAATGACTGATGACGTGAATCTGGTGTCATCCTCGAAACGTGACGCATTGGCCGGTTTACTGCGAATATTGCGCTCATTCGAATACCGAAGTCGCGTCTTTCTTGCATAACCCTTCCTTCGCGTGTTTACCCCATGATATCACATTCTACTTTTCGAGCCTTGCGTAATAATCTATTAAAAAGAAATTCGGCGCTGTTAAAAATAATGGAAAAAAACGTTCAACATCCTTGGATTATTTACAATCTTAAGCCGGATGTAATTCTTCCTCGCGGAGATTTTAACGGGGGGTAATTACACGCTCGGTGTTTTCAAAGCGTTTTTACGCCACCGTGAACGTCATTGTGCGTGACTCGTTAAAGTTCCAATAATGACGGGAATAATGACGGAAAGCTTCATGAATTACATTTTCGGTGGGTAGAAAAGGGTAAGCAGACGTCGTCCCAGATAAAACGTCTCCCAGGGGCGAATCCTTTCATAAGGGGATTTTTTTCTTTCAATTGTACGTTCAAAATTGCAATACGACTTCGAGGCACGCGATCTCGAGGAAAATGGCCGATTACGAGGGAAGATTTCGAGGAGAATTCGTGACTCGTGACGCCCAAGGTCTCGCGATTTGCATATGCACGAGGACGACCCTATCGGCCCGATATAAATTTCATAATGGTCGCGATACACCATCGCGTCCTTAATCTCGGCGGATCTTTGACATAAAATTAAATTAGCTGGGATAATTGTTTATACTTCCCAGGATCCGAAAGAAGACGTATCCTGTATTTCGGTATTATCTTTCGCCGATACCATCTCGCTCACCACGCAACAGTTCGATAAATTTCATAATACATCCCCGACCTTAATCCCTGGGATCTTCGGCATGAAATTAGCGGAGGATGTGTTTATCTCGCAGGATTTAGAGGGAGACAAATGTATCCTGTATTTCAGAATTATCTGGGGTGCTTAGATGGCATTATCTCGAGGAGAGACCCTGCGGTGTGATTTTTCGCCATTTTTCCGAACACCTGGTATTCTCGGGATAAGGTCAGGATGACGTCGATGATTCAAGTACCGCGTGATTTTTTTTACCAGGTAATCGCGGGATGACAAATTTTGATTGATTTTTCAAGTCGAGCGGCGTCGATTTTGGCTGAGCGCGAGAGTTCCATTTTTTCTCCTTCGGTTTTCTCCCGTATTCTCGGATGACGAATACAGGAGTCGATTGCAGACAAGTGTTTATGATATTACTTTAATGCCGGTTTCAAAGGGGTATCCTCGGAGGTCGAGGAAGGACTCACGCCTCTTAATGAGTTCGTTCCAATTTCGCGAATGCCGGCCACGCAAAGTGGGTCCGGAGGCGCGAGTGGACCGCTTCATAACTTTTTTCCACGAAGGTCACTGGAGCCCGATTATTGCACAGCAATTTCCCTTTCACGGACAGTGCCGATCGTGGAGCTTCTTCGGAGAACGTCAAATGCCTCTGGCAAAAGTACGGCCACGGGCCGTAAAGTATATCCCAAGATTCGGCAACGACACTTTCGAGCCTCGGTGACGCCGTGTCGACCCCGATACCGAGATTTCCATTTTTTAATTTATAAGAAATAATTAAAGGGTCATTTTACATTTTTTCTTCCCCAAATAATTCCCACTGGCGTGCGAATATACTGATTCTCTTTTCGCCGAGAGAAAGGTGCCGTTGGCTCGCTTAAATAATTACCGGCGTTGTTTCGGTAACAAGCCATTACTATTGCGCCTATTTTTGTACTTAAAATAGTATTTACTTTTTTTTTTGCATATTCAGAGGAAGTTATCCATTCAATGCAGCGAGAGAAAGGTGCCATTGACTCGCTTAAATAATCCCTGGCGTCGGTTCGGTAACAGGCTATTACTACTTCGGCCGCCAGAGCGGCTCGCCTTATTTATCGCCTATTCTAACAACTTACGATGTTCCTAATTATTCGGAGATTTGCCTTTTCTGTAAACCCTGACGTCGGGGCATGTACAACCGGTTACTTTTCGGCCGGAATGACACGTGTTCGCAACTCTTCCGATGAATTACAGCCTCGAGGGATTTCTTCGACCTTGGAATTTACATACCCCGAAGAGCGTGGATTCCTCGAGTTATATCCAGCGATCCTTATTTTATTTATACGAAAATGAGGAAATCCAATAACCCACGGTTGCCGCCGTTTCTAGGCGGGGGTGTACTCGGAGATTACAGGGAGAACCAGTTGACAAATAATTTACACAGCGCTTTCTGGCTGCCGGGATGCTGTACTTTAACGATGATTAATAAATTCTCGCAGAATTAATCCGCAAGGCCGATAGGTCATAGGGACGAAGGCGGCAGATTTAAGTATTCGGCGGGCGTTTTTGCGCGAAGGCTGCCCAATTTCGTTACATGGCTGAATTTATTAAATTCGCGAAAACCGAATAACGCGAAAGGAAAGTCGCGGGTCAATGGAAGCGAGAGAACGTGTCTCGGTTTTTTAAGGAAAATTATATTGGCGATTATTTTCATCATTAGTCGGTCACACGTACTTGTACAATGGGACTCGAAAAAGGCTGAATTTTCGCGGATTAAAATGAATACAAAAATATTAGGCGATTTTTGTATTTTTATATTTGTTGAATGGAGTTTAAACGTCATGAAGTAGATGTCACAAATCGATGGCAATCCTTTCTACACCGTTGTCTTCAGGTTTGTCTGCTTCCAGGTGCCAGTCGACTCGCGATCCGCCAGTTTTCTCAGACAGCACTGTTACTTAAACATTAACTGGCGTTTTATGTCTCCCGTTCCTCTCGATGATGTCACATTTATTATCCGAGAAGAATAACCCCTGTGTCCCCGAGAAGTTATGGGGTTAATATTGACGCCACTTTCCTGTCGTCGCATTTGCTCGCTAACTTTGCCTCGGTCATTTAGCACCTCCTTTTCCGAAGTCACTTACGAAGCCACTCTTGTGGTCGTCTTTTGACGTGGAACATGTTTTTTACAAAGATACGTACATACAAAAATCTATCACACATATAGCTGCTTGGCACTCACCTAATCGCACGAAATTAAAACCATGTCGAGAAAGTTTGATTCTCAAAATTTATGGTACAGGAGAATGCTTGAAACCTGTCAATTATCTTTTTCACGGGGACTCTTCATTTTTCTCGACCGAGTCGATATCTCGTCGATCGTTCTTCCTATATCCTATTTTTGTACACTGTTGTTTGATTTTTGGAATTGACCAAATATTTCTTTGGTCCAATAAATTTTTTTCTCAGGGTAGATAATTTAAAGCGACCAGGGAGGTCGAGAACAGCTTGGGCGGTTCCCACGGGCGTTGGTTGAGAAAATGAGCGTAAGATCAGGAGGAAAGTCGAGTCAGGCCATCCTCCGCCTGTAAATCTATCCGAACGGCCCTATAAAGGAGAAAATAAATATAAGAACAGGCTGATTGCTCAAGGAGGCCTGCACTCGAGGAAGCTCCGAGCTTGTAATTGTGTTTTACAGCCGCGGGCCAAGGCAGAGGCTCCAGGAGGTAATGGACGCGTCATGGCGAATCCTCTTCGGAGAGTTAGGACATCGTCTGGGAGATGGCCCCTCTCGGACACCTCGAGTGACGCAATCCGGCTTTGCATTGGCGGCAATCCGTCAGGAACCGCTCCATGGATTCGGGTATCAATGATGGGGGAGGACCTTGCATATCCCGAGGTTTGCCGGCCCTATAAAAACGCGTCCTCGCCTCTAGCCGCCATCGAGAAACTCGAAGCTACCGACATGAATCGTTTGGTGAGTGGACCATTCGACGGATAATACTATTCGGTATCTTCCTAACTTTCGTTAAATCGAATTTCGTTGTCCAATTAATTTTCCTGAATTTTCGAAAAAAATGTCCAGTGAAGTCCCGGGGAGAAATCCTCAAGTGAAGATTCGGTGCGCCGTAGTGCGGAGGGACCGTAGTGGAGATTCCGTGCATTTTGGAATTTTTAATAAGAACGTTTTGATAAAAATTTTACATTTTTGTAGAAGGGGGGCTCTCGAGAGGCGTTTTCGGTTCGTGCCGATCGGGACGTCGGATGTGTTCCTTCGGAAATTTAGGATTTCGCGATAATTGCGAGGGATCAAAACGTAGCGCGTCGTTTCCCATAATCTCGAGTGACGTAACACGGAGAACACGGTTTTAACTCTATTAACTCGTTGCATAAGCCTCGCATAAAGGAAGGACTTTTAATTCCCCTCCGTCCCTCGTCTCTTGCGGTTTGCCCGGGATCGCTCTCCGGCGTGCGCGTCTCGAGATGATCCCACGGGGGTCGTCCTCCCTTTTTTTCTGGGAATGATTTTTTGTCCCGATAACTATCGGGTCGCGGTGTGTCGCCGTTTACGATTGGCGTGTCGCAAGGGGCCATTTGCGGTCGCGGATTCGCTCGTTGCTCTCCTCTGCCTACGCCATTTTTCGGGCGCGTCATTGTCTTTAATCGGTGATTCCGACACCGGGGAGTGTTTGCGATTTTCTCCAGCAATTCGACTTTCCCTCCGGATGTTTGGTCTCGAGTTCACCCCGAGCAAACTCGATTCTCCTGGAGCCTGATATCGAGACTCTTGAAGAGACCCACGAATCGAGAATTGTTTTTTTCAATTCCAGACAATCGCCCTCTTCGCCCTCCTGGCTGCGGCTGCGACCGCTGCACCCGTCCAGGATGCAACTCCAATCCCGATTGTGCAGCGCAGCGACGACGGACCCAACCCGGATGGCTCCTATGCCTTCAGCTACGAGACCGGAAACGGCATTAAGGCCCAGGAACAAGGCCAGCTCCAGAAGTCCCAGGACCAGCAACACGACGCCGTTTACGTGCAAGGCAGCTACAGCTACCCCGCCGAAGATGGTAACACCATTTCCCTGACCTACGTTGCCGATGAGAACGGATTCCAGCCCCAGGGAGCGCATCTGCCAGTTGCACCCGCCATTCCGGAAGCCATTGTCAAGGCTCTCGAGTGGATCGCGGCACATCCCGAAGAAGACAAGCAGAGAAAGTGAAGACCACCGAGACATCGAGTTCCGGTCCTTTGGAACGACTTTATCCATCGATTAAACGATTAATCAAGTGCCATACTCCGATTGCCCCGGAAACAACGGACCTCATGGGCGGTACAGTCCTTGCAGTACAAATTATCATGTAGATTGTAATTTTTGTGTGGAGATTAAACGTCTTGTCACATATTCTTCTGGGTTTTTGGTGGTGATTGCTTGGTTCACGAAAACGCTGAATTTCGTGCATGATCCCTGGAGGGTGCAGGTCCAAATTTTTAATGTCGATCCTTTATGGGGTTTGCGTAGACACTCGGTCTATGAAATGTCAAATTTCGTGCCCACTCATCTCTTGAGGATGCAACTTCGGATTGAGACAGGAAACTTGGTGGATGGATAGCGAAAGCGCGGATATGATCGTTTAATAGTCGTATAAATCTAAGTCAGCTAACTAGATGTACGATTGAGTATGTCGAAATTAACTGACACGTGTTACGAAGCAGGGGGTATTTATCCGTCAGTTGTGGCAATAGTTTATGGGACGGGGATATATGTGTAAAGCGCAATTTAGGAGATGTACAAAGGACGTAAACGCAGTCATTTCTGGCGGCTTGGTTGAGTTGGGTAACTGGACTCCGCCATGAAATAGTATCGAATGCGATTGGGTAACCGTAGAAGGATTTTAAGAAGAGTCCCTTGCGGCGAAACGTTCTCCTCTTCTTGCGGGAAATGGGACGAGCTGACAACAAATATTTGTTATGCAAAATTCCCCCCATAAAATCGAGCCTCGTGACCTGCACTTACCGACAATTCTAAATTCCTCGGAATTTCAGGAGATTATTTATCCGTCGATTGGTTAAAAATATTATGGTTTCACGTCACTTTGTAAATCGCACTTCGGACCCCAGCTTCACGGTTAACGAGTCTGGCCTTTTTCAGTTTTTTCCCCTCGTTCCAGAGTGCATTCGACTAAATCCTCCTCCGTTATTAGCGTTCCTCCATCATTCCTCGTACCCTTTTCACAACAGGCGGAAATAATGATCTCAGCCGATGGGTCAATCGAAAAATTGAAGCCTCCTCTTCGTATGGATGAAATATGCATGACAACGATCTATGCAATCGACGGGCGTTTGAGAAATCGATCCTATCCTCGCGTTGCGACATTTACGGAGTCCGGATTAAAAAATATATTTTTACCCGATTTTAATTGCGTTATTAATCACTCGCATTAAACATCGGAATTTACAGCAGACGAGAATTCCTTCGGAAAATTGAAAAATCAGAATAAATGGGAAATGAAAATTTGAAAATTTAGGTAATCGGGATGTACCGATATCGCGTATCAGGCATCGAGGAATCGTTCGACGATTTCTCGTAGCCTTTTCGCAGCCGGGAATTACGATCGGCGATGAATCAGGACCAATCCGGAGATCTGTAACTGCCTCGGCAAACCACGGATGCTGCGAATCTCCGTTCTGTCGTTGCATGGATAACAAGTCTCGCACAAAGGTCAGCTGACTTGTGTCTCGCATTACTCAAGAGCAACTAGATCGCGGCATCTAATTATTCGATCGATCAGCAACTCGTTGAATCTTGGCCATACCCACCTTTGTCTTGATTCATTACGCGAGAGAAAGTCCTCTTCCATGCTCTCCTAGGTACCGGGGGTTCTTCCTTGTCACGACGACTATGGATTACGGGCACTTACGATTTTTTGCCATTTCCTAGTCAGAGTACCGCTGCAGCCGGATTCGATATCGGCCAGATTAGAGATGAAGGAGACTAGACCTGTTCACCCTCGGCGAATAAACTTTGGGTGGACGGAGGCTGGGCTGGACCTCTTCACCCTGGGAGAATAAAGTTAGAGAGAGATCGTGGCAAGCTCACTTCTTGATTTTATAACAAAATTGTATTTGACTAGGAATTAATCATAAATAGATAAAATATTTTTCCGGAACGACTTGGACATCTTAAATTGGAGGTACTCATTTTTGGACCGAGACAATGCAAGGCATAACATGATGCATCTATTTTGCAACAACCCACGTCTTGTAGAAGGCTCGCGCATTCGTTATTAGATCGGTAGATCAATGATAATCGGGACTGCTTAATCCGACCTCTTCACCCATGGAGGATAAAGTTAAGAGCAGTGATCGGGTCATGCAACTATTTCCTTGATAGAGATTTTACCTGCATGCACTCTATCCCAGAAAGGAATAATTGGCCGCTGTTGATCTCTCGGTTCTCCCTCCACGATCCAGCTGTTTCGTCAACTGGAGGTTCGACTTTTTTTTTCATTAATTAAAATTGATCGGAAAATCCTGCAAAACATCGATTCAGCGTTGAAATCGATGATATCATTTCAATAAGTGATTGCGACTCGTTGAACGCTCCTGACAGTTTATTACTCGCGATTGAACGAAAATTAAGTGACAAGATGAGCTACGACTGTCATGCGGAATGAAAGCGACTTCATCATTTGAATTCTAAGTTCACCCTGAAGAGGAGTTATTCCTTTTCGGCGTCTCCAGCGAGTCTTTCTTGAGCTTTGTTACCAGGCGATTCACTTCGGCTTCGCGTATGGAGAAGAAGAAAGGTCAGCTGTCATTCAAGTGCAGTGCGTTAACAAGAAGGATGACGCCGATGGAGACGTATCCATGAATGGAATGGAGTAAAGGGAGGATGGCATCGATTAAGGAGGCGGATCTGTCGCTAGAAGTTTCGACATAGATGCCGAAGAGCGATGAAGAAGTCGAGGAAAAAGTGACGACGCGACGTGACTCTATATTACCACAAAGTGCGCGAAAAATAAAATACCTCAAATACTAAAAAAATGAATTTCCGTACTTCACGAAAATTATAGAAAAATCAGAGATGAGCATTTACACCTCCGTGCCTGCAGGTCATTTGTCACCGAATCTGTGAATGATAAATGTGAAGAAATGTTATTTGCCTCTTGATTGGCGTTGCATATTAATTATGGCATCGATGAGTACCGTTGCAAAGGAATCTTGTCCCGCAAGAAGAATATCTTTCTCCTCAGAGTCCATAAATGAAATAAAAATGAATTTCTCAGGTTTATAATTTCGAAAAAATTTCTATTTTATTCCAAATGGGTGGGAAAGGGTTGACAGTGTATTTTTTTTTTTTTTGAGGAGGAGGCTCGAAGGAATTTTTGGGAGTTGACTTTCCTCGACCCGATGGTGCGCCACGAAACGAAAGTGAAGTAATTGAATTCGGCACGAGTGTCTTCGTGGTTGCCTCGGGGCTCTCGCTCACTTCGCTTTGCGCATTCTCTTATATGTCAAGGTCGATCTCGGCAGCATCTTCTTAACCACGACTCACATCCACGTAAACGAACGTGATCGTCGGCGCCTCTCGGCGGACACTTTTAAATTGAACTCGACGATTATACCGCAGGGGACGCGTCTCTCGCCGCAAGTCTGGAAACTGGCTGGATCCTCTTGACATTTATTCTTCAGGTGCCTCTTCGACATCTGAGTGCCCCTCTAGAAGACTTCGATGAGAATTTTCAAAATTTCTGCATGGAAACTGCAAAGAAGACCGTAACGCGCAACCACGCATCGAAGTCCCCAGAAAACAGATCTGGGATTGTCAGAATTATTTAAGATAGTATTATATTAGTGGTAGCTGATTCCTAATTGATTCTTATTCGCGACGCCGAACATTGGCTTCCCTTTCTTAGCGATGGAATTTTCAGGCATTGGGTGATTATTTAATTTTAAGAAGATTTATTTTAAGGCGCTGGTAAATCGGGAAATTATTCAGGGGGTATTGAAAATTAATAATTTGACGTGGCGGCTGATTGCTAATTAACTCTTATTTACGGCGCGGAACAATGGCTCCTTCTTAATGATGGTATCTTCGCGCACGAGTCATTGGATGATTACCCAGAAGTTGAAACTGCCCAGAAGGCGGCACCTATCATTTGCTTGGTTTATGTCTCTGCGCCGAGACAGTCGTAATGATTCTTAATGGGACACAAGGATACACCTTCCTCACCTGGTGGATAAGAGCCATCTTTATTCCAGCTTTTCGAGGCGTTATCAAAAATTAAAATAAAAATTAAAATATCGTTCCCCAGGGCAGTCCTTTCAGAATTCCGCATTTCCAGGATAAATTTGATCTACCGGTCATGTTCTTAATAATACCCCACGACAGTTATGATCGGCATAAAGCATGGAAGTATTTAATGCTCCACAGACAATGATGAAAACATCGGCATCATGTGGGTCAAGGAAATGATTTCTATGTCGCATAGATACAGATAAATAGGTTTTCCTCATATCTTCATTAATCAGGTGTGATGTCTCATAGTTTTTACATCTGTCCTTTTGATGAAACATCCTTAAAATATTCCGGCTTACTCATTTCGATGTAAAAGATATTAAAACAAATGAGGGAGTCAGAGAAATTCTCCCCTTTTTCCTTCAATTTCTTGGGATTGAAAGAGTACCCCTAATTATTGACTGTTCGGTAATTTTAAACGCAAATTTTTCTGATGATTTTCTCCTCTTGATGTGAGCCTCAGTGGGTCAAGGGGACCATTTCAGTGCCATTCATTAGACGCGAGATGAGGTTCCCTTATTTTTTACCGCACGCGTTCATAATTTTCGATTCTTTTAGCTTCCATTTATCAATTTTTCGCGTCTTTTTTCGGGACGATCCCGAGAGGAGGAGCAGTACCTCTTATTGGCCCAGATTCCGCAAATAAGGAGCGATTGCGGTCAATGCCAAGCCAGAGTCGACCTCGGAAGTCGTTCCCATAATTTCGCCAGAACCTGGACGAAGCTCAGGTCGATGATCGGGGGTTGCGTAAATCCAGGCGAATCCTCGTGGCCTTTTGCATAAATCAAAGTGCTCCGAAAGATTTATTAAACTCGGAGACATTGCATTCAATTCGCCTCGTTGATAGTCCAGAGACGCGCGTCCGCGAATTCGAAGGCTCGCAAAGCCAATTTTTTTTTTCCAAAAGTGGCCGCCACAGTGTGCAAAAGAATCACCCTGGCAATAAACAAACGCTTTTCCTGAAAGTTACGTGAAAAAAAAATCACCTAATATTTAAATCGTTATTTATCAGGGAATTATTACATTTCGTGACGCCGCGAAAAAAGGTGCGACTGCGATTCTGCACTGGGGAAAAATTCTGAAGTGCATAAATCTCCTGCACTAATGACCGTACATGTAACTGCGATTTATCGGAATAATTCCTGCTCAATTTTACAATTCTTTGTGTTCCACAAATGGCTGCCATTTTTCCATAGCGTCGGGCAGGCGATTTAATTTTTTAAGTGGTTGTTATTAAGTCATTTGCAAATTGCTGGAATGGATTACTTGTATCTCCAGGCTTGGAAGAAGACACTGGATATGTCGGGAGGAATAAGCTACCTATAGCTGCGAATGTTGGATGTTCCGTATATAGTTGCAGTTATGTCATTCTTATCGTATTCAAGTTACCTTCTTAGCATGATCGACCTTGCACGTTCTGCACTTGAGAATGTTGTACAATAATTAATAGCAGCCGCCGGTGGAAATAATCGTCCGCCACCGTCTTAAACGACTCGTTAAAGATCGTTTTAGATTTATTAAGGCCCCGCGATTGTACACGGACAAACGGAATTGTCAAGTGCCGGCAAAGTCGAGGTAAGTATTCGAGGTGATAACTGGGATTACTTAATCGTTCCCTTCTAAATGAAAAAAAAAATAATTTGTCACTAAAATGGCGACCATTTCGAATGCCCTTTCCTCTTTGCCTTGAAATATGAATGTATTAAGAAATTAATTCCTCCTCCAATGAATTTTATTTTAATCGCATACTCTTAAATTGATATTTTGTATATTTAATTGTGTAATTATTTCAGAGGTTATTTTGGCTTTGCTAGGTGTGGTGAAAAAATTCTGTCGACGCGGATTCTTGCGGCGTTTCTCTTCGATCAATTAAAGTCAATATTGAAATAGTCGAAGAACCAGGAAACAGGTAATGGGAAGCAATGACTAAGTCACCGATGAAAAATCGCACTCATTAACTGCCGGCGTCTTTTCCTCTCCGCATTGCAGGCTGAAAACGAAGGAATGATTGCGTCAATGACTGTCACGTCTAGGCTCTACACGTTCACGTTTAACCTTTGTTAATGCTGCCACAAGCATCGATTGGAATTGGTAGGAATAGGTGCGATCGGGACTATTTTCTGTTAAATATTCTCCTCAACTGGAAAGTATAGAAATGCATCTTCCCCGGCGCATCCTTCCAAGGACGGAGGAGATACTTGGCTGCAATTAATTTGAAAAGTATCCGAGGCCTCTCCAAGCTAGGAAAGCCGCTTAACGAATGCACCTCGAAGAGACGGATTTATTCCGCCATTTCTGAAAACGCGATTTTCGCATTCTGGGAAAATGTGTCGTGCGGATAAATTAACGATGACTTATTTCAAGGAGCGCGCTATGTAGACATTTTCTGGACGATAACCGGAGATTTACGCCTCGTTTGAATAATTTTTTACTTAAATCATTCCTTCCCTTCGTCATTGATAAGCGTGAAATTACGAAATTAATGTGCAGAAAATTGAAGAAAAATTGCAAATGAAAAGTATTAAAAAATTCCAGAAGGTGTCGACGATGTTGGATTCCAGCCTCTTCGAAAACAATAATTTATTGTTGACTTTTATCCGCGATTCGAAAAGTCATTGCCACCTCTCGACCCTCCTCTTCGGACTGGTGCTGTCAACTTAAGTTACCATTAGTGGCGTTAGTAATTACGAGTGGGCGAGAGTCGAGTACTGCAATACTTGCGTGTACCTCGGGCAAAAATATCCTCACCTATGGCTGCTGAATTGCATACCGAAGTTCGAGAAATTGCGGTTATGCAATTATATTGCATCGGCCGCAGACCCCTTTGGGATTCGAGGAATCTCTGCGCAGCTTTTGGAAAATTCCACCCGCTGGTTGCTCGGTAAATTTAAATATTTAAGAATTTTCTTCGGTTCAGTTATTTCCCAGAGAAAATTCGGAAAATTAATTTCAGGACGAAGGTGAGGTGTGGAAACTCATTGGGGAGGCTTTTTGAGAAAGAGCATCGAACGGGAGAAAGTCTCTTCGAGTCGTCCCACGACCGATGTCGCGTTTCTATTTACCGATGATTAATTATCCCAACCGCAAACAAAAGCGGCGACACTTGACGCGATTCAGACGCAGAAGAGTCTCCTCAAAGGTACCGATGACGCGCCCTTCTGCATTATGCCAGTTCTTGAATTATTGCTGCACCCCAGAGGTCGCGAGCGCGAATGCAGCCCACAGTCGCATCGAGAATCCGAGAAATGCATATTTCCATCAGGAGGAACAAACATCCGGATGCATGTAATCCAAAACTTTCTACAAACCATACGTCACACCGGAAAGCACCGCCACGTGTCTACAAATAATTCCCCGGAAACCCCCGGAAACGAAATTAAATTCCGACCCCCAGAAGTGCATCCACCAATATCCCTAAAACATTCTTATTGTAGAAAAAATAAATCCATCCATGCATCCTGAAACCAAAGGGCGATTCTGCCAAAAGTAAAAAATTGAAAGTCCGATTCCCTTCTCCTGAAATCCAGGACCTGACAAAATGCACCCGGTGCATCCGGTGATCCGATTCAGACCGCCCGGGATTTGTCCGGGAATTTTGCCAAGGTGCAACAAATTAAAGGTCCTGTCTAGTCTTTATTAGACCCAGGCCCTGCTTTTGCTCGACTGGATGCCCTGAATGCATTTTCTGCCTTCGGCCCTTAATTCCGCGCGCAAGGACGATTCGGCTCGGTTTCATCTTGATCGAAAGAAATTATGACAATTGAGTAAGCATCCTTTAACGGGGACCCGATGACATTTAGCTTAGTGTGACATGGTGATCCCCGGGAAGGTAGCCGCGGTGATGTGCAATGTGTTCTTTTCGTCCGTGCATGACTCCCTCACCAGTACGCATAGAGACTTCGTATTATGAAAATGTATGTAGGCCCTGCTCTCGAGCGCGTGCCCATGTGTGTATATCCTTAAACATGGTGGCCATCGGTAGCGTTCTAACGCTGGTGTTAGTCATGCCTCCAGGGGTATATAAGCGCCCGCTGCTGCGGGGTCTGATAAACACTTGCCCATCAGCGATTACAGCTCCAACATGTACACGACATTGGTAAGCTAAGTACGAGACAAAGGACCTCTTTGCCCGTCTGCAAGGACTCGAAGGGACTCGGAAGGCCCGCCGAGTCGCCGCCGCGTCGAGTGCTCCTGGTGCCGACCTCTTCGGGGATCCCGGGGTCCAGGGGTCCCTCTGGACCCGGATAGTGCCACCCGCGACTTTGGGGGATTTATTTTTCATTTTCTTCGTCGAGTGCGCGCACCAAGGACCCCTCTGTCCGCAGGACGTGCCGCAGGTCCTCGGCAGGATTTCGTTTCGTGAAGTGGATCGGCGAGCCGACTTTTGTCGATACGTGATTTTCCTTTCGTTGTCAAAAATTCATATCGATTTACCGTCGACGTCACATATAAAAATATGTCACCGCGAAGGGAAACCAGGATATTTTTAACTACTTGAATTTTAATCATTAGTGCCAGCGTAGATATCGAAATTCCCATGAAAGTATCCAAAAAGCGGTTAAGGGCCATTTTGTGACTTGGCGTATTCCGTGTTTTTGAAATCATCAAAATTTCAAGGTAACCCTAGGTTTCCGGAATGCAAAAATTCCAGGTTATTTTTACTTGTGGTTAATGCGTTCCGGCGTTTGAGGAGGATGTATCGTTTTAATTAACGTGGAATTAATTGTTACAATTTCAGGTGTTCCTCGTGGCTTTGGTAGCGTGTAGCGCAGCCGCCCCCGCCCCCGCGGAGGAGCCGATTCCGATCGTGAGTCAAACGCAGGATGGACCGAACCCTGACGGGTCGTACAAATGGAGCTACGAGACCGGAAACGGCATAAAAGCCGAAGAAGAGGGCCAGTCGCAGAACGCGGGGTCGGCCGACGAGACGAAGACGGCGAAGGGTTCCTTCAGCTACACCGACAACGAAGGCCAGGCCTTTTCTTTGACCTACGTGGCCGACGAGAACGGCTTCCAACCGGAAGGAGCTCATCTGCCGACGCCTCCACCGACCCCGGAGGTGATCCTGAAGGCCCTTGAATGGATAGCGGCTCACCCCTCGAAGGAGGACGAGAACACCGTCTAATTCGGCCGAGTCCTTCGACCTGATCTCACGACTTCGAGACGAGCTCGGGGACACCCCGCGGGGGGTCCTTCCGGAGACCGGAAGTCTCCTCGACTTCCGGAATTCGATCGGCCCCCCCGACCCGCCACGACCCTCTCACCTGACTCCGGAAGAGACACGCTGTACATATTTATTATATATATATTTTATTATCTACTAAGCGAGCGAGATGAGAGAGAACGAGAGGCAATGTAACTCGCCGTTCCGAGATGCCGAGGAGTATTATCAATAAAGGTTGCATCCCAAAGGCTACGTGGATTTGGAGGCTCGGGAGGCTGGCTAACCTTCCCCTGGATCGGACGGGGATCAGGATTTAATAAAGCTCAAAAATATTATCGATACATGGTTCAGTTTAGTTTGGTCTTTCTTTTTTTTTTGGAGGTGGAATTTTGGGATGAGATCGAGGATCGAGCGCGACTGTTTGCGGGGGACATTGCGAGGGATCGCGGATGCTGAAATGGCCCGCAAAGGAGAAAGTGCGTCTCGGGTTAACGATGGCGTTGTGCATTTTGCGACATGTTAAGTGCCGTGCACTCATTGCGCGAAATCGCCGACTCGTTTGTCGGAGCGAAAGGTCACGCTAATTAGGAACGAAATCTGCGAGCTTTATTTAGGATCCGTATATAATAACCACTTGGAGGTGTACTTGGATGGGATTATGCGGATTTTCTTCTCTCCTTTATTCGGAGACGAGGGGAATACGAATGCACCGAATAAATACACCGAGTAAGCGGGACGATGACACCGGGGACACCAGTCATCTATGATCATCAGCTCTCTCAGCTATCAGAGAAACTTTCGCAGTCTGGGACTTATGCAATCACACTTTACCGAGCCGATGGCGGTGGCCTCGATTTTATATTGTTACGCGTGGCAATGGGTAAATACATGCATTTTACAAAAATGAAAAAATAAGAAATAGACTCCGCGAAATTCTGGAGAGGAAATAGAGAATGGGATTGATGTTTCTGGGAATTCTTCGAGAGCGTTAAAAATGTCGGTAGGTGATAAAAAAAGTCAGTATCCAGGGAATTTATGGCATTTATTTTTCAGACAGAGGTAAATGGTCACCACTCGAGAAGATAATCTGGATTTTTGGACCGGAGGAAGCGACCAGGAGATCATCCCGGAAGTTCGTTTTCGTCACCTCAGATCCTCACACTCGTTGCTCGGAATTGGGCTCCTTGTATGGATGCTCCTCGATGTACTTCAGGGCCCTCTGAATGGCAACTGGAATTTCTGGAGCAGGAGGAGCAACCGGAAGATGACTGCCTTGGAAGTTGGCTCCGTTTTCATCCGCAACCCAGCTGAGCTGGACCGGTGTTCCATCAGGAGCCACCCAGCTGGCACTTCCCTGAACAACTTGGGCTTGATCCTCCTCCGTCAGTTGTTTGACGCTTCCGTACTCTTCTACGGAGATCCCATTGGAGGTCTCGAACTTGGTCCTGAAGGATCCGTCGGGACCCTGGTCCTGCTCCTGTGAAAGGATGGTGTCTTGCGAGACGTCTTCGGCCGCAACCACCGCGACACAGACTGCTAAGATGGCCCAGATTGGTCTCATTTTTACAAAATTCGTCGGAATACTCAAATTCTCCGAGTTTCAGAACTTCTCACTCCCTGAAGATCGCCTACTCGATGGCGACTCCTCGCGGATCTGGCTCTATTTATGCGAATTCGACGGGTTGACATTGCGGCTCTTTTTTTTTTTCTGCGCCTGGTCCACTCCACGAAAAAGAGTGCCAAGCCTTGGAGAAATTAAAAATTCAATTTTTTTTTTCGTGGGCTTGTAATAAAGATGCAAGAGACCCCAGGGTCTCTGACTGATCAATGATGCGTCTGTGGAGGAGAAATTGCGCAATAGCTGGAAACTGGTAGCCGCACCACGTGGTCAGGAGAGAAATGAAAAATCGATGAGATAAAGGTTAACGATACCGACGATTTGTTAAGTTTAGAGATTGCGTCAATCTCGTGGACCCTCCTCGCCGCGGGCTATGAGGTCAAAATCTTTGACGCACTTTTTCGGTGCCCCTTTTTGCGCAATCTCGACGTTTCTTGTCGGAATCAAAGGGAGATGGCTCGTGAGCTGGATCGCGCGAATGCGTTCGGTACTGCTCTCGGTGGAGAATGCCGGCGGCTCGTGCACTTGCTACCTGTTACCCCCCAGTTGTGCCCCTTTCCAGGTTTAGGTGGATCACTTAACAGGATCCACCTTTTTTTTTTTTTTCAAGTCATCATAGGAAGTTTATCGCTGCAGAGCTTGCTGGACTTGTCGATCGAGCGACTCAGCCCGAGAGCAATCTCCCAACTCATCTCGGTCGGAATTTCGTCGGCGTTCGTACACAGAGGCGATTACAATTGAATCATTTTTCCACTTTTGGAACGGCCCTCGGCAATTGAGATGGAATCGCGGTAAACTGCTTTTTATCTCCTGGCATTTGCATTTACCGGCTGTCCTTCTCCGCTCTTCCGTGATTCCACAAAATGTCAGAGCACGGATTAGCATTTTTATGATAACTTGAATGTCCGTTGTTGTAATGCGAAGTATCCGAAAAATTAAATAAATTCCAAGAATTCCTCCGTTTTAAGTTCGGTAAAAATGTGGTAGCTGAAATTTTTGTAATTACCTCTGCCAACACCGGAAGAGTACTTGTAAGTTCTGCATGAAATAACCGTAAGGACACCTAGTGGTAGGTCAAGGAATTATCCGTCATCTTTGCTCGTCTGGCAAGTCGACATCTGCTGATCCTGAACCTACCGATGGCAATTATTCGAATTAATTCCTAACGTTATTAATCAAGAGGTTATCACGGATGGTTACTCCGCACGGCATGTGCATGGCTAATGCAGTTACTCGTTCAAAGACGCCAAATTTTTTGCGGTTCGGGATAAAAAATATAATGTATCCGTATGAAAAGGTCCTTACGTCTCCGGAAAAAATTTATTAGATTTTTTAATATTCTCATTTAAAATATCCATTGTAGCGATATTAAAGTAGGAGCTGAATCAGCTGATTTTTATGTGCAGCGGTCATTTTTCTTCGTTTACAAAATGGCGCGTGGTCGGGAGCGAAAATAATCAGTAGTTCTGGTCCATCAATGGTCAGTCATCGCGTGTACTCTCGGGGCATTGTTAAGGTTGATAATGATTCAGGATACCGAAGACAACGGTGGGAAGCAACCGTAATTGTCGCGGTATTTTCATGGCAAAGGTCGGCCATGATCAAGACTCATCCTTTCCCTTTCCTTTCATCGCCTGAGGAATTTGTTCCCTCTCTCTTCCAGACTCATCTTCCCTTTCAGAGACCTCCTTATCTATTCAAATCGCCCTCCTCCACCTCATTCCGAGACTCTACATTTACCCTTTACTCCGCAGGCATTAAATGTTAATCGATCTGAATTTCCTCCGAGAAGTTGAAAGTGTCGTTCTCGAGACACGAATATATGCACGAAAATAAATGCATTTATCGCATTTTTTCTTCCGAAGATTTTTAAACATTTTTAAACAAAGACCCGTTTGCTCTCCAATTCTACGATTCCATTTTCCGAAATTTCTCATATCTTCGCAACGAATAATTCGACGGCAAGATGAATTCTAGATTCTAGCAATAAAATCTTAAATTAATTATCGTTCGTTTGGAATAAAACGAGACATGGGGGTTCTTTCGACAATAGTCTTTATTTACACGTACAAAAGTCACAACTTATATTCGCATTTTGTCAGTGCAAACATGCACGTAGCGACCTTGCAGCGCACAAAGCAGCGCAAGGTGCACTGGCGTGTCTGCATGTTTGACGGTGTCTTAATCTTTCTTTTTCCCCCTTTCATCTATTTTAATTCTCCTCGTATTTTTCACACAGTAGTAGTATTTTCTCGTGGTATAGTTATATTGCCTGTGCGTATCGCGGTCTGTTACACATGTACTCTATTAAAAAATATAGAAAACTATATTTATTTTTATGGATGCGTTGGAAGCTCGGGTCGGTTGTGTCCATGGCAAGCTGGCTTCTTTACGTCAGGTCACAATTAGGATAGGATTAAAGTAATTAACCTGAAAGCAAGGGAAAAAAATTAGAGTAGTCACAAAAATACGTCTCTTTGGAGATTTCAAAAATTCCCCGAAAAAGTTGAAAAAAAAAATCGGACAAATTCGGTAAAAATTGATATTTAATATTTTTTGGGTCTTTTCGAGTTTGAGACATTTAGAGGCTAGATAGCGATTTGATATCAACCTCGTGGCGGTGGCCTGCCCTGGCCGGCATCGTCTTCTTCAGGGTGAGCCGCGTTCCACGCGAGTGCTCTTTCGATTTCTGGGGGAATTGGGGGTGCCGTGGGGATGTGGGATCCCTGGGCTTGGAATCCATTTTCATCGGCAACGAAAGTCAGACTGACTTGCTGACCGTCGGGTGCCACGTAGCTAGTAGATCCTTGAGAAACTACCGGCGTCTCACCGTCGATTTGCTTCGGCTGGCCCGACTCTTGGTGGCTGATTCCGTTACTCGTCTCGAAGCTGACGTTAAAATTCGATTAGACATTTTTTTTTAAATTCGGAAAAACCAATTATGTAGTTTCCCAAGAGTAGGGCAAGGCTCCTTGTCACTCACTTGTTAACGTAACTACCGTCGAAGTTGACTTCGAGCTGCTGAGAAGTGATCACTGCATCTTTCTCCGAGCCACCCCCAACGGGTGGCCTTTGGGGCGCGCAGAGAGTTCCTGTCGCGCATAGCGCTACCGCCAGCAACACCTGGAAAAAAGATATTTATTAACCATTTGGAGAAATTAAACGATTCTTCTAACAAAGTCACGTATTCTATATTTTTAAAGGATCAACCGAGGGAGGAAAAGAATTATCCTTGATGGCGAGCTTGGGGACTTCCGATGAGAGTGCATCCTGGTGCATCGTGAAAGTAAATTCCACGTCTTCGTAAAGGGCAGGAGGAGATGATAATGCTCGTAAACCGTTTAGCTGTATTACGTCAGTTGAAATGACATTATGAAATATAACGCAAGATGAGCGTAAAGCGTCCGCAATGAAATGTCAATTTTCTCGGCGTGTCCTTGGCGCAGGATGTGCAAACTCGCGGTGCACGGAGATATCCTGCCTTTATGTAACGCGTGTCATTAGTTTCGGTCCATTTTGCAAAACGGGGGGAGGGCAAAATGTCTTCTCGGAAGGCTTCCCAAAGCTCGACTAATTGCGCCGCTAATTGCGCGTCCACTTTCTGGTGAAACCTCGGACAAGGGAGGACATTGCGCAATTCGGATGGCTTCATAAACGCTTGGATAATTGCGGAATTGCGGAAATTTCATTAATATCGATACAGGGATTACTGTGTCGGGTTACAGGGGTGAGCAATTCCAGAGAGCGCAATGAGTTACGAGGATGATCGTTAATGATGCGTCTTTAATCAACCGCGAGGTCAACAGTTCGTGTAGGAAGTAATTCCGAAGGTAACGCGTTGCATTGACATTCTTGTATACGAAAGGAGGAGCAGACTGTTTAAAAATAATTGTGATCTAGGGAATTATATCAGAAAATAATTTCAAGCGTGGATCGGAGGATCGTCCAGAATAATCGAGAATGCACCTTGGGGATGAATTACTGAATGTTTTTTTTTCCATTGACACTAACACTTGATCTTGTCAACGCATCGAGAGATATCCGATTCGAAAAGTGACATTTAAACATAGGTGCGGCAAGTTGGCGATGCTGCAGGACGGAAAAGTGGTACAAAGTGAAATGCAAACTGCATTACCTCATACCTTAGAAGGAGATTCATCGGACTTGCACCGGAGGCACGAAGTGCACTCGGTATTCGTGATTATCCACTGCAAACTCGACTAAACGGAAAGAAATCTTGACACGAGATCCTCCGACGCGTTAAGAACTCTTCGTCATAAAAAACGGGAGGAAAGAATTGCGCTTTGAAGGAATTTTCCAAATGCGCGGAAAAATGAAGAAAATCGGTCACCCTTGATACCTCCATATCATGAAAATTTGGATTTTTCAAGATCTCGGCAAAGGGAACGAAGCTTGTCGAAATTTCGGATTTCTAGTGAAGAATTAAAATGAAGAATTGACAATTCCCTCAAAAATAATTACAGGGTAAGGGTTCGCTTAGTTCCTCATTTCATTATTTTCAACAGTTACTCTTTGACATTTATGTTTAATAACTGAGGTTTCAAATTCCGAATGCAAAATCCATGATCCACCCAGCGCACTATTTAATGCACTCTGAACGGGTTTGACTGACGTCGAAGAAAATTTCAAAAACGACTCAAAATGTGGATCGAATCCGCAGAAAATGTTGAAATATCGAAACCGACTTACCTTAATAGTGTACATAATCTGACACTTATGCTGTCGTGGAGAAGTGAAGATGCAGATGGGTTGGTACTTGTGATTCTTCGTTAGAGGCGAGGCTCTTTATATACACGGCCGTACCAACGTGGTACAGTGAAAGGGGTCATCCCTGCCCTCTTCACAATGCACTTCTTCTGACCAGTGCATCTTCGGAAAAGAAGCAGCACCACCTAGAAGTCGAAAGCTCCTCCCCATAAAAACTCGACGGTCGAAATTATGGGGCCCGAAAAATGCAAATCTGCCGAAAAAACGCGCAAAAAGCTCGCCCCTTCCCTCTGCACTTATCGAGCCTCTACGCTTTTGACAATGTCAATATATTCCCCGGTAGACATTTTAATGGTGGGTGACGGTATCAGCGAAATACCGGGATAAAGGGAGAATGATGGTAAAATGCTCCGAGGAAACAATGTCTAGGCCATCCATGGGTATGCAATTTTATTAACATTAACGCAATTAATGGCACGTAGTGCAGCTGCATCCTTTATGCAACGATTTCGGTGGCCGAATTTTTTACAGTTTTATTAACGCGTTGGGTAAAAGTATAAAATAATTACAAAATGACCAACAAATCGTTTATGGAGAACCTCTTTTACGGTCGATTTATACTCCTCGCATAACTTCCTCCTTCAATTTCTTTATTAAATCTATAAATAAATTTCGGAATTTCATTAAGCTTCCCAGTTATTCGCGGAGGCTTGCATCACGTCATTCATGTGTCAACGCAACGTTAGGCACGCATTTATTGTCGCATAGTGCGTACTAGTATAGACAATGCACGTTAAGTGCATTTCTTGGACTCGTCATTCCGTCATCAATTATTCGAGACAGTTGTTCTACACATTTTTTGATATAAAAAAGAAAAAGCCGGCCATTCGTTACTTTTTGCACCTTACGTGTGCGTTTCGATTTCACCCGCGTTCAGGGATTTTGTAACGATTTTCAATGACTGCACCGTCCGATAAGTGCATGTCTTCGCGATCAAGTTCCGTCATCTCGGAGGATGAGATCGACCATGCATTGCATACTTGCAGAAACTATGCACCGCACACCAGTACACTGTCGTGCCATAATGTTCGTCCTTTGGCGTTGCGTTTCGAGTTGCATAATCATATTTAATAACCGCAGCCTCTGCGAATAGCCTCTCTTCGGATATACTTTTCGCAGGTGCTGCAGGTGCATCGCTGTCAACCGGATAAGATGCAGCGCCCCTGCAGTTAGGATCACGATATCGAGACGTAAACGTCGAACCTTGACGAAGAAATATATAATAAATGATAATAAATAATTTACACGTGAATTTGAGAGGCTCTTTGAGCCGATGGATGACGAAAGTGAGCTCGGAGTCATCTCGATCAGAATTTGTCCCCAGGCGTAAAAATATGCACTTCCATATGAAATCATCCAGCCCTTTGGAGATTTCCTTTCACTGGCAGGTCGTAAAAAAAAAATTCCATTCCGACCAATCAAAGATAGGTTTACCGCTAATGAATGTTCCGAAAGTTGTCAAGCGGCTCCGCAATGCAAGAATCTGCCTCTCGTCGCGCGTAGGAATTAATAGAAAAGGAAAAGGACTTTACCCGGCACGTAATCATTATCACCGTTTCATTGAAAGTGTCAGGAGGTACAAATGTTAATCCGGCCACGTGGGCGGAAGAAAGTTGGTTAACTACATTTTTACATACAATTATCCCCGAATCCTGAGGACTCGAAGCGGGGGAAAAATTTATATTAACAATCGTAAATGTTTGATTAGACGAGGAATTAATTAGAATAGTGATTTGCGCGATGCAGGTGCTTATTAAATGGAAAGGAGAGATCGGAGGACTGGATTTTCATAAATCGTCGCCAAGAGGGAAGACGAGCCTCTCGGAGGAAATATTAATCTTGTCGCGAAGATCTCTCGCAGAGGATCGACTCTTCCTCCTTTTCCAACACGTCCTTCACCCAGTCGATGTTCCAATATTGGAAGAGCGACGAGAGCAATTACCATGGACACTCGCCTGCACTTTTGCAAGGCCCTCGAGATGCACATATCCGAGCACCCAAAATGCCCCGGCGCTGATTGTTTCATGAATATTCATTTTATCTGCGAAAACGACGTCGTGCGTTTTTACAGGAATTTGTGAAAATACATGAAATATTGCCAAGAGATTCAATGATTAATCGCGACGATCGCTGCAGCTGTCAATTCGACGACCTTTGAAATATACCATCGAGTAGTTTGTGAAATCGGGATTATTTCTACAGCGAGGGAAGACCAAAATTTATGCAGTTTGACGAACTGGTTTTACAGAGTTCTTTGACGGGTTACTGGACTCGTGCAATACATATCCTGGTAATCGGACGTGCTCTTATCACGTGGCTGTATAAATTCCAGATACAGGAACGTAAAACTAGATATTGATATACGCTTTTCGAGGTGGAAAATGGGACGCGCAATAAATATAAATTATTTAAATATTTTGTTTTAATTCTGCATCGAAACTTCCGCATCGTATAGTCGTCCTTTAACACCGTCATATTTATCTCCGCATTGAACGCTTATTCCTTGATCGACCAGATATAATTGCGCGGCGATCACTCGCGCTATTATGATCGAACATCCGAGTTGCATCGCGCATCCGCATATGCGTTTTGCGATGCATTTTTACGACCTTGTACACACGGCAAATAATGGTCGTTCGTATTTGAAGGAAACGACACTCACACGGATCTCCGTTGCGTAGGTAGAAAAACTCTGGCATTTTTCAAATTCCGAGGTTGGAAAAAAATCGGCCTTGACTTACGTCGTTATTAAAAAAGGAGAGAGAAAATTGCAAAATTAGTTCGGCTCCGATTGGACACTGGCAAATAATTTTTCGACCCTCTAAAATGCGTTAAGTTGCGCAAGAGTTAATAAAAACGTGTTCGTTCGGTATTTCCATAATTTTTTAGCGAGTCGAGACGGCGACCGAGTGTAATGCATTCACGAGTCCGTTCACCCGATAATGTAGTTCACGTTTACGTCAGAAAGGTCTGCTCAGGAACCTCGTCTGGAAGTGGTCTAGCCCAGACCTTGAGACAGTTCACTTTCACGTTACAAGTTATTCTTGGTGAACCGTCTCTTCATTAACATCGCTTTGTACGCTACGAGCTATTTATTACTCGCTTCGCGCTAGACCGAGCAAGAGTCGGATCTTGAATTGCGGCAACTTTTTCCCCTCGAGTACTCTCTGCAAACTCGCCGAAGAGACCCGGTAGCCGAACGAGTTGCACAAGCCTGCAGGTAAGTGCACTTTGCGTGGAAACAGGTGCCGGAGGGATTGTCGAACATTTTTTATTTCAGAAAAAGACATAGCATTTCAAATGAATTTTGTAAGGTGCAAATCAGAACCCCATCGCCTTGTAGACCGGAGATCCGAAGTTCGGTGGAAGGCGCGGGTCTTCCGGCATCTCTTCCAGGTGGCCTGCAGGTTTCAATTTCGCGATTAATTCCCTTCGACCGGATCAATTAGCTCCTGGAGGAATTCACGATCGTTACATCAGGTGGGCGCCAAAGGCAGATGCATGACACACGGAGGCGTAGGCCAAGTATTCGTGTTAGTATGTCGGGAGGCTGGACCGAGATGCAAGTTGCGCGTTTTGCGCGCGATTCCGTCCCAAAGGCTCGATAATACGATGACTAAGGACTCATCCGCCAATTTCTGGTAGCGGTAGCTAACACTGTCGATAATAACAATGGCAATAATGGCCGGCAGTCCGGAGAGTGACCATTAAGGTAATGGAAGGTAGCGACGAGGCGTCGTGATTCGAGACCGAGGTAAACGCACGGAATGATCGATCTCAGGGCCAGATTCCCTGGAAGTGATTACGAGCACCTGCCAATGACACCCAGGACCAATTTGAGAGGACCTATCTAAATTTCTCCCCCTTACCCCTGTCTATCTCTCGAAGACCCCCAGCAGCGACTCCCTCTCACCTTGCAGCCTACGAACGAGCGCTTAATTTAATTAAATTAATTTCTGGAATTTTCCAGTGGCCCCAAGAAATTTCCATAATTTTTGTGGAGTTTCTCGCTCGTTCTCTTGCACGTCCCGTGCAACAATTGCATTTCAGGCATCCGCAAGTATTTATTCCTCGGCTTCGTTCCCCTGCATTTGCGGGTCGTGGCAAACTATCCGCTGGAAAGCATCCATCTCCGGTTCACGATTCTCTCTTGTCGCTCCCTGCTCGTCTTCGCCAAATGATTAGGAGATTTCATTACTCGTAATGATCGAGTAGCATACAATGAGACTCGAGCTCGGCTGCGGAAAGTCGACCACCTCGGCGATGACACCGTGAGAAAATGTCTTCCGTCGAGGAAAGGGCATTCCACTCCACTCCTGAAATTCGATATCGGCATTATCTGTACTGTTTAAATTTATTCTCATTAACATAATTTCCCCGCGATATTACAACAGTGAGGAGGCCGGAGAGGATCACGACAGGCGATTAACTGAAATTAGATAATCACAGCCGTGCATTTTTGGGGTGTAAACCGTGCATTACCATATTTCAGCGTTTCCTGGAGAGCAATAATAACCGATAATGATCGTCTTAAAAATATAATGAACATCCCCGGACGATGGAACCGTCTCGCGGATTACTAGATAAATTATATAGAATTTTTCTTCCCTTTTACACGAACGCGATACGCGAAGCGACACCCCGACCTTCCATACAATGGCTCGAGTCCGAGAAATTAATTATCGGGAAGGCTCATTACTTGCGCCAACTACCTATTTACCCTATCTCCCGTGTCCGCATCACTGTCGTTAATAAAGGACCGTTCGTTAATTCATTCCGCGACGGCGATTTATCTGATTCTGTAGAATTGGACGGGAGTCGAGCGTATCCTCGAGTCTGGCCATAAAGTAGGCTAGCTTCGAAAAAACTTGACAAATAATCCCCAGTGACACCGCATCCTTCTCTATCTGCTATCTTATCACTGCAAAATCTCGGGTACTACCATTCGAGTACACTTCCCATATCTAGAATTTTTTCCAAATTTTTTAAACGAATCCGTAGTAGTCGAGAGCCTATCTCGGGGCTGAAAATGGGGATTTCCCAACACCTCTTGCCGGAATACCCAGAACGAATCGCAATTAACGATATCATAAATAGGTAACGGGCTCCTTCGTCATACCGATACCTGGATGCACCCATGGGAGTGCATCCTGCATGCAACGGTGCTGAAAAATGCAGCTTCTCGAGCATTGTCTCCTCGCCTCGACGTCACTTTCTATTTATATGGGAGCATGGTCGGGGTTAAAGGGCGATACGTCCCGAAAATTCCTCCACCTTCGATCTATCCGTTTAATCTGGGCGATCTATCGGAGCGATCGATCGGGGCGCCCCAGCGACCTCTGACGCTGAACTCCACTTTGGCTGAAAAAGTGACCTAAAGCGTTGTTTAAGGTGAAAAGAGATGGTGTAAAGATGGGGCAACCTTTCGCCTTGTGGTTATGTAAGACCGCGGGCTGACTGACCTTTAGTTCGTTCATGGCATGCGGCATTTACGTACTCCGCCGATTACGATGTATTGGTCTCCTCTGTTCGCAGAAGATGGCTCCTTCCCTCTCTGGGATTTCTGATCGGCTCAAAGAACGTGCCAGAGAGGAACGCACTAACTGCCGATGATGACTGGACGAGCCTCCGCGTGCGTCGATGTTGCCCTCGTATATCCTGCAAAACTGCATATCTCGCGTCCTCCGCTTTCTGCCCCGAAGTTCGGCGTCCTTTTGTCCCCAGGATCTCGAAGAGATTTTTCTTAAAGCCTCATGAAATTTTATTTATCAGGGATAAGACGTACGATTCGTGGGTGGGAAGGCTCCTCGGGACCTCCGATCATCCCAGGAATGCACTCACCCGGTGATGATGGCGCACCTTCACCCTCGTGCATCTCCGCATAGCTGCTACTTGCGTTCTGGCGAATTTTGTCCCGCTCTGTCGAGGATATTAATAAAGCTTAGGCGAAGAAGGACGCATAATTGCCTTCGAACACGAGGAGACCCTGACCGCGGCCTCCGGCGTCGGGCCATGGTCGGTCCTCTTGGACTTCTCCACGTGAAGAACCTTCGAAAGAGATGCTCAAAAAATATTCCCGCGTCATTCGGGAAGATACATTCAATTCCACGAGTGTTTCTCAAGTGGCAATTAATTGCAGACGTACCGCGTCGTTTGGATAGTCAGACCTCGCACCTATGCGAATGCCTCCCTCGACATAAATTCAATGATCTCAATGGATTTCGCGGAATGCAAATGTCGCGCGCCTCTCTCATCCCTGCCGCATCCAGATCGCGAACAAAGCGATGGGGCAAATACCAAATGGGCGAAGTAATTATTTCCATGGACCGTAACCCCGAGCAAAGTGTCAAAGTAAAGGTGTTCCAGTGACATCGATAATCCAGGCTTAAAAAGAAATATTAAACTCGGGAACTTTCAATTTACATCTTAAGGTGTAAATATGGCTATACTTCAGGCTACAGCGGATTCTTGATATTTCTTCCGTGGACTTGTTCGGCATCCCCGGCTGCCAAGATTTGGCAAGCCGTTAACAACTCGAGAGGAATAGCCTGCAATTAGGGTGTCGATATTTGTATTGGGTGCATTATCCGCATCGGCACTCGTAGAGGCAATCCCAAGTAAGCGAAGGTGAGGCTTATTTCGCGTCGCGGATGCCGCCGACGTGTGGTACACACCCACGAATAATGGGAAAGAATTGGGAAAGAATTTCTAGCGGAGTGCAGGAATTGGCAGAATTGCACCTCACCGTAGCGATTCGATTTCCCAAGAGGCCGAAGTGACTATTGTGTCTCGGTGCCTTTGTTGGCCCGAGACACCTGGAGTGCAGTGGTAGGTGCATCCGCAAATTAGCGAAAGGCGCGACCACTGGCACAAGTACCCGGTACCCGTTAACGAGACTATTAGCATATTTTTATTATATTTTACTATAGCAAGTATTCGCTAATTTAATCAAGCAGGGTTTCCCTAAAGGTCTCATCGATCGCTGATTGCGATATCTTATCGATGACGAATGGAAGATCATAAAATGGGAATTCGAGAAGGCCGAGCATAAATCCGAAGATTTTCAGTCCATAAAGTGGAGATTACGCGTACGTTCGATAATCAATCCATTTGCATCTTGCCGAGAGTCCGGATCCTTATGAAAGTGATCGACGACTTAAGCGGGTGCAGCAAATGAGCTTCGTATGATTTTACAAGATAAGACAGGAACTTCATCCCTGGATCTTAAATATTGCCTTGATATCTATAGATAGTACGGTAAGAGTAGGGAATTTTTTATGGATCGTTTCGCCTCGAAAAATATTTTTTTTCTTCATCTTTTAGGGCGTGCCACGACCGTCCCTTGGCTCGTGCATGTGCATGGCCGGGTCAGAAAGTGCAAGTGTAAGTGCACGTGTAGGTGGGTTTTGATGGGGAATTCAGACAAATAATTACGATTACTCGTATGGACGGGTCTAATGAAGCAATTACATCTCTTAGACCGACCTCCGTCTTCGGTGGAATAAGATCGTCTCGCCTTTCCCCGGGTTGCACAAGTTGCATAAGTCCTGAAATTTATTTCGTACATAATCGGGCACTTGTCGATAGACCTCGGATTGTAAATAATATATTTACAGATGCTCTCGCCGACCCATGCCAGACGGCCGTAAAAAGCGTGGACAGGACTTGCGGAATACCTTGGCTTATCCGCAATTATTTATTTCACGGATACTTCAGTCTTATCCATTTATTACCGAAGATGCAGATGATCCGTCGATGCATTAAACGAGTGACTTTGCTTGTTATCGAGGGAGCATTATGATATTCGATATGCCATCGCGAAGCAGGAAATGGCGCACATCAAGGATAACCGAGAATGCAATTGGTGGTTTTAGTTCGTCCTTGCGTCACACCTACCACTTGCAATTACTCGTTACGTGCATCCATAACGTCGGCATGTACGGATCAAGATCAAAACTCTTGTTCGGAAAAGAAATCCCTGTACATAAATCAATCCCTTTTGCGTTCAAACAGCATTTTATCTTAACGTTCTTCGACGCGAACATTTCCGAAAATCAACTATCTGGGTTTGCGGTTATGTGCCCTTGTAAAAATTCTTAAAAGCATGTTAAATGTCTTGGCACATACAAACATTTGTAAAAGGCGTGGTACAGAATTCGTTGTAAAATATTCGAGGTACAAGCTCAACGAGTACAAGATAAAGGAATTAGGAAAGTACTGTAAAATCCAAAAAAATTGGATGGAACATCTTCAATCTTCATTGTTCATACATAGAATTCCGCCTTGGATGAAATGTCGTACTGAATCGCTTCGTTCTTGTACATTTCGATGGTCTGAAACAGAAATTTCGAGATTCTTCGTGAGTACCTCGTCGAAATTGCGAAAGCGTACTCACCCAATTTCTTGTTTTTGTTCTTGGGCACGACGAGTCGAAAAAAAATTACGATTAATTAATTAATCTAAGCGTTAATCCGAACGTACCGCATCGATTTCCTTGCCCAAGTCCGTGACTTGTTTCTCGTGGGTGACTTTCAGCTTCTCCTTTTCTCGATTTTGCTTGATTTGTACGGTTTTCCTCTCATCCATGAATTTTTTGGTATTGTTCTGCTTCTTCTCCCTTAGCCTTCGGTCTTTGTCTCCTTTGGTCTTCAGAGCTTTGTCGTTCATCACTTCTTTCGCCGTTTCGACCGACACTTTGGCTTGATTCGCGTTCATCTCTTTGATGTCTCTGAAATTTGAGCGCGCAAAAAAAATGAATTTATCAAGGAAATTTATATTAAAATGAAGAAAGTGAAGTAAAGAACATACTTGTCGTGCTTAACCTGCAGCTGCTTATTTTGATTCACCTGCACGACTTCGATTAATTTCTTCAGTTCATCTTTGGCAGCGTCTGTCTGATTTTTCATCAACTCCCATTCCTCTTTTCTCTGTTTCTCCATCATCGCAGTCCACTGTGCAGTTTGCTCAGAAATTGTCTTCTTCACGTTGGCGTCTTGAATCAAGGAATTCTTACTGAAAAGTCATTAAAAAAATGATTCAGTCTCTTTAAAACATAATCCGACAGCCATTAATTTTCCTCACTCTTTCCCTTTGACCAATTTGTCAATGGCGGCGCAGTGATTTTTCTGCATTGTTTGCCGCTCCTTCAGATGTTTCTTCCGCAACGTGTCGAGCTCTTTTTGCTGTTTCTTCCCCGACTTGAAAAGCTTTTCTTTTCTCAGAGACTCCAACGTGATCGGATCTAACTTAAATTCCGCTGTAATCAAAGCAGGTCAGTTTTAATAATGAAATTATAATTTAAGGAAGAATCGAAAATTTCCGGAGAGAGTTAAATTTTTAGTCAAGACCTTTCTTAGCCTCTTCCTCCTTTTTCTTCTTCTCTTCTGCCTTCGTGTCGGTCTGTTCAATTCCTAGACCTTTCATCGCCTCGGCTTGTTTTTCAGCTCCTTTCGAAAAAGCTCCGGGGTCAGACAGCATCGCCATGAAATCTGTGAAATGAAGTGATGATTTAAACAAAATTATTTAATAGACATTAATTTATTCCACTCACCCTCGAAGCCATCGGGGACGTAAATTTTCAGTTCGATGTTGCAGAAAAGCATAGGAAGTGCCATTGGGAAATTTGCCTCGGTTTTCAAGGAAATATGTCTGTATCCAGCTTGAAGACCATCCAGGGGCAAGATTCGTTGTCCCAATAATTTTCCGCTCTCTTCGTACACGCCTTTTCAAACAGAATTCATATTCCACTATGCGAAGGAAAATCTCAATATTTGTATACTCGCATTGCAACAATTACCGATTCTCAAAACCGCCAAGTCCGGTAGCACGACTTTCCGGAAAAGAAACGGTTCTTCGTTGTAAACAGGATTTAACCCATTGCCTGGCACCATTCTTGTCCTAAACTCTTTTTTTATGGTGTCGGCCGGTAAACCGTACATGTCCACTTCAACGTAAGTCCCGACTTTCTTATCGGACAAGAATTGGCCGGCTATCACCTGAGAAATATTATTTATTCGAATTAATCCCGCACGATGGAAACGATGCATGTTTCCCATAACTCGTATGTTGCCAAAGAGCTGTTTATTAATCTTTCTGGAGCTTACTTGGACGGAACATTGCGCAGTAATTACACCATCCACGCCCTCGGCGAAAGGATCGAAACTTCTATCTGGTCTCCTCATGAAATCTGGTTTCAGTAAATAACCAGTTGTACCATTGTATTCAAATTTTCCCTGATTCAGTTGCATCGGTAGATCAGGAGTTTGGAAATTCAAGGCGACCATTTGGCAGCCGGCATTCCAGAAGACCTAGCAGATCGAAATAAAAAAAATCACCCTGACGTCTCGCATTTATATTTAAGTACAAAAATGTAACTCCAATAATCGGACATACCTGAGGCATATAATTCGAGGAATCGGCTCGCGTGCCCTTCGGGTAAATTCTGCTCATCTGCCGTTTATTATAATTCACAAATTCCACGGAAGAGGTCTTTAAGTAATTCAGCGCAGCGGTTTCGGAAAAGGACGACATGTTGTGATGGATATTTTTCTCTGAAAAGAGATGGTATTAGAAACGGTCAAAAAGGAAAATATTAAAATTCTTCTTCCAGAGGGTTGTCAACATTTACTCTCGGCGGTTTCGAAGCTCTGAAATTTGATGGGCTGGGCATAATTGATCATCGATGACAGCCATGGATGACACGCCATGGTACTTCCGGTGTACTGGATCGGAGGGGCTTCGCCTTCTGCCCCTCCTTCGCCAGGTGGAGCACCTTCCGCAGGTGGGGGAGGTTCTTCCTGATAAAAAATTAAGAAAATATTATTCTCACAATCTCGTAAATTCATTGAACTATTTTTAGGATTTTCCGTGCTCAAGTGAAGCGGCTTGGAGTTAAAAGGGAATTCACTTTTGGAGGCTCCGCGACCGCGGGAGCGCTCGCGTCTTCCACGACTTCGTCTTTGGCTTCGAATTGGCCAGACCGGAACAGCTCCAGTTCAACCTTCTCTACTTCCGGCTTCAATCTCTTGTTTTTAATGAGTATCTTCCGTTTCAGCGCACACGGCGGAGGAAGAGGATGTCCGGGCTCTAGCTGCAAAGTCGCGTGAAATTCACTTGCATAAGTGTACGACGCACCAACGTTAGTGACATGAAATTCACGCGGATAAATTGTTATCGAATTTATTTACAGGGTAGTCCTTCAAGGGCTCCTTCAGCAAGAGGTCGCCTAATATCTCGTCGCAGTACTTTGCCAATTTGTATTGCTGCTTCAGGCAGCAGTGATTTTCGAAACTGAGAATTATCGGGTAATCCGAGGTGACGAATGCGCAATCTCTCAGGGCGATGATCACGTCTTTGAATAAAATATCGGTGCACATCGCTTTCCCGTGAGTTATTATCGGCTCCTCGTCCTCGCCTTTGCCGTCCCAGCAATCCAGTTCGACGCACCTGCGGAAGTGAATTTTTTTTAATTCAATTTGAATATCGATTTTTCGTGTATTTTGGGCATTTTTATATGAGGGATTAATTGAAAAAAAAATAATAAAACGGAAATACCTGCAACCAGCTAGGAGCACTTGTCGATACATTTCCACTGTGCTCTTTCCACCGATTTGTCGCCCACTTAGGTATGTATTGTGGCTCGAATTTATGTAATAATGGGAAAGAGGTTGGTCCATCTCCATCCATTCTTCCAGTTTGTCCAAGAATACCGGCGCGTTCTCATCGGACATCAGGTACCGGATAAATCCGTCTTTCGTGAGCTTTTCTAAATGGCAGAATTAGCATACTTCGTGTAATATCTCTCGGGGATTTTGTGAGGCTAAGCGTTCGGTAATCCATCGTAGGACGGTCTTTCGAAATTTTTTCCGAAGCTGAGGAGGAGTGTACCTACTTTCACTTTTAGCTTTTTCGTCACGTTCGTAATCGGTGATTATCTCCATACACCTTTTGTCGTCGTATAACGGGTATAGAATTTCATTCAGCCGTGGATCTCTTTGCTTTTCGTTCATGAACGTGACTAACTGTTCCAAACTGATCGAATCTGCCTTTCCCTTCGTTCTGGAAAATAATTCTCATCTTATTTTTTATTCCAGATTAATTATCACCCGGTTGAACTCACATTGATTGGAATAACTCCTCGATGTCATTTCTCGGGCAAATTTTGTGGTACAGCGTGTAAAACTTTTCAAAGGTGAACGCCTCGGGCTCGATTTTATCGCTCTGCAGAAAAATCGAATGAAAACATTTACGCGATTAAAATACAAATTTATTTGCTATAGAACAAATTTTTACCTTCCCACTGGGTAGTCCTAAATCGGCCAGTCCTTGGTACACAAGTTTTTCAGTTTTTCCAGAAGCAAACGTTTTAGAAATAACTTTTACAGGGACTTTCCCCTTCGGATCCACGGAAAAACTCAGTCTCATCCAACTACAAATGCAGGAATTTAAATAACGAGTGATCTTCATAAAACTCATGAGAACAATTACTTACTGCTTCATTAACTGAGTGGTAGGACACACGTTACTCGCTTTCGTATTGTGCGTAATTAATCTGAGGCCAGCTTGCCAGTCCTAAAAATCGATGTTTTAGAAAATTCCCTCCATCCCAAAAATAAACATTTGGTCAAAAATTTACCTTCGCCTGCTGAGCATTCGCGCACACAACGTGTTGATAATGAATATTCGTGTAATCAACACCCGAACAGATAGTTAAGCTCTTTTCGTCTAATTGCTCGAGATTGCCATGCTTGCTCAGTTTATTGCATAATTTCGGGTCCTGGAAAAATGCGGAATTGATTTGTGAGAAAGGAAAAAAATACTTTATAAGTAAAAACTTGTCATAGACATATTAGTTAATACCTTTGGTGTCCCCCCATAACGTATGTCGCTCACTTGGGCCAATTCGATCACGTCACCGTCCTATAAAAAATGTTTAATAAATATCAGAAATTAGGATATCGGAGATTCGCTACCGGTTTACCTTTCCCTCGCTCTTCCAATAAATAAAGAATCCATATTCGTCGACTTTGAACAGGCAGTTAGGCTCGAATTCGGTATTTTCCTTGTCTTCGAACCATCTGTCGAAAGTCGATCCATTTCTCAGTAATTCCGGCACTGGGATCTGCCAGTTGAATTCGAACTTCTTTGTCATTTTTAAGCCTCCCCGATCTCAGTAAATTTTTGGAAATCTCCCTCGCAAAGCACAAAATGGGCAAGGTAACGCAATAAATTTGCATGAAGAGGAATTTCTAAAGAATCTGGATAAGTGGTGCAAGTTCAACGCCAGTTCGAAAACTGTTCGCATCCGGCGTTCAACTTGGCCTGGTTGGTCACGTAATTTCATTAGAATAATCCTGTTTAAAGGATTACGATGCACCACAGTTGTGCCCTGATTATTGCACAACGAGCGACCTTGATCCCCGCCGTCGAACTTGACATTAAAAATTAATAACTCTCGGAATTCCACACACTCGTGTATTAAGTCATACATTAAGTACGCGGTGGTCGCAACAACCGTAAAAAAAAAAAAAAAGAAATAAAATCTCCCCAAATACCCAAGTACACCTCGCTTAGTCTACTTAGGACGTGCCTCAGCGTTAGTCGAAAAAAGTCAATTAACACCTAACGTATCATTACCAACTATTTTGCATTTTAATCGAACGATCGCTTTCAGACCGGGTCCCTTCCTCTGCTACCATTGGAATAAATTCTCAACAAACGGAGATTATCTCCAAATACCTGACTTAAAGTTCCACTAAAACTCCGCGTTAAAGCCGAATATAAATGAGCGTTCGCATTTTGTGCAGGGCAAATACGCAAATTACGCTAATCGTACTCTCGGTCTCAACGAGTACAGGGACGCGAGGTATCTCCGAGTAATTCGCATCTTCGGAGATTTGTCCATCACTGGGATTTTTCGTGCTGTCGCTGGACGAAGTTTTGGACAAATGGCATGTTGTAGACTCTTATCGAAGCAATTGATCCGGCACAGGCTCCGACCCAATAAACAATTACATGCTCCATGGCTGAAGTTCCCAAACAACCATACTTTAGTGAAGTTGCAAGGGCAGGATTGAAATACCCTCCGGAGTAGTTGAAAGCTGAAAGGAAAAATCGCTCGATAAAATGATACGATACATCTTCTTAATATTTATCTTAAAAGCAGATGAAAATTAGGCAAACCTGCGACGACCAGGGACGTTCCCACGAATGCATCGAGAGCAGTGCCGAATCTTGGGCTGAGTTCAGAGATGCACCGCGATGCAACCCTGCACATGCAGGTGGCAATGCCTTCGATGAATGCTCCGTAAATCGCAGGAACCTGGAATTTAAATCGGTGAAAATTATTTCTCTATAATTTCTTATCTTAATCTTAATTTGAAGTCGCTTACCTGTAAATCGGTGGTGCAGTCGGAGAAGGCTCGATTTCGATGGGTGGGGACGATTTCCAAAGCCCATAACAATTGAATGTACCGGAAAATTACCAGTCCTCCTACAAGTTCTGCCCAAATCAAAAGAAAAGCCACCTTCGGGGTCTTCTTTCCTTCGACGAGGTCCTCGAGATGGGTGTAAGGACACGCGGTCGAGTCGCCCCAGTTCATGGACCACCAAATGGTCAGGACGAATAAATAAATGGCATACATGGACACTCCCCAATTGTCGGCGACTGCAAACGATTAATCGGCTCGAGTTCTTTAAGCCATAAAATGTATCGCTAATAATTTTCCTTAATTCCTGATGTTTTAAATTAAATTTTCAAAAAGTCGCACTCACTTATGATGAGCTCGAAGCAGGATCCGCAGAGTTCGGCAGTGGCGATTCCCTCGAGGAACAAAGATTTCACCAGAGGTCTTCTGATATAAAAATCGACGTACCTCCTGGCCCAATATGCGATTAAACTCGTCAAAATAATGTAGAGGGTGGAGACCCCCAAGGACAGTAACGTGGCACCCATGATTTAATTTGACTAAAAAAAGTTGGAAGAAGATATGAGCATAAATGCTTCAAATCGTTACGGACATACAACGAGACGTTATTAATTGATTATTAAATTATTACACTTGAACGGGTGGCTATTTACCATGGGCACTTATCGGCGTCATACTTCCTCGTTTGCTATATTATTTCGGTGCCGTTAGTATACATTTTTGCTAGTTCTTCCCTGACTAGAGGACCTCTCGGAAGCGTGGGCAAAACCGGGTAAATATTTAATTATTTAATTATCTCACAGGGGAATTAGTGGATAAACTGAGAATACGATTATTGGCCAGTCCAATGGCTGACACGAAGCACGAGTGGCTATGTATCAACGGAATGAAAGAGACGCAATTGACCACTGAGTAACTCGCAGAATAATTTCGACTAATAAGTGTCTCATTGAGATCGAATCTTCTCCGTGTAAAAATAAGATTCGCATCGAAGTGAGCATTCTTAAAAAATTGCTCCTCTACTCTAGGACAAACGTCAATTTGTATAAATATCCGTATTAATTACATTTTTTAAAGCATAATAGAATCGGTATATTTTTAAAGATAGATATAGAATTTAGTTATCGAAGAAAAAATAATCATCGGAATTCCGAATATTTCGCCGCAAGGTCGCACCAGGGCGTTATGCAATGTTGGTACAGGGACTGTCAAAATCCGCACGCGTTAGCGATTTCCACTCGGGGCTTTAAAACAGCGAATTATCACAACTTTTATTATAATCCGCAAATCGGAGCTCGGTTAGTTAGTACGTAAGGGATGCCCGTGACGTTAGGCGAATTTTCAAAAATTCTAAAAACCTTTTCCCAAGGGCCAGAACGCCTGCAGCACGGCCACTCTTTGAAACTGGTCAGTGTCAAATATACCCTTGCACTCCTCGTCGCCTTTAAATAGACACAGCCCGAATTACCCGATGAAGAGCGCAAGCTGCATTTATTGGCATTTTAACGTCATGCGGGGAAATCGTCGCACACGCAAATTAGACAAGAATCGCAGCACTCGCGATCTAGCTCGACGGCAAATTTTCTTCGACAAGATTTTCATCATTTATGCGGCGCGATATATTCTTTTTGTCGGCATAAATAAAGATCTCGGTCGACATTTGAATTCTTTCATTAGGACGCGCAAATTGTATTAAGAGTACCGAACAAGAGCACGTCGCTCTATACGCTACGACACTTTCACCTGGTATATCGTAAAATAGCTTCAACGGCGCATGTTGGGGTCTTGAGAAATGTTCATTAACATTCTGAACGTGAATGGCGAGATTATTGCGAAGGTATGCCGATAGGAGAGGCAGAGAACAAATCGGACCGCAAATCGAGCCTATATTGCGCACTATATAGGTAGAAAGAATTTTAATGAAACCTCAAAAATTAAACAAAAAAAAATCAATGAACCCATACAAGGTGGACCTACGGTCGAATAAAGGTTTATTACAGACGCAAAATTACTTTCGAATAACAAAAAGTGAGCATACTTATTCGACGTTGTGTAGGATGGTCGTTTGACAGTGAGTAATGGAATAAATACCTATACAATAATTATAGCGTACCGAGCGACGAGTTCCTACATGGTAGGTCGTACCTTAGATACTTTCTTTATAGTAAAGCAATATATAAGAAACGCGTTAACTCTTTCATAAAGGCCTCGTTATAAACAGATTCGCCGAAACGATAACGTAATTCGATGCGGCGCACCGCGATTACCGAAAATCAGGGTGCACGCGTGCAATCAAAAAACATCCAGTAAAGATCTTATCTCGAGTTCATCCCCCCTAGCTCATTACCTTAAAACGAAATTAAACAATTGCGTAACGTCGTAACCGAATTAACCCTATCGAATAGTTTCCCGATAATCGACAAAGGCCTACTCAAGTTGGTCTTATCATAACCGTGGGTATCTCAGAGGAGTCTCGAAAAATTCGCCATAAAAAAAAAAGAATAGCAACGACAATTTCGCAACCTCGCGTCGAGTCTCGGTTGACTGGCGAACGCATAAAAATGTTACAATATTCGCCGACTCCAGGCTCTATCTTTAAAAACATTTAGACTATTATCCACGAGCGCTAATGATGCGCGTAGATAACCGGATGTCCGATGAATTCGTAATTTTCTACGTAAATCTGCTGGGGCCTTCTATCATCGTGATTCCCCGAAGCTAGTCACTCGATTCTGTCCAGAAAGCACGCATGGATAGATCGTATCCAGAACGCAGGAATAATATACAAGTATAAATGTACAATTAATTAAAACGAGCTCGACCATTTCAGGGTATAAATTTGAAACGCCCATCTTGAATGACATGCGTAAAGAACGACTCGGAGAATTCGATTTCCACCGACATTCTGAATTTATAGAGTTCCCCTCCTCGTACAACGGATATGTCGTTAAGAGTTCCCGTTTATAAAACTATCTTCTCTTGCAAAGTTGACGGCTAGTGTTTTCTCAGTGCCAATCCGGAATGGTTTCGTCGCACGCATCCAACAAAAAGCGTCCAGTTATCGACAACGACGTCTCCGGCGGACCGTGTGGACAGACATATATATTTATATGTATATATATATATATATATAATTAGGGTTGCAGTTTTGCTGTTTTATTCACCTTACGAAGTAGCTAACCATACTTTGTTACATAGGTAAATGGGCTCATTCTTTAATTATGAATGCGGACTAACTTTTATGTATGACATTATAAAAAAAGAGAACAACGTTTATTTACAGGAATCGATGGAGTCCCCTTTGTGCTTCTTCGCGGTCGGTGTGTCGTCCTGAATTTCCGGCGTCTTCAATGTTAGCCTGGCGATGCGCTTTGCCTTCAGATAGGTCATGGTTTCGCTTGATGTTCTGAAACACGATAGAAGAAATTGGAGAGAAAAACAGATAAATACATCGTCGTAACCTCTGATATATCGGGATGTGATATCCAGCAACGTGTACCTCGTTTTGGTCTCGGTAAACATCTCCGTCTGACTACCCTCGGTTGAACTGTTACTTGACGATGGAGAGTAAGGAATGATTTGATAGGTAGTTCTATTTAATACTTCGCTCGTGGTTTCGGAGGCCTCCAAACCGCTTGCAACGATTGTAGGAGTCGCAGGAGTCGCAGGAGTCGCAGGATTTGCAGGATTTGCAGGACTTGCAGAAACCGTGGCGTTGGTATTGGACCGACTTTCTCCATCCGGTGCGGACTTCTTTTTATCGGTCTCTGATTTCACCGATTTCGATTCGGGATGATTTTCCGGCTTGGGTATTAACTTACCATCTTGCGTGGGAAATGTAAGCGTGGGTAAGCTTATGTTCTTATCACCTTTACTAGCGTTCATTAACTTTACCAACAGCTTCGACAGTTCCTCTCTTTTTCTCGTTACAACAATCTCTTCGAACCAGTTCCTTAAAGTCTTAATTGGCAACGTATAGTCTTTGATAGGATCCTGAAACATGGTTACGTCATGACCGTGCCTTCATCGAAACATTTATTATAGATTTCTATTTACATGGGTCAAACGTTAGTGTTCGATTCCATTACAGGACCCACCTTGAAAAAACTTTCAACGTACTGCAGCACGTAGACTCCGCAGTCTGTAAAATTCGACTGCTGCGGAACCTTCGGACTGGCTCCTTTTATAGTATCTTTAGAAAATACTTTTTCCTTCCCCATTTTGGCGAGATATTCGCAGCTTAGGTAATCTCTCAAAGTAGCTACCACCCTCGACCGACTAGCTCCAGCAAGGGAATCGAATATTAGTATGCATGGACTGAAACAGAGATAAACACGCGTATTAAATAAAAATTAATCCGCAGGGTGTATCGCAACATTTTTTTTTGCATACATTTTGACTACATCCTGTTGCTCTGGCTTGCACTGAGGAGATGGCTGTGATTTCACTTGTTGGTTCGTACCATCTTCTCGGGTTCCTTCATCTTCCTACATCATTATTGTATAGATTTAATTTAAGCTACTTAACGCGAGTGCAATAAGCTGCAACTAAATCTACTATCAATGAATCTACTCAATCCCACGATTTCAACTTTTAGTTGAAAAAAAAATATATATAAAAATAAAATGAGAGTCGAGCAAAAACCGAACCTCATCTTCGCTGTCAACTTCCATTTCTTCGTCGTCTCCTTCAGCCTCATCTCGCTCCGAGCCATCGTCTCCTTGATCTATCGTAATAGTAGTCTTAACAGGAGTTATCGTAGTACTGCCAATTGTAACTGCTTGTAGTTTCATTTCCTTCAGTTTCTTGGACTTTTGGGTGGCTTTCTGCGTGTCCTGTTCTTTCGTCAAAGGAGAGTTGGACATCACTTTCCCCACCAAACCGGGGAAACAAATTATAGCCAGGAACCAATGAGCGCTGTGCAAGTATAAATAAAATCGTATCAATTAAATAGCTCCGATAGAGACAAATTAATCAAGTACTATATCTTGGGAAATAAATATTTCTACTAACTGCTCGTTAATCGGAATGACGATAAAATCCTTTTCGAAAATATTCACATTTTTCGTCCACTTCTGAACTCTTGCGTGCCTTTTCGCGGGCGCGGAAAGAGGCACGGCGCTTTCAGCCGCCTGAGTATGCGGGCTGGTCAGTCGTTTATAGAAATATGAGCTGAATACGTGGGTTCTACTTTGATCAGCTTCCGACAGCATTTCCAAAGTTAAATATTTTAAATAAAAATCTATAATAACATCGTTCAGGAATTGATCCTCTGCTAGACATGCATAATCTTCGGTATTGATCGCTATACCACCTTTAGCAGGTGGCGGTGGGTACACCGTGATACTGCAAAGAAAATATTATCACAAGAGTGTACTAAGTACATTGGAAACGAATGAAATCTTGAACGTAGAATCCATACATACGTTTGTATGCCACTATTCACGCTGATGTTATTTGTAGAGGACGCAAGACTTTGTTTCTTTGAGATATTTTGCACTTGTAAACTCTGGAACACGCGTTATAATTCACATTTATAAAACTATGTTAACTATTTCTTTAAATCAAGCATTGAAATAAATTCACAGGAGTTACTAACATCTTTTGGCGATGCTCGCACTAGAATGTCGTTAGCTTCTTTCGGGCTCAATTCTTCCAACATACGCCTTGGTGCGAATAGGGTCTTCAAAATGACTTTTGATTCTTCTGATACTCTTTCGGGCAGTAAAGTTATTCGTTTATGCGTATGATCTGTAAAACGCGGAAAAAATAACGAAGCATTGAGAAACCTCTAATTCCTTGGTAAATATAAATGGATAAAACGTATAATAAGAACCTTTTCCAGCCGGATCATAATAGGGACCTTTGGGATCTTGCATTCCTAATAATTCGCGAATCATTGCGCCTGTACTTGTGGTCGTATAAAAAAACAATACAGGCATCGACTTTCCGAAGTGGATCAGCACTTTTATTATATCCTTAAACTGTACCTCTAAAGTTACGAAATTTTTATCTACCGACAGAAAATATACAAGAGTTAATCACCATTGAAGGTACTGTCAAGAAAATGATTTCACTAGCCTAGTGAATAAATAACACTCACCATCTTCCAAAAGAGGAACACTTAATCTCACGCCGTGTTGTGATATCGCAACTTTTTCTCGAGGAACATATTTATATGATCCTATTCTCACTGTCCGACATAGTAACGATGTCTGTGATATTTGTGTCGCACTGTTTGAATTGATTTGTGGTTCCCCTTCTTTCCCTCCGCCACTGCCCGGACACTCTGTAGAATTGAAATGAATATGCATAACATGAAACAACACATGGAAATGCCAAGTCATCGATAGTTACCTCTTGTTCCTTCTTCGCCATCCGCAGTACGGTCTGCAGTGAAAGGTACTGAGTTATTGGTAATCACTGGTTCTTTTTCGAGAATCATTTCCATTTCTTCGGTACCCGAATTAGTCAAATAGTTAGTAGTAGTATTGACATTGTTACCATCCGTTTTCTTAGATTTACCCTCTTCATCCTCGTCCTCGTCGGATGATATCGTCAAACATTCTAAAATGCAACATAACTTTAACGCTTTGTCTCTTAAAATAAATTGACCTAAAATCTTTGTCCCACAAACCCATGAACCCAAGGAATTATACTAGTCAGAATAATTTTCAAAGGAATCACAGCAAAATATAGAGAAAGTAAGTTAAATAACAGGAAAATACGATTGAACGTACCAGGTTCTTTGACAGGCTTCCTGCGAGTAGCGTGACCTCTTGCTCTGCCCCGCTTGCAGGCAATCCCATCAGATTTCTCCAACTTGTCGCCAGGTTTCTTGTAGAAGCTCTGAAATAAATTAAATATCATAATATGTAATATACACGTATTTAAAGGGTTTTGTGCAATAAGGTGAACGTCGAAACCTGCTCTCAATAAGACCTGAAACGACATAGCAACAGTGCAGGATATGATTTCGATGGAGTTCGACATAACTTGATGAACACAATTGCTACATAAAATTAAGTTGCTACTACATATGCCAAGGGCTTGAGTATTATCCAGTTATAAAAAAAATTATTCCTCGATGATTTTAATCGTTGAGCACATTCAAACACTAATGTTATTACATGAATCTGTTTGAAAATTAAATGAACTCTACTACGTTCCGGAATCTAAAATTGATCTTGTTTCATCTCAATCATAATCCTTACATTTACATCAATAGACAGCATGCTCTCCTTCTTCGCTTGCATACTCGTAGTTACAGGTATTGCCTTGACATCCTCCGGTAATTTTGTTTTACACCGTAGACATCGGTTGAAGTCATTAGAAGTGATACCGCAGTTCGGGCACACAGCAAGCATTCCCTCGATGAACTTAGGCTCCTAGTTCCATACAAAAGCTATAGTAGATTGTGATACAAATATGCAGAAGGAATGCTATGACATGGCAAAGTATAGATATCGCTGTCAAAGCTGGTCAGCAATTTCAACTGCTGCATATCTGTAATTCTTAACTACTGTTATACATAATCCTTTAAACCTGCCACGTCACTGATTAAACTAAGAATTGCACGTTTAAAAAAAAACAACTGGAAATATATCGACATAGTAATGCAATGTATGTTTCAATTGTGTGCTCTCCTAACAATGTACGACAAAACATAACTACTCTTACCTCATTTTGCGTCAGGGACGAGTTGCTGTTTTCATCCGAAGCACTGAAAAAGAAAAAAAAAATTATCAATGCCTCCTATCAGCAAAATATGACGGAGGAAAATCCAGGCAAGAGTACAGGACAGCACGAAAGACTTTGAAATTATTTATATTAACATTTTGAGATGGCAAGAGTGCAACGGAGGTTAACTCAAATCATAAATTTAATGACAAAAGCAGATATTACGGTATACTCACTTAAAGCTGAGAGTGGGACTGTTCGGAGTGGTCGCAGTATTATCCAAAGGCCCTCCGATTTCACCCTGTTCACTTCCATCTTGAAGAGACGATCCTGAACCAACCTCCACAATATAATTTATCCCCAGAGCAGGGTCTGTAACTAGAGTTACCACAGTTTCTCCGTTAAACGAAAGGTTCACCTGAAATAAATTGAAAACCATTAGCCCGAGGAAAAGTAGATCGAGTCATCGTAAGGCCCATCGCTATGTCGATTATACTAATCTAAGTCATCGATCCATATAATCACCTGCTCTAGGAGATCGTTAACGGTGCAGTCTTCATTGGGTACGTCAAACGTGATTAATCTTTGCTCCCCGTTGAGAAGAACCACCAGCATCTTGGCGGTGTTCCCTTGAATCTGCTGTTGCACAGTAGTAGTCTGCGGATTCTCAATAATCTTTTGAAAGTAAGCATAGCTCTGGCTAGTATTACAATCCGCGTCCGCCTGGGGAGTGCAGTTCTGCTGATTAAGAGTTGACACTTCTTGCTGATTCTCAGGACAATCAGCTTCCATCGAATTTTGTACGGGCTGTTCGGACGTGTCAGACGCTTGACGGTGTCTTTGTTGAGGGCCTATCATTGGCTGTCTTTGCATCTGCGCAAACTGCTGCTGCTGGTGCTGTTGTTGAGGGATCAAAGTCATTTGTTGAGTCTGTTGTCCAGCATTCACCATCACTTGCTGACGTTGGACAGGACTGTTCATCAACTGCTGTATCTGTTGCTGGGGAGTAACGGAGCCCTGTTGCTGTCGTTGAACAGGTGAACTCTGTTCATGGTTTGCTGCCGGTGAGCAGGGCTGTCTTTGGCCCTGTATCTGCTTCAGTCTCTCTTGCTTAATTCTCTCGCTCAAGTGTTCCATTTCCGAGCACCGCAGACTTGACGAATTCTTAGGCATTTGCGAATGAAGTGGCTTTCGCGAATGAGGAGTGTCCAATCTGGTTCGAAGCTGTTGACGGGCAGCTGGAGTCTGACTTAGACCCGGTCCAGCTGCTGCCGACGTGTACGTCTTAGGACGAAAAGTTGGCGTCGAGTTTCTGCTGTTGGCCGCATTGGAATTTGGCGTGGAATTCGTTTGCGAGCTCAATATGTTGCCAGCCATTTGACTATTCGGAACTCCTCCGGCAGTCTTGGTCAGAGACTGCCTTTTATTTTGATATAATCTGACAGGCTTCTTTTCCATAGAAGGAAACGACTGTGGAGTTGAATGTTGACGTGGCGTTTGCTGCTGCTGTACCACGGGCTGAAATTAGACGAATGATGATTTTCTTACGCACCATGTATTTTGTACACTCATAACGATATAATTTTCAATCCATGGACACTTACCGATGGTGCAATGTTATTCAAGGGCTGAGGTCTTATCGGTGTAGCAGTCTGGCTCTTCGCAGGAGGGAATGTGTTCTGCTTCGGAGCTGTGTTAAAATTAATGTTATTCTCCTGCACTTTTGTCCATTGCATATTTTGCCCTTCCGGGCCGCTATTCACAGGGACTTTACATCCTAAACGTAACAAGGTTTAATCCAACCCGAAGTAATACAACAGATTCGTGAATAATGTTAAGCGTTTCACTGTACAGGTGCCTCGGCTTGTCGATTTTCATTTACAAAGAAACCATCAATGAGGAATATTACGCTAACTGCTCTCTCGGCGACAATGGCAGTCGAGATTGTTATGTCAAACACTACACTCGCAGAACTGTGACCGTTAGATTACTTACCCTGGTTCTCAACGACATTAACTATATTTTCACCAACTATGTGAGCATTCACGTTGGTTTTCAATATGTTTGGAGGGGAGGCCAACTCGTTTGTCTTTATTATATAGACATTTTGTCTGAAACCAGAAAAATCAGTTTGAAATTTCATCGTGTTACAAACAGCAAGTATTTGTAAGATCATTTCCATATATTTGGCGCATATTCACAAGTCATTTAAAGTAAAACAAAAATTCAAAGTATGACTGAAAGACAAATTAACTCATAGAATATTCTATGTGTTCTAGTTGACGCAATAAATTCTTCACTGACTTTGACAATTTGTGTGCTATGTAATGTGTCTTATTTTGACTACACAATTAATCTTGTCAAACCTCGATGATTTAAATATACTCGTGTGATTAAAGAAAAAAGTGTATAAGTACTATCACCCGTTTATAGTAGTATACCACAGACGTGATATTGCAGGTAATATACAAAGCATTGGTGTTCGATAAGGGTTATTTAGTATGAAACTAGGAAACAGAAAAAAGAACGTCAGAATGAACATGCAACTAATGTAATATCTTAGTGGACTAGTAGTAAATGCAATGACCTGAGTTCAAAGACGCAAACGTAAACCCATTCTGTTGTAATACAGAGAGATGAAGGAAATAGAATAATCTCTTTAAAGGGAAAGTATTTCGCTAGCTTGGAAATTATACAACTAGGATTACTTATTAATTTCCAAAGCCACAAATAATACAGTATACAAAGAGGTCCAAGGAAATATGTAACTTAAAGCATAGCGAGACATATATCACATAAAAACGATAAGTTAATGCTTGCATACTTAGAGTCTCTTTAATTAAATAAGATTTACCGTTGATCCAATTGCGTAGTTGCAATCTGCCCTCCGAGATTAATAGTTTGATGGGGGAATATGGCTTGATTGCTAGATTGCGCTTCGGCAGTATAAGCAAGAAATTGTTGCGAGCCGTTACCACCGTTATTCACATCTTCGACGAGAAACTGAACACTTTGTCCATCGGTGGAACAAATGTGATGTACGTCTTCGATCGTTATGGTACCATTGGGAGTGGTCACAAGATTATAATATTGGGCCATATTATTTAAAACTTAACCGCTCACAAATAAAAGTCTGAGTTCGTGCAGATCGATAATAGGTGATAGCTAAAATGCTGGAGTGCACCAATTCACAAAAATCATCCCTGTAGAATGATGTACAGATGTCCTTGCGACAGAACCTATTCGAAACAAACGATTTCGTTATAATTATATTCGACATGTAATCCTAAACAGGAACATTTGACAGCACATTACATCATTTTGCAGAAATAAATGCCTACTTTAAATTGATCGTTACATAATATAAATAATAATATTTGCAATTGCATTCGATAGAAATTATCGAAATTACCGATTTAATTATTACCTAATACAATCAATAAACTCCAAACAAAATGGGCTGACGTTTGGAGTACTCAGTGAATTTACTATATGTTTTAGTGGCATACATTCCACGAATCGCATAAAGAAAGATGAAACAGCTATTGCATTATACATAGTCGTTCATTGTTTAAAAATATTAATTGACCTATCACGATGGAGATTATTAGCAGTTTTAGTGGTTTTATTAAAATCGATTATCGAAGATTTCATTAATAAAACGAAAAGTAATGTCCATGAAGTGCATGCAGACAATAATATAAGAAATGAAGCAGAATTTGCACGTAAATCAATGACTTTTTCAAAAACACTAGACTTCAATGATGCAACATAATCAAATACGCATAAATATTATATCAGCTTCTAGTCAACGATACAACTTCATTCATCTGAACGTAATCCCTACGATTACAACCGCCACCTAAATTCTACGACAACCGACATGAAACGTTCCTTTGAATAAGAAAACCCAACATAAACAAATTGACACCCGAAAAAATGAGTGAATTCGAATCGAGCGTCACAGTGCTAACTATCCAACGTGTATCCAAGCCTGCGAAGGCATCGTCCAATAAAAGCTCAACGTATAACTGGATACATTCCCTAGGAACAATAAACTAAATAATCACATTGAATCACAGCAAAATTAAATAAATTCCTGAATGAACTCCGGCACTTACGTCCAGCCTGGGTCAACGTATCATAACCTAAAACTCGACCAGGGTTCGATATCCAGCCCGTGGGCAAATCAGCGTGGAAAAAGGCCGCAGTTTCGAAACTCTTATGTGAGGAAGCCGAGGGTATCCACGGAGCCATGAAAATCCGTAAATAAAGCACGAGACGCAGTCGCGAAAAGAGCCGTGTGCGAAATCCGCGTTGGACTCGCAACCGGATACTCGGGCCGTCCCCTAACCTCGCCGCACTCGGGAGGGCCGTCGGCCGCGGCCGAGTGTCCGTCTCGGGACGGCGAGTCCGGTGACACGTCGAGATTTATCCGGGCCGGGCCGGTCCACGAGAGTCGTCGCGAGAGTCGACCGATTCGGTACGAAATCGGTCGGCGACCCCTGGCAAGTCCGCGGCGATCCCGCTGCCCGAGAAGGCCCGGAGCATCAGGTCCGGGACTGGTCACGACATTCCGAGACGTCGTAATACTTACGGGCTGCCGGACGTCAAGGCGACGCACCAGAATCCCAGGCGCTTAGAGACGCGAGGCCAGTCTCTCGGGTGCTCTCGCGGTTAGTCTCTCATATCTCTTTCTCTCACGTAAGTAAATAACAACTGCTCTTCGCCATTTTATGCGTGTCCGTGCGTGGAGAGAAGTCGCGCGAGGTAGGCAGAGGCATAGAGGCGAGACCGGGGACCGAGGGAGATTACGCCACTGCGTCGCCGCGCGCATCGACACGACCTTCCGACGGGGCGCAAGATGGCGGCCCCTGCGCGGGAAAACCCGTTCGATTCGAACGTCGCATGTAACTATGCTCTCCTGGGCGTTTTTTACGTACTTTTCACGAGAGCGCTCACTTCTCGCACTTTCATCTCACGTGGGTTTATGCGCCGAATTACGTATTCGCTATGTGAAAGAACGTAGTTTTCACGAGAGCGCTCACTTCTCGCACTTTCATCTCACGTGGGTTTATGCGCCGAATTACGTATTCGCTATATGAAAGAACGAGATCACTAGCATTTCCGGTCTAGTAATATTTGTTTAATAAAGGTACATACCTAACAAATCGAAAATTGTTGAGAGGTAGTGGGTTGTAGGAAAAAAAAAAGCGGGAAGATGGAAAGCCGTTTAAAGTAAAGAAGAGGACTCGAGTCCATCTATATTTTTTTATTATGTATTACATTTATATTTACATGTACATATATTCCCAATTAGCATTTGAATTTCGGGTATAATTTGCTCGGGCTGCCCAGAATTGTAACAGGTGGCAAGTGCATTAGCCGTCTGCATCCTCCACCGGAGGTCGCACAGGACGCGGTCGCTCGATCCTTCCCGTGAATCTCCCAACTCATCTCTGTAGCTACTGCCGTCTCCTCCGTGGACGCGATCTTGTGCCACCATCTAGCGGCGACTCCGAGAACATAGACGAGGGTAACGTAAAACGCCGTAAAATTGCTCCACGTTCCAGGGGAAGTGCCCAGATGGCCATCCGCGGAAACCGCACATGGCCACGTCTGGCGTCACGGGATCACGGGCTACTGCCGTACCTGCAAATGTAATAGAATTGTAGAAGGGACTTGAAGCTCTCGTTGTAAGGGAATGCACTCAACGCACTCGACGCTTTAAACATAAAAGCGAAGTGCAGAAACACGCTCGGCGACCCGATACAAATCGAATGATCGAATCAAATTGAATAACTGCTGCAAGATGTAGAAATAGGAAATTGGTTTGAACGAAACTACCTCCACCGAATGCCCACCTACTACGAGAAGATTGCGTGCTGGAATCTGTTCAGAAATTTACCCGCGTGATAAAACATGAAAACTGGATCGGCACGATAAAGGAATCGGACCGGACCGGCGTCTGATTCACGGGGACGGTTCAGTTTGCAGGTAATTAATCAAAACTTTCGTCGCTCGTTAGGATCTTTCGAAAGGATGTAACTTGGTATCTCTTATCGGAAGCCCGTTATAACAGAACTTTCTCATCCGGCCGAGTGCAGCGGCACCTCTATTCTTTCCTTTTTCCGTCGAATCCTCGATAGGATCAATGTCCCAGGAGTGGCACGATACGATACCCCGCGAGACAAAAGACAAAAAGCTCTCGCCGCCGCTTTTTCTTTCCCTCTCACTCTCCCACGGCTGGCGAAATCAGCGAGATGAAATATTCCCGGGAGCGCCTCCACTTCGGCCGAGTTCAGGGCTTCCTTCGGAGACACGTCCCCGATGTTTGTCCCGGGTTTTTGGGATGATCCTCCCATGACGTTCCAACAAACCCGGGACGTCGGAAAGTAACGTCATCGGGCCTGAAAAAAGAAGTTAATAAAGGGACCCCGCGTTCCGGTCGACCGTCGAACTTGGGAGGAAAATTCTTTTTGGAGCGGGACGGACATCGAAGAGGATCCCGAAGACCCCGTCAGGGAAGGCTCCCGGGCACCTGGAACCAAAATCTAGTTCAACTTTCGGGGAAGAAACATTTTGAGGCTGGGTCTTCGAAGAACTCATTGACAAATTCGAACCGGGGAAGAAGGCCCTGGACTGTCGCGGCATCCTTTAGTTACCGGAGTCGAGATGTACATTTTTCATGGACACGATATTACTTGGGTAGGGCTCGGGGGACGGGGAGCTGTCTGGTTGGCTGCAAGCCACCACTGTAAATACTGGGATGTCAAAGTGCGAGACGGAGAGGGAAGGAGCCGACCCCGGGGAAGAGAACGGGATGGAAGTCGAGGAAGGAGGCGGCGACGGGGAGAGCGTCCTGAGAGAGCGATAGACGGAGACCGAGCGGTGCGCCTTTAGGGGGAGCGAAGGAAACGGACGTAGAGGTGAAAGACGGATCTTAAGTTCGTTATCGGAGAAAAGGCGAACGATTAGAGCGTCGCCGAAGTTTAACGTCCGGCTATCCCTCGCGGGGACTCCGGAGAGCCGGACAGATGTACCTTCGATCTTGCCGTAAAAAAAGGAAAGAGGAAAAATCACGCAAAGCGAGGGAAATGATTAATAGGAAATTATACCGAGAGGCCAAAAATTGTAACAAGCTGGGGATGCGTCCCAAAAATTGAGCATCTCGCCATTGCGTGACCGTAGAATAAATTCTATGGGAGATTAATTGAATTTTAAGACTAAGCTTATAATTTGACTACGATCTCACGTACGCATTTGATGAATATTATTAACAGTGCGTACCCTAGCGGGCCGTGGCCGATAAATAACGAGCCAGATACCCGCGTTTAGCGCGACAGATTCGCGTGAACGCGTACCCCCGTGGCACCGAGGGACGAGGAAAAAAAGTCACTCGGCTAGGCGTTATTCATGGGGAAATTCAACCCGACCGCGCAGTCCGGGTCTTCTTTCTGTTTAGGGCCGGTTTATGCACCTTCGGTTCAATTTATCGAATAAATTTACCGTGCCGCCTCGATATGGAAATCGAACCGTGGAACCATCTTAGGGGTGATTTCGTGCAGGTATATTTCATCCTCTCCCTTGCCCCCGCAATTCTTTCGGAAATACCTTATTCCGCGAATACCTCCGTGGTATATGTCGCGTTAAAACCGGAATAAATCGAGGGAGACATCTCGAGGAATCCCGATTTCACTCCTTGGTATTAGAATTCCGCCCCCGATTATTAGAACCTCCGACGACGAATCTCAAAATTTCAGGGTCAAGTCATCGCGATCGGGTCGTGGTGGATCGAGACGAGATTCAAGAAGCTGTAAATTCGACCCCTGGACCGTCATTCTCAAAATCGTTCTCCTTTCTTCGACATCTATCGGGGAACAGGCATCGAGATGATTTCCTGGTGACAGGAGACAACGGGATGCATTTTTGAATAACGCACTTTCCTCCACCGGTCCATCTTGCTCCGGTACCGCGAAAGGAGGCGCAGTCAGAAAATGAGCGAGTAATCTCTAGTAGATTCTTGCGGCTCATGAAAGATTGATCTCGGGACCCGAAGAAGACCCTGAAGAAGCAGGCCGTTCTAGTGTGGGATCCTTGCTAAACGCTTGTTCCGTGTCGGCGATGGGCCCGAGCGCATAGTCGGTGTCCCTGGACGAGCTGGACTATCGGGCAAGAAGCATTTCCTGGCTTAGAGTTCACGGAAATTAGTCCTACCGTTCCCGGTGCGTGCTCGGAGTAATATTGCCGACCACCCTTTCTCGTACCACGAGGCACCGATCCTTCGACTCCTTTCGTACGAGGCTTTTTGCCGATCGCGATAATGTTTCTCGTTGACTCATGCCGCTTTTAGCAGCCCCGGGATAATTGTCCTCACGTCGGGGAACTGCCTTCTAATATACGCGATCACTGTGGTCTCCTCGACTGATTCACGCACTCGTTGCCTTTTGCCTTTTGCCTTTTGCAGAGCCTTTCGCGGAGCGGCTGCGTCGCTGGGGGCGTTTCTCTCGTTCCAACACTCTCTGGAATTTAATTACAATTAATGTATTTAATATACGAGGTCGCAAACCAGGTACATACCTAGGCAAATGTCGAGGCGGATTTTGACGACCCTTTGTTTCAGGGAGAATAATTATTTCGGCATTAAATCGATCAGCTGATAAGTTTAAGAAGCGACTCGGCGCGGGACGCAAGCGGCGAATTCGGCTTTCCTGGACAATTAGTGTCGTGCAACCTTTCAGCTCCGAGTTCCTACTCCTCTTTCCTTCTACACCGGGCTTTTTGTCGAGCAAGACGAATGTGTCTTGTTCACTCATACCGCCTTTAACAGCGCCGAGGTAATTGCCTTCACGTCGGGGAACTGCCTCCTGTTAGACGCGATCACTGTGGTCTGCTCTTGACTCCGGATCCCATGAATTTATTCGTCATCCTCACGGCGAATTACTCGGGTTCGCTAATTCCTCTCAGGAAGGTATAACCAGGAGGGACGAAGTGCATCATTCATTACCGCTTAAATACGTTTCAAAATGGAAATAAAGAGATTACCCCGGGGGAGACTACCCCTTCGGGGAGGCCATTCTTCAAGGGGAGCATAACTTCTAATATGCAGTTACCGCTTTAACTATAATAATCCGCTTTTGTTGCGCGCTTTAACGGACCACCTCCGTGTTTATTACCTCCCAAAGAAGCGTTATTAGAAATTTTACGAAAAGTGACCGAGGGCAGGGTGGAAAAGTCGGAAGCAACTTTCGTCCGATCCGGCGCTGGAGAGAAATTATGGGAAATAAGTAAGCGTAAAATAGTAATGTGCTGTTATAACCTCCGGGAGGTCGAGATTCCTGGGAAGATCAACTTTGTAAAAGAATGTACTAGCTTTCTTTCGTTCTGTACGGCTCTATCCCGACAGGAATCCGAGAAGCCAGAACTAGCTGGGCGACCATAAATGGATGATGCACGTCGTAATGATCTCTTCACTCTCGATTCGACGTCACAATTAGTTCCATCCTTTGCCGTTGTTGCTGCCCACTGATCATCCTCGAACGAGGACTCCTCTTTTTTCCGCATCATGATTTTCGGGATGATTCTTGAGTCTTGGACTGCGGTTCCCTAGATTTGTCAGCCAAGATGGATAGACTTGTACACGACACGCTTTTCTCTTATCCTCGTTTTTCCGTCACCCCGGTAGACTCCCTGGACGATCGCCTCAACGTCGGGGAACTCTTCGGGGCTCCTCTGGACTCTCCCATTTCCCAGCTTCGAAGGAAAAAAAAAAACGAAAAGGATGTCACGCCCGCGGGAACTGGCTCCCGCAATTCCTCGGGGCTTCTGCACGCGAACTTCCTGAATCATAATAGACTGCATTATTTAGTGGCTCTTCTGGAAGCCGAGCTCACTTCTGGGAGACCACCCTTTAAATTACGAATTCAGCTCCGAGACGTGACTGGCACGTCTTCATCTACCTCTTCTGCTCCGAGTTTCACTTATCCGGAATAGATCTGGCATCCGTTCAGGAATATGATTCCCGGTTGGACCTCTTGTTCCCCGAGATGGGAAAAGTCTACCTCGTGATAAGAGCCTCCTGATCCTCTTCTGGAAAATGGAAAAATTCCTATCACAACCAACCTCTCTAGAAAAATAAGAGGAAAATATAGGTTTCAATGCGATTTATTTATTTTTAAATTGTTTCTGCTTTATTCTGAGGCACCATCGTTGAAAAGCATCGTGGAAGAAGAGGCGCGTTCGGAGAAAGATTTCTTAATACGTGTCTACTTATTTTTTTTACACTTTTCTCGGCTTCGATCGTTCTCGGTGCATCGCAGGGCAGCAAGCCGGAATGCACCCGAGCCTAATGGGAAGTGGTGGCTCGGCGTAAATTCTAATTTCCTCGTAGGGGAAAGGATTTAAGGAGGAAATGAAAAGTTTTCCCGGAACTCCCGCCGAGTTTCCCAGGGCACTTTGGCCTTCGTATTTTTCGATTCGACCGCGATGAGGACCAGGCTGCGACCGAGCGGAAAATTTGAGATCATTGATCTTCCCTCCGGATGGAAAGCTTCACAGGAAGGTTCTTCGGGGCCTCGAAGCCGAAGTTCAGGGCAACCCGTGCTTCCCGATCGCCAGAAATCTACGAACTCGTTCAACGAGTCTTGCACTACAGCCATTACGAATTTATGCCTCTTTTCTTCCCTCGATACCGGCTAATTCCTTGGCCGGTAATTCATTTCGAAGTTTCCCACGACTTTTACTCCCAGGAAATGCCTGAAAGTCCTTGCGCACCGGCATGCAATTCCCCGAAGGTATATCATTAAGTGTACCGCCGTTTCTTAAGAATATTTTCCATACATCTCGTTTGAAGTAATTTTAAAAGAATGACCGGCAGAATCGACGGACGATTCCCTGCCACGTGGGCCCGCCTGGTCGATTTTCGCTTTTACGGCCTTTTTTCTAAGTCGTAAATCCCTGTCGCAAGGATTGGAGATGGCCATTTCCTTTCCGACTCGTTCCTATACGATTTACGATCGCCTCGACTCTTCCTCCGTTCCCTTAAGAACTTATCGGAGATATCAGGGATAATTTTTTGAGATTTATGATGGTCATGCGAAAGTCGTTTCCAGGTTGCAAGTAGGGAATAGGCTGTCTTCGGGCAGATAACTCCGGCGATTCACCGCGCATCTCCCTGGAAAGAAGCCGGCAAAAATTAGCATATAATATGCTCGCCTTGTGATAAACCAATAAATAGCTCTCCAAAGCATCCTCGATGTTCTCCATAGCTGGTACCACTATTCCGTCCCGTTTCCCTCTGTGCAGTTCCTTCCGCGACTTCCCCTGCAGACTCTCAGACCGTGTCATCCATCTTCCCAGGAAACGGCGTCCCTCCCATCGGCTCGGGTTAAAAGACTCCTATTTCCCTATTACAGTGCCAATGGTCCCCGGTTCCCTCCTCCATCTCTGCTTGCGGCCGATCCGCGTAGTAAAACGCCAAGGCGTCCTGCTCGTGCACGCATACCGGCAAGACAAGTGTGTACCTACGCAGAGGTCCCCTTTGCTGAAGAGGAAGGGAGTAAGGTAAGGGAGGTGAGGTGAGGAGGTTAGGTTAGCTGAAGTGAGGGCTCCTCCGGGTGAGTACCACTCACTCATTGACTCGCGTACGCCCGCGCGTCTGTCTGTCGGTCGGTTCCTCTGTCGTCCTTTAACTCGAGTTAGCCTGTTACGCGTTCGGTTGCACAGGTGCCGACTCGGGTTATCAAACTCGGTTACGAATTCAAGTGCCATTTGAAAATACGCGTTGGCACGAATTTCGGACCGGCATTTTCTCGTTCAGGCCGCTGGGTCCTGAATTTTCGGCCGAGGGTCCCGAAGACGAGGTCGGGGACCACCGGGTGCTATCCGAAACCATCGAGAATCGTCGAGAATCTCCCGGAAGCAGTGAATATCATCGGGTACCATCGCTTACTCGTTCCGGCTTTCGAAATCCCTCTTCGAGCGGAAGTCCGGAGCCGGAAAAGTGGACGTCCATTCTCGATCCTGCTGGACCCGGTTTCTAGGATAATGTTGTTCGACCTCTCCAGGACCTGCCTGACCCTCTTCGTGGTCGCGTGCGCCGTGCTCGGGGTCCAGGGGAAGCTGCAACCGATCAAACCAGGCAAGTCCTTTTTTTGTCGGTCCGTCGCTGGGAGACTTCAATGCGTGGAGCTGGTCTCTGCAGTGTCTTCGCTCACCGGGATGAGGCCATTTTTTCCTCATGAAATCGGGGTTTGTGAGCTCCTTACCTTGCCGAAATACAAGGGAATTGACTATCATCGATAACTAATGCGATAAGTAGCGATTTACAGCGAGAAGAAATTCAAAATGAGGGACTGCTGGCCCCCTCGGGCGGAGTGGGCAAAAATGATTTCGGGATTTTTTTAAGGTTATTAATGTACGGTTTTTGAGAAATCCAGTTATGCCCAGGATCAAAGTACCTCGGGTCGCCTACGAAGTCCACGTCTAAGTGGCCCAATTTAACCAGTTCTCGTTAGCCGTGCGTAGTAAGTGCGAGAGAAATTGGCCGAGAAAGTGTGCGAGTCGGGACATGTACGTTGAAATTTATTTAAACGCCGATCCCGAGGGAAGATGCTTCGTCAGGGGAAAAAAAAAACATTGTCCCTGGAGGAGGTATTCCACCTTTGCGGATAGCCAGGTCGTGGCGGAGAATTTATTATTCAGCATTTTCTCGACAGGAATGCACCGCGAGGTGAAATACTCTCCCAATTATCCCCGCACGCTCGTCTAAAAATCCCGGAACGGCGTATATGATTGTTACGTTATTTCTAGCAGTTTCGCGTTACGTCGTTTCGGGACTTGCGCTTTGTAAATAATTAGAACGGGGTGCCGGGGCGTATTAAACAAATTACAGCTGATTACAAAGTACGCCGGAATATCCGGCCCTCCGCCGGTCGCTCTTCAGCAACTCCATTCGCATCTACCCGGTATGTGCTCGCCGTCCATCCTAATTACTCCTGTACCGAGAACATATAATAATGCCCGGCTCGGAAAAAGCGGTACAAACTATCCGTCGCTTCTGCTCCCACTGTCCCGCAGAAGTCGCCCGAGTCGTGAATGAGTTTCTTACCGATATCTCTCGTCGTAACTAAACGCCGGCCTGGCTAATGTCCGCGTTTTTCCGCGAGGACTGACGCTCGTCGCCGACATTGCATGGAAAAATTCACCAGGGAAGAAAGGACTCCTAACGAGGACCACAGGGATCTTCGCAATCTGGCTCGATAATTTCTCGTGAGTTCCTAAATTCCTGAGCATTTTTTCTTGTCGAATTATCACTAAAAAGAATTCTCAATGAGACGGACATTGTAACGCGCTCCGGCCATGTTTTTTCCGTCCTCTTCGACCTAGAACAGGCAGGATTTTTGGAGGAGCTTTTATTGAAGGTTGTTCAGATCTAGATAAACTCCAGGCACGTGATATGCGCCTCGGTTTCGTAATGCCAGTGTCAAGGAGGTGTAACCTCGTCAACGTCGTCTTCGGCGCCGCTCGACACGTGCAAGTGCCTTTCTCGTTCTGCCTACCGATGTCCGTCGCGACGACCAAGTAGTTCACGGTCCTCGGACGTCCTCTTCATCCTGCTGATTAATTCAATTACAAGGCTTGGCTAATCCTATCTTATCGCTACTTTCCAAGACTATTAATTAATTTGAGTTCCTTTAAAAAAATTAACCGTGGAATTTTTTCGGTATGGTTTTCAGTGTCTTCTTCGGCGTCGCGCGGTATTTTAAGGGCCTTTCTCGTTCGATTTGATTATAGGAGTCCTCGAAAAATCGTCACACCTGGGTGTCCCCCTGAAAAAGAAGAGCGAATTAATTTTCGCGCCTCGGGGCTCTTCCGGATCGAGTCTCAGACATCGTGGGTGTTGTACCGAGAATTTGTACCTAGGTTACGTAAACGGCGCCGTTCTCCACGTGCAACTAGGTGTGAATTGGTTATTCACATTACGTTGGCAGTGTTCGTCGAGACACCGCGGGATGGACGTGTCACTCTCGTTGGGTCAACGGTTGGATGTGTTCCTGCAGGAGACACCGTTAGAGCTCGCGTCATTCTGAAATAAAACGCGGGCCCCGATAACCGGGCTGGAATTATTAACGCGGTTTCCTTTCGGCATTATCAGCGGTTATCAGGACGTGCGGGCGTTTCACGCGTGGGCCAGCACGTTAACTGGGAATAATTTCTATACATCGTACAGCCATTGTGGATAATTCAGGCGGCCTATTTCGCGGCCGGGGAAATCATTTATAATGATTTACCCCCTCACCGTTTATACCGAATCGCGTAGCGCAAAATTCCGGCAGGAGCGATTGCCGTTGTACGCAAATTCGACGAAACGAGCGGCATTAATTGCAATGTCGAGACGTACCTCCAAAACTGATAAAAAAATGTCAGAATAATTTTACGGGGTCGAAGAAATCTCAGAAATTACCCGTACATCGTGCCAATTCTTCTCCTACATGCTAATTAGTGAATAGTTCGAATCTTACATAAAATGATAAAAAATCAGAAATATCGGAGGTGAATAATAAGGAATAATCATTTAGCATTTTTTCCCGGTATCGCATATTTTTTTTTCTCCGTGTTCGATATCACGAATTTGAATATTCCGAGGTGAATGACGCGTTTTTTCCGTGGGAAAGGACGAATCGGCGATGTACGGAGGAGATCCTCTAGCGCCGTTCGGTGGGACCGATTCATTCAGAGTCGGGCCGCGTGCGTACCTGCTCGCGCACAGGTGAGGCCCCGGAGGGCCGAATGGGCCTTCGCTCATTTATTATTGCATAAGATTCAGAACTTGTTCCGGTCCATTCATCGTGATGCGCGTATTCGCGGCCGATCGTACGATGGGCCGATCGTCCCGATCGCTTCCTGATTGCTTGCACGTCGAGACGCCTTAAGTGCGCTTAAACGCCTGCGCGTTTATAAAGCGGGTACAGAGGCCGTAGCGGTATACCCATGGGGCCCATGGGAGCCTGGGTGCACCAGGACACGGGGCCCCGTGGGGTCAGGGATCGGTCACTCCTTGGTCCCGCCTTTAACCTCCCGTTAAATCCCTTCGCCCTCTTCCGTCTACGGGACTTACTCCGGAATTTATTTATCCGCATATCGGAAGTAGAGCAAAATCGGAGAGGCCGCCATAGTGTACCTACTTTCCAAGTCCCCGTCAAATCGGGCTGGTCTTCGCGCTCCTCCTGCTCCAGGCGAGTTTCCTCATAGTTTAAACATTTTAGTCGAGATTATTACCTTTGAGGGAGCGGTCATCGCCGGATGGGAAAATTTGCAATTTTAAGCCGGGGCCGTTCCGTCCCGCTGGATAATCGATTCCTAGAGTGCGGCTCCGGGTCACGTTCGAAACTGGTCACGTAATACCTACCGGCGCGGAAATTAATATTCTCTTCGAACAATTTTATACGACGTTATGTCGCGCGTCGGGCTGCTTGCGGTTTCGAGTACCTGCTCGTTCCATTTTCTGCACGAGGAGTCGGCACTTTAAGACCGTTTCTTTTACGCGACTCGATCGCAAAATCGGGACTCGTCGATAGACTTCGGACGCCGCGCTCACGTTTCGTCGGAATCTTTGCATTTCGTTTTAAACGTGATAATGCGCGCTATCGTATATATCGTTTTATATTATAACGTAATTACTTTCACTTATATACGACTTCTAACAGGACCTCCTCGGCTTGCTTCCCTTGCCTCTCCTCGCCCCTGGGACCGAGCCCACCTCGGAGGTCTTCCAATTAATGGCCGGGAGGTCCGCGTCGCCCTGGGGCTTTGAACTTGGCCGTGAACGATAAGGATCGTTAGATGCGGCCGCGTCTATGTCGCCTTTCCTTCTTCCCACCGCCTCCCGGAGCCGGAGATCGCGTTCGACAGATTTCGTCTCTGGCGGCCATCTTGGATCGCGCGTAGGATCCCCCTGTCGGACGAGAGCATAAGTTATACGAACCCTGAGAATCCGACCATTCCCTTGATATTCCTCTATGGACAGCGAAAGGGAGAAAGAGCGACCAGAGGGACTCCCCTTTCTCTCCCTTCCTTGCCGTTTGATAGGCTGCCGACGAGATAAACGAAAAGGCCCCTGTTTTCTCTCTAGTTTTGATGTCTTCGTGGCTGGATCGGCAGGGTCCACACGTCCATGTCGGTTGTCGAACCTGGACAAAAAATCGGACACGTGGGCTGCCGTATCTAAACCAGATACACCTGGACTCGCACCTGGACGCGTCGGATCGTCGATTAATTCCGAAATCGCCGATCCGTAAGATCGGACACAGAGGTGTCCCATAACGCTCTACGCGTAATTACAAAGAAGAAATTACGTGTTGGATTTGAGGTTAACTTTTCCTGGAACGGGTGGGTGCCTCTCGGTAACGCGAAACCCGGTCTCGGCGACGATGATTTAATTCCTCCCGAGGAGCAACTAGCTCCTCGAGTCTTCTCGAGCTACATAGAGCAATAACTTTCAGGCCTGAATTACCGAGGGGGGAGAGGTTCTACGAAATCCCGGACACTCGAGGAGATCGCGAAGAGATCTCCGGAGGAAACCCCGGGACGCGCCGGGAGGGGAATTAATATCGAGCGATTAAGCGAATCCGCGATTGCGAGGCGAGGCTGCACGCATACGTGGCCTGCACTTGCCATTCATTAATTACGCGATGCACCTTTTCGTTCGAGCACGTAAGTTTCTTCGGGGTCCCGGTCCGGTTGCCAGGTGGCTGGGACGAGACCGAGACGAGTTCCTCGTAGAGGCTTCGTGTCCTGTCGGGACGCTTCGCGGGGGGTCCTTTCTTCTTGCGCACCAGCTGCTCCACTCTCGATTCTCCTAAAAAAATTCCCCCGCATCAAGAATTTTGTGATACATCAATTTCTCCCAATTTTCTGGATGTTTCATAAAGTTTTATAAATTTTAAAAAATTTTCCCGACACTCGTCGATGCCCGTCATTGGTGCTCGAGATCGATATTTCGGATTTAATCTCGATTTTATGATTCGTATTAATTAAATCTTGAGTTAGGGGAGTAAGTGGTCGCGGTGGGTCGTTAGTCGGACATCGAGCGAGGCTCGATGAATTTTTCGGATGCACGTCGAATGGAAATAATAAATGTACGAGTACCCTCCCCTCGACCGTGTCCGCGAAAGGGCGGCAATTAAAGCGTGGCACGATTTCAAGGAAACTCGCGGTTACGAGGAAGGAGGGAATTTATTAATTGGCCACAATCACGCGATATTTCACGCGAGCCCGATTTATCGCCGTCCCCTCCCTGATTTATCCCGGCTACCTTGGCGTCCTCGGTTTACATCTGCTCCTAATATTACCTAACACCCCGGCATTCGGGTTCAATTAAGAACAATTTACTGCCGGTACGCCGCGTATGTCGGCACGCATAAACGGGGTCCGCCATTTTGGGTCTCGACGGGTTCGATCGAGGCTTGTAAAGTCCAACTCCAAAACTCACCCCCGACAGGTGCCATCGTCCGATTAAATTCGTTTAGAACGGCGAGGTGGAATTAAAATCTGACGCAGATCCGGAGGTGCGAGGACCGCGGGATTATTATGGGGGAAACGGCGATAATGTTCCAAGATGCACCGAGCTCGTCGGCCATTATTGCGATGGCACTAGATAGCCACTTAACTCCTCTCCTGCTCGCAACGGTAAATCTTGAGCCCTCGAGTGCGACTATTGAACTTCGATACTAACCATTAAAGTCCAGCAGTAAACTCCGCCGAGTGACACTTTTCCTGACAATCGATTCCGAGCTACCTCGAAGAAAGTCACCCGGGGAGCTCGGCTGACTTTTACGGATGTTACCCCTCGGCGTCGTTTACCCCCGAACTTTTCTCGACCCGGAGCTGGGGCGATATCCCGGCTACCTCCACCGAAACCCACCCCGATTAATTTACCCAATTAACCTGATTTAATACGTCTAATTAAAAACCCTCGGGGCAGCGGAACGCCCGCGTCCATCCTGCAGACATCTCCCGTCAGACCGCCACGTCAAGGTTAACGAGATCATCCGACTTAACTCTCGTATTTAACGAAAACGCTAATTAACAGTTGGAAGGATTTAGAAACGTTTGAACTTGGCCTCCAAATAAGAATGGAAGGCAGTGAAGGGCAATTTCTCTATCATTACTCGGACAATTTGTCCGTCCCTAGAAATTCAGGCCCTTCGAACTCCTGGAGCGACCACATCCTAATATCGAAAATGAAACCGTTATCGGTATAAATGATTAAAAAAATATCCGCTATAATTGTCGGCTATTACTTAATGGCTCCACCTAATCTACCCCAATAAATCCAGGGCGGCGGAGCCGAGGGTCGGGCACGAATCCGCCCCCGCTGGCTCGAGGAGCAACCATCAAAGTCCGGCAGTAAACCGAGGGACCGGCACTCTTCCTGGCAATCGAGCCCGAGGTTTCCTCCACAAAGCCTTCCGAGAGGCCAGGATCGGGCCGACTTTTACGGAGGGGATCTCCGGGGCAATATCGGCGAGTACGTCGGCGTCCTTTATGTCCGGGCCTTCCTCAACGCCTGCTCCCAGGCCGGCCAAGTACCGAGGCAAGGTACCCGGTGAACAAAGAGAGGGCCATTCAGCTCCGTAGTAAACGCAGGCGCGCCCACGCGCTGCGACTTTATATACACCACCCCTGGCGCACAAAGTGCGTGCATGTAATGTTACGTTACGTTATGTTATTTGCGACGGCCGGAGATAGGAGGAAGAGGGGCAGGGGCGAGAAGAAAGGAGGAGCAAGGAAAAAGAGACAACCGGTACCAGAAGAGGGGCCAAGGGGACTCGTATCCTCCATTCATGCCACCTCACCTCGAGCTGCATACTACATACTCGTACCTCCGAGTCCTCGGGTTGCCGGAGAGAGACGGACGTCGGCCACGGGGCCGGGGGAGTTACCTTGAAGAGAACCTCGCGCGATATCCGCGGTAGTGTCGTCGACTCTCAAGGGCAGCGACTCCTAAGAGTCGCCTACGCGACCGCTCGATTCGGGACTTCCTTTATCTCCCACTTAAATTATCCTTGGATTACAAAACTCGATCCGCTCCTATCTGGGAAATGCTGTCGAAGCGATTTTGTCCCTCGCGGTATTCCGCAAATCGCGGTTCAAGTAATAATCTAATTATGGGAGTTGCGGGAATTAATCCGCTGGATGGATTCAAGGTGGCGGCGCAGGGTTGAGTTTTTTGAATCTCGTGGGTAGTCGTAGGGTGACCTAGGGCTGGTTTTCAGGGTGCAGATACGAGGGGCGGCGGTACCAGGAAGGGGAGGCCGTCGCCACGTCGGAGGCCTGTCTCCAGTGCCAATGCCTCGACGGCTCGCTGCGATGTCGTCTTCGAGTCTGTCCACGTTTCCCGAATCCGCCGCCCTCGGGATGTCACGCGCGATCCCTGGGAGAGAATTTCTGCTGTGCGGAGCTGGTCTGCGGGAAGTCACGTTAGTACGAAATTGCACGCTTCCGCGGATCGCTCGGGTTCGGGGAGGCGCCTCGCGACTTCCGGCGGAATACATCCTCAAAGATCGACCCCTTGTTTGCAGGCGACCTCGATGCTTCTCGCAGAACGGACGACACTACCGAGGATAACGGTGAATATCGATTCGATCAATATTTTATCATGGTTTTAACACCGTTCATAAGGAATTACGATAAAGAATTAACAGCCAAAGTTGGGTTCGAGGCCATCCATGGACGCTTCACGCGTGGGAAGGGTTTATCGATGATATTCGCTTTTCAGGCTGCTTTTACGACGGCGTCCATTACGGTCCCGGCTCCGCCATGATGGGAGCGAGACGATGCGAGTACTGCTACTGCATTTTCGGAACTCGGAGGTGCATCCGCCCGAAATGTCTCCTACCGCTTCCGGGATGCACTCCACTCTACACTCCACATTCTTGCTGTCCCGTCTCCTACAATTGCACCCGTTAGTACGCCATTTTTGGTTCTTTATACAACATCGTTGCATTATTTATTTACCCTTACTCCCTGTTCGTCGTTAAATCCGTGAACCCCCTTGTCCAGATGCCGACGCCTCGACTTCGCTGGCCTCCACTCCCGGAAATGGTGAGGATGGGACAATTAATTATTCCTGGGAATAATTTTCAGGGCCTCGAGATTAAAATTTAAGGAGTCGTAAATTTTACGTTAAGAAGGGTTTAGATATCTAGGGATTTTTGGTTGGATCCACGCGTTGTTATTTTCGAGAGGAAATACGTGGCGGATTTATTTTAGCTCGTAAGGGGATCCGCCAGAGATACCTCTGTGGTTCTGAATGTCACGTTGTGCGTCTTCAGGATGCCGATTGGGGGAGCGGTTCTACGAGGAGGGCGAAATGGTACGCGATATCGCTACGAAGGCTGCATGCGACAACTGCTTTTGTGCAATGGGATCCGTGCGATGCGTGCCCCTCGCCTGTGCACCGCCTCTTCACGGTTGTACGCCGATCGTGCGCGAAGGACAATGCTGCCCATCGACCTACAACTGCAGTGAGCTCCCTTATTCCGCCGCGTTTCCGCCATTCCCCGGCGGAGTTTATGACTTAACCCGATATATAATTCCAGGTGGCAGCATCGAGGTCAAAGCCACGCAGAATTACGCGTCCTACGCGTTCATCAGCAAGGACTACGCGAAATTCAGGAAGGAGACCAACTTCTTCGTGAGACTTTTGCCGGGAATTAATTCCTGCCGATTAATTATAGGAAATGGATATTTAATGGAATTCTTACTTCTTATTGTTTCAATTTTTTAGGCCGTGGAAGAGAATTCCACCACCGCCGTCGAGGGTCGAGGTCACCGGGTGGTGGACAGGAACGTCTCCAGGGTGGACAACCGGACTACCACGGCGCGCTGGAGCACGACCCTTGAAGAGTCCTCCACCTTCACCTCCGACCTGACCTCGGCGACGTCGCTCTTCGAAACCGAGACCATGGACAACGAAATCCTCCCGGAGACCACCTTCTTGGAGAACCTGAAGACCACCGCGACCCTCGTCAGCCGCACCGAGGTAAAGAGATCCGGGAATTTTCGCAAATTTTCCTCTTCGAGGTATCTTCGGGACGAAGCGGGGAAATGGATGACCCTAGGGAAACGTATATGGCATGAATTTAGGGACCGGTTTTCTGTTCAAGTCGACGACTTCTGCGGAGGCGACGAGTCTTGACGGATCGACCGCGCCGGACGCTTCCGAGTCTGCAACTCCGTTAATGGATTCGACGGACACCTCGACGGCCACGGACGTGACCACTGATTCCACGGAGCCGACCGTCCTCGAGGAGAGGCTGGGCATCGAGTTTGCCGAAAATTACGCTGAGAATGGCACCTCTTCGGCAAGTCCTTCGGGGTCCACTTCGGGGTCCACTTCGGGGTCCACTTCGGCCTCGCCGGTCGCCAACGGGTCCGACTCGGAGAAGGACACCGGTTCGCAGGACCTGTCCCTGGTGTCCATCAAAGGTCCTGCGACCGGTTCTCCCACGACCATTGTCATTCCCGACGATGTTCTGGTCATGAACGTTACCGTCAGGACCAACGTCTCGGTGGGTAGCCTCCACGGAGTGACCATCAATCCGATAAGGTCCATCTCGGCGGATGTGGAGGCCATCTTGAACATAACTCATCGCGAGAAAGGGGAAGATTATGACTTCGATTACAGCGAGCCAACTTTGCCTCCGTCTTTGCCGAACGTTAGGTGAATATCATTAGTCCGAAGAAAAGGGTCAAAAGGTGAACGACCTCGGTCGATTATGCGATTTTTCTGCCTCGCGGGTGTGGCATGAATCTCTTGGAGGATTTAATCCCAGGGTAGGACGCGACCACGGGTTATGGTAATTTTATTTTGGTAGCATTATTAATAGTGATTATTTTTAGGATAATACCGTTCGTCGCTGCCGATGCTCTGGTTAAGGACGATAAGGAGATACCCTCTGCCGTGACCGGGTACTCTTCAGGGTCCGTGGGGTTGGCTCCAGAATTGCATCCTACGGATAGTTCCAATTTTTATAACGTCCCTACCCAAGCCAATCGATTTAGTCCTCCTGTGGAAACCGAGGGTAAATCGACGTTCGAATCGATCCAACAATTATTTTCCGTAGTACAAACTCGAAGTTATATTTCTTCTTCTTTCAGGTGGTTTCGTTCCAAGGCAACCGCCATACTTCGAGGCACCTTTCCATTCCACCGCTCTTAATCTGGAAATTGGCACCGGGGTTACGGTTTTGCCCGATACGAATACAAACCCCCATAGGAAGGAGGACCGTAAGGATCTTGCAATGATTTCTCTTTTTGCCCATTTTACGCGACAGAATTTATTCCGCATTTCGGTGAACATTTTGATTACCGTTTAAGGCTTGAACAGCGATTGTCTCTTCGAGAACCGGAAGTACCATCACGGGGCTATCTTGCCGAACGATAATGGATGCATCATCTGCTTTTGCTACAACGGCGAGGTAGCTTGCTCCGAGAAATGTCCGCCTCTAAAAATCGGATGCACGAGGATCGCCAGCGATAAGGGATGCTGCGGCGAGGTCGTGTGTGGTACGTTCTGGGCCGGAATGGAAAGAGGTCAGCCGGGAATGAAATTCAATCCAACAAACTTCAATCCAAACAAAGCAGTCGCGTACTTGAATCGCTTGCAAGCGTTTGGAAACAGGTCAAGCGCGTTACACGTTTCGCGCTGGTCAATGCATCGCCAGATACGCGCTCGGATGATGGAGAACTCGATCATTGAAAATCCACTCTCTCGAAGTTCTCTTTATAGCGTAAAATTGCACCAGGGTGTACTCGTTGATCGGAGAGGAGAGAATTATTTTTTTCACGCGGTGGGAACACGGTGAAAGGGTATATGTAGATGTTAGTCGTCATTCCGTGTACGGGTTATCAATGACGCCGTATTTCAATTATTTAGTTCATGCCGAAGAGTCGCCAACGGTGGTGCTGGACCGAGCGGATGCAGCTGCGTCGTCCCAGCGACAGCCCATTGCCGCCGTCGACGGCGTCGCGTCTCCGGATCCATTTCGAGACGTCATCAAGACGGAGCCGGCTCCCGACCTGCCGTCCCTGATCGAGGACATGATACCTTATCTGGTGGAGCATGGGATTTCGACGCCCACGCCGACGACACCTATGACGACGTCCTCCACGAGGGACGTGGAAGGATTCGAGACGAACCACCGGCAGGATTTCGTGGACTTCATGGAGGAGATCCCTCTGATCCATGGTCCTCCTTATGAGTACCTTGAAGAGGGCCTGCAGACCATCTCGGGGCAGAAGGAGGGACCCTACTTCGTCGTGGAGGGTAAAAACCCTGAGCCAGTAAAGTACTACCCTGAAGACGTCGAAAAAAAAGACCCGATGCACTTTGCGAAGGACCCTTTTGGGGGTGAAAAAGAGATGAACGCTTCAGAGTACTCCTATAACGCCTACAACAAGGAGAATTTGACCAGGCCGAACCACGCCTCTCCTGGATTGGTACCCTCAAATGGGTCAGAGTCCATCTCTTCGGCTTCAAAAAGTGGTCCCACTAATTGCACCTCCGTACCCGAGCAGGTCATGAACGGTTCCTTGTTCCGCGACCAGGGCCAAAAGGAAGGAGGGTCGACTTCGGAGGAACTCTTCAAGGTACCGGAAAAATCCGGTGACGGGTCCTTGCTCTCCTTCGACAAGGTTCTGGACCTCTTGTTCTCTGGATCGACCACCTTGAAGTCTATGGTCGCAGGAAAGGGACCCTCCAAGACTTCTTCCTCGGCGTCTCCTCTGATACAGGTCACCAGCATCTCGCCTGGTCCCGGGGTCGCAGGTTCGACGGATGATACCGTGGTTGCCAAAAATGTCCCTAATACGTCCGAGTCCCTAGATAGGAATAAAATCTGGGAGGCTGCTATCGGGACCAGCTCCACGTCCAAGACGAAGGTCATGGAGAACGAGATACCTCCGGCTGTGGGCAGTTTGCTGAAACTGGCGGGTTGCAATATTTACGGTAGAATGTACCGAGTCGGACGCATCATCACGGAACTGTCAGGACCCTGTTTGGAGTGCAGGTGCACGGAAATTGGAGTACAGTGCAAACAGCTCAAGTGCTGATCGTCCCCAGGGTACGACACGTCCAGGAACACTTCCCTGTTGCCTGACTTGCCAGGATATCGTGGTGGCGGGATTTTCCCGTGTAATGACGATTAAGGAAATTGTTCATCGGTTCAATGCAAGCGCATACATGTCGCGGCCTTCTATTGGCGCTCTAGGAACCCCAGGGACCCTAGGGAATGCCGGGACACGGAGAGTACCCGATACGTTCCGCCTGAAATCCCCAGAGAATTTATTATCGGATTTAAACGATGATGTGGTGGTTATGAATGGAAACGTCAGTGGAAAATTAGTGGAAATGACGGTTATTAATTAATTATCCGAAAAATATTGCTAATTAACGGTATCTAAATCGTAGAGTAAACGTGGAAGAGGATATAAGGATATCGTTAGTGCTAGGTTTAGGCTTAAGAACGATCTCAATAGAATTCAATTTTACCTAGGTAAATGCATTCGACGTAAGTCCAGCTCTCACAATGTACCAGGTGCATCGGGGAGCAATGAAATTCCACATAGATTTAATTCGTTGAGAACCAGTCAAGAGGCCACACACGGAAGCACACCGTAGAATACGGCAATATGGAAACCTAGAAGTACATAGAATCATAGAAGCACGCGCCGTATACCTTACCTATTGATTTAGGAAATTTTCACCGGGGGGCAAGTTTTGAATTTTCTGTTCCATGAGATGCAGGTAATTCCGTAATTGTTCACCCGTCCCATAGAATTTAGAATTAATTTCAATTCATTTAACGTGCGCTCGACTGAAATACGAGCGTGTAAAGTTGCGAGGCGAGTCGTCTTCCCGGGAGGCAGAAACCGCCCCGGGAGGCTGTCTCGTCCACCGAAATTAATGAATTCGGCGCCCATTCGATTTGTTCAATTCGCGTCTTAAGCTAACGATCGGTTAAATACAGTTTAACGGGCGTCCCATTGAATTACGAGGATGTAAAGTCCCGAGTCGAGGGCTCGGCGTCCCGGGCGAAGTAGTAAACGCGACGGAGCGCTCTCTCACTTCCGGAAATCGCTGATTGCACGCAGTATTCAATTTGTTCGATCGGCCCGCCGAGCTCGCGATCATTTATACACAACATAACGCGCGCGTCGAGTGAAATACGAGCGCGTAAAAGCGTCGAACCAGCGTCCCGCCATTACGGGCAAAGTAAAAAACGCCGCGGGACGCTCTTAAGCCGGGAAAAATGGCCGAATTCACCAGTATTCGGTTTGTTCATTCGTGTCCTTACGGGGGCGATCATTTTTCTGGATTTAAACGCGCGCCCGGCTGAAATACGACCGTGTAAAGTCTCGAGACGACGCGTCCCCCCCATTATGGGCGTAGCACTAAAGGCGTCCATTTTGGAGACTCTTTAATCAAGGTTAGGCGATAAGATAAAAGCCCTCGCTTCGAATGCCGCAAAGAGGCTTATACTATACGTTCGACAATAAACGTTTATATCTTTTACGCGGACATTTTCCATCCCCTGCCCCCACTGCTCGACCGCGCCCTCTTTCCGCGAAAGGCGGCTATTTTTGCCCCAAAAAGTCGATACAAAGGCGAGGCTTTCGCTTCTCGGGCGGATCGAGAACGACGCCCCGCTCTATCTCGATCTCTCTTTAGCCCCCTTTCTAAGTACACGCCAATGCGGAAACTCTGCATTGCACTTGCACCCAAACTTCATTTTTCGCAAACTGCGCCGAATAAGGAATCGAAAAGTCAACTCGGATATTACACGAGATTTTACGCAGATGTGACTGGGAAGTCGATTTCCTCCCCGCTGTTCGCCATCTCCTCCGCCATTGTTACCAAAGGGACGCGACGACATAATCCATAAAGACGCTATAATCGAATTTCTCAAAAAACCGAACCAATTAATCAAAGACCCAGTTTTCTTGTAGATATTTATTTAACTGACGAAATTAAACATGAAAAAGTCCTTTTCCAGAAATCTCCTCAATACTCGCGAGAGAGGTTAGATGTCGCCTCGAGGCGATTAGTCCTCGGTATCAATTGTTTATTGTATACCGCGTAATCGATCCATCTCAATACACAATGAGGGGGCTTAGTATTAATGCGCATCGTTACTCTTATCAATCCGTGGGAAATCACAGTGTTAATTATGTACAACAATCATGCCCGACGACGAAGACTAAAATCATCACAGCCAATATCCCATAATGTCGGCAAACAAGTACGTAGAGTTACACGATTCAACGTTTCTTTTCCTTTTTCAATTCTCTCTCCCGGGGAACACATCTCGCTTACGTTAATTACAGCTCGTGGCATAATATACTTTTCCTATATAATGGTTTTCTTTCCTCTACTGTTACTTTGGCAGCACGTAGTTCGGCCCTGCTAAGACACTCTATAGAAACATCGCATACGAAACACTATTTCTAGGATCGATTTGATAAAAAGAACTCGCCCCTTGACGCGCACTTTGATATAAACGTTTACCTGGATGTCCGAAAATGATCTCGGAGAAAATCTCCTGCAAAATGGCCGCTGATTTCGAGAAACTGACGAAATCTCTAACGATCGTCGATTAGAACGATTCAACGAGTAACAATGTTTTACGTTTAACTTATAGCACCACTTTTGGCTCGATCATCTTTAATAACCAATTAAAAATACCGGACCACTGAGTTTTCAAGTCAGAGTCCTTCGTGTCGCAGGGCAATTTTTCCATTGACTTAGGGGCAAATAAAAGAAGGCAGTCTTCATCTTACAACTAATCGTGAGTACGGGATCCCATCTCTTCAGGGACTACTCGAAGAAGCCTCCTGGGGGGAGGACACGTTTAAACCTTTACTTCGCTTTAAATGTTAAAAGACGTCTTCTGGCATTTAAAGACCACATATAAAAGAAGTCTCTTAACGTTAAAAGCGAGGCATCAGGGTAGCCCTAAGCCTCCTAAGAAAATCGACCACCGCTTTCTTCCACCCTAGTGACTTTCTTCGGCATCTTGCGCAGTGAAAATTCCCTATCGATCGGTATGTACAACTCGAAGAGTCCGAAAATTCGGCGTCTCGAGGCTCGAGACGTGTAGATACGGTGGAATGGATTTTTTTTTTGGTTTAGCCTCGAATCTCGAGGACCTTCCAATCGTCTCGGACCCCGAAAAGATCCTAATGGACCTAGACCCCAAGGTGGTGACGGAAGGTGCGGTCTAAAACTTGGAATGCTAGCACCGTTTGGTTTCCTGACTAACGATTAATCTAAGTCAAAGTCTCTCTCCGAATTCCCAGGTCCACGGAATTGTCTTCAGGGATGACCCCTGCAGCTTCCGGCCTGAACTTCCTTCGGGAGGGCAGGATGTACATATGTATGAATGTATATATATATATATACGACAGAGTCTTCCCCGGATGGCCAGACCGGGAAGGCTTCGATCCCTCCACCTCTGCATTCAATCAGCCGGAAGTCCCCATCAAATTGCACCGATTCGCGCCCGAACCTGAAGACCCCGACTTTCTCCATAGGCGGAGCCGAAGAGTCGGTTCTTCGAGATAAGCTTCCATTTTATATGTACATGTGGATACTTTTCCTACATGTCGGAGTCGCGCTTCTTGACGAGACCAGGCCACCGTGTCCCTCTTTAGGAACCAGGACTCCTCTTGTGGCGTCTCCAGGAATCCGGGGTCCCTCGTCAGGGTGGCCACGTGTACCTGGTCCAGCAAGGACCAAGTTTCACGGGAAAATGCAGAAACTTCCTGAACATTGTCGGTGGGTCGTCAGGTGCAGTTCTTTCCTGCAGGGTCCTGCTCTTACTCGAAGATGTTCTCTGCAGCCTCCCTGATCTTGACGATGAGAAAGGAACGCTTGCAAAACTTGACGAAGAGCTCGGTCCTTTGTCAGGAGGCCTTCCTCAGCTGCGGCAGAGCGATCAGATAGACGTTCCCCAGGATGGCGCCGATCACCAGCAGCATCACGCTCACTGCCGAGAGAAACCTGACGAAGCGGACGAACCTGCGCCCCCTGGCGTCCTTTTTGCTCTGGTTGGGGAAAACGGCGAGACCTAGAAGAGGCCCCGCCAGAGCACCTGCCACGTGGGCTGCCCATCCGACTCGACCACATCCCAGCAAGGCCGGAACCGGAAGGGACGCCACATCGGCACCTGCCAGCAGCAGCACGGCTCCCAGCCTCCAACCTGCGTAGCGCAGCTCCCCGTGGCACTTTGTTGGCAATCATACCGGAAAAAAGAGGAATGAAGATACAAGGTAGAGTTCCGCGCCAAATGCATACACGAGGGAGTGCATCGATAAAAATGTCCCTGACGAAAATCTATTTCCTGGGTATCACCGACATCGCGAGTCGAGTGGCAAGGATTCGTCGGGTCCAGGATCAGAAATATCCGCACGAGAAAATTACCAGGTACAGGTGAGCCAGGTGACTGGTCAGCAAGGCGTAAACCCCTGCCGATGCTCCCACCAGGTAAAGGCTGGGCTGAAGAAGGGAGGCTCCCAGGGCACCGCACACCCCACCTCCTAGGTAAATCGTCGCCACCCCCAGGCGCCCCTGCTCCACCTGAAACGCGCGTTTAAAACTCCTTTCTTATTTGTCTTTAAATTGTGGCGGTCAGACTTTGAAATTCAAGTGTTTCCTGGATTTTTCGGGATCTTTATGGATACGGATATGGACGAGTATCGTTGAAAGCTCCTCGGTCACGAGGAAAGAGTCAAGGAAGGAGCCCCGTTTCATAATCGAGCCATCGACTCGGAAGAACAACTCTTTCCTCGCTTACCGCGAGTTTACACGCTCGGGCGAGCTCGCGCAACTCCACCAGGTGAAGTGCACCGATTAATCCCACCTGATCCCTAGAATCGGAACCTCGTTTTCCTCGCAACTTAACACCACCCCCGCGAGTCCGCCATATCGCGGAGTTCATCGTGAAAATTCATCGACCTAGAAGACCCCACGTGCGCATGGGCACCCTCGAGTGCCTCTAGAGGAACATCCCTGAACACATTCACATTGGTCTTCGTGGTTTAATTCCGGGACGTAAACAATTAATTTGAGAGGTCATCGATGTATCCGTCGACGCTTCCATCGGACTAAAAAACGGCCTCTGGAAGGGAATTAATTAAACTCGAGGTAGGGGCTGTTTCGCAGTCCGCCAAGTTGTGGTTATACAAATTCATCGACAGTTTCCGTGGATTCAGTCGCGGATCCAAGGTAAAAGAAATTAATCCGAGTGTCTTAATTGAAGGTAAAAAATGAATTTGATCATCGATGTATCCGTTGATGCTTTCGGAGGGATAAAAAGGGCATTGAAGGGGGGTGAAATAAATTCGGGAAAAGCGCGTTTCGGGGGTGCCTCTCGTCCGTGGAGGGTTGGCTCGGTGGTCCTAGAATTGGCTCGATTGGCTTACCTCGAGTGGCGTTGCCAGGACCAGCTGAATGACCACGTTGAGTGCGAGATGGAGTGCGTTCGAGTGGAGGAGCATGTACGAGGCGAACCTCCACCCTTGAACTCTCTGTCGAGGGTCGTAGACAAGCCACCTCCGCAGGGTAGCCTCGTCCCCGAGGCAGTGGACGGTGATCTGAGGGTTGTAAAATATTCTCGTGTCGTTAACTTCGTATTATCATTCCTATCCCGCGACACGTAGAAAAGGGCGTCGCATTCGCTTCTCATTTCCCCCCTGAGATAAAACTCGGTCTTGAATTTTCAACAAACTACGAAATTTCTAAACAACCCTCGAATCTTAAAATTCGTGGATCGCCTTTAATTAATTATTTTCACGTGAAAGAGCGGCGCCGAGCGTTCTTAGTCTCGCGAGGGGATTTTCGCGCGGGGTCGCTCCAAGTTTCCTATTTTCCGGGGGAGCTCTTAAAAGCCAACCGTGAGTCGTCTTCTGGCTGGTATCTCGCTGTAAAATATTTTCGTGCCGTTAACTCCGTATTATCGTCCCGATTCAGCGGCTTAATGCCGGCCGAATTTTCCATCCGCGTGGAGTGAGCTCGCGAATTCGGATCGTCCCGAAAAATCAGCTCTCTTTTCATCTCTCCCATCGCTTCTCCCCTGTCTCGTAAATTCTTCTTTCAACGGCCCCTTTCGAACCGCGAAAAATCGAAACTCTATCGCGCGTCCGCCTAGAAAATCAAAAACCCGACTTCGGATTTATATCCCCGCGTTTCCGCTTCATTGGTTTCGTTACGAGGACGTCGAAAAAAATGGAAGTAAACGGAATGAAAAAAAGGTTCCCCCAATTTTTCCACCGGGTTTTCATTTCGCTAATGCCTCGAAGAGATGGAAAATCCGCGGTTCGAAATGCCGGGCCATTAAAACGGTCTTGAGGAGGATATCGACCCCGGAAGGAGGCAGAAATTAATTCGGATCGCGAGTGTGCCAGACTTTTCCGCACTTTCATTTAACCGGCACGGGAAAAGCGCGGAATTAATTCCGCAATGCGACGCGTCTCGTGGATTCCTATTTTAATACTGCTTTCGAACTCCTGGGAATCTTGCGTGCAATATATCTCTTTGCGACCGTACGTACGTACATGTCGGTGTATGTACCACTGTATGTGCGAAAGGGACGCCCTGGTAGCGGGGAAAAATAAATTGGCGAGACATCGGCGAACCTCGTACTCGAGAAATCCAAGATTAATCTCGTAATGAACGCAATGCATCCCGCGGAATTTATCCCGAAGTCGTATCGAAGTGGCAGAAGAGATTTCCGCGAAACTCGGTCTGGAAAAATTCCCCACTGCGGAGGAAAAGCTTTGCAAAACTGAAATCCGCATTTACGAGGCATGGCATTCGACCGCTGCCTAAATTAATTAAGAATTGTGAGCTCAACTTTGTCAAATTAATTCCCCAAAAAAATGTATTTCGACCACGGGAGGGGATTTTCCGTTGAAATATCTCCCGTTCTCGGGACAAATCCGGGAAGCCCCTCTCTTTCCCGCGTGACATTTTCTCGAGCAAAAAACCCTCCAAATTAATCCCATGGTCCCTCAAGCCCGCCTGAAAAATGACAAAGCCGAGCTTTGTCGGCACGAGAGCCAGGATGAGCATCCTTGGCGGTCTCTATCCCCCATTATCAATTTTATAAAATGAAACGAAAACTACCCGAATGCAATGATCGCGAGAATAAAATTCTTTGAATTTTCCATCGAATGATAGAATTCCATACCGATAGGTTTATAATATGCAGAAATTAAGGGATATTAAATATATCCTCGTATTTAAAACCAGGGTGGTAACCGATGGGTGATAGATAATTGAATATGAATCTAGGTGGAGTGGACGAAACGTCCGTCGAAATAGGCGTGGGGTTGAATGTGTTAATTCGCGCGTAATGGCCAGTCGGTATAGCTGGGACCTGCGGAAGAGCGGTTCGACATTTCCGCCTTGGGGTGGCGGCCGCCTTTGTGGCCTCGCACCAATTACACCCCTCCGACATGGCGGCCGGTCTCGCGGAAAGAGCGAGCCGGCGGGGGTGAAAAACAAGCGAAAAATAATAATAAGAGCGAGCGCGCAGCCCGTACGCCGCCGCCGGGCTTGTTTTACCCTGGCGCGGCGAGCTCGCGGTTTTATTGCGTTACCGGCGCGCGGCGCGCATAACATCCATTTCCGGTGGTCTGGAGAACGTCTCGGGGAGCTCTTTGTGGTCCCCCCGACACCCTCGACCCGCGACTAGAGACTTCCCCGGCGAGTTCGTGCCTTCGCGAATTAAGAGTGCATTTAACTTCCCGGGCTCGGTTCGGTTGGGTTCCCGGAGAAGTCGGCCGGTACGACGCGGCGCTATTTTGCCGGTTGCGCGCGGCAAACCAACAGGGCGGCGCGGTACCGACTGCGATAACGATCACCGGTTTTTCACGCGAAGACTCGCACTCACGTTGGGAAATATCTTATCTTGATGTCTTATTTCTTAAGTAGAAAAACCAATTTATTTCGTTTGGTCTATTTCCGTTATTCCGATTCTTGGGATGCATTTTTCTGGTTTACAGTTTGTAATTCACGAGTTGCGCGCTGGAAATGCGTTACTTCGAGGATATCGAACGAGCAAGCTGCACCGATTTCGGAATACACGAGCGATTAACGTGAGTCTCATTCGTCGATTATCCTGGATGGACTTTATGCCTCCCCGGAGAATTTCGGCCGGCATAGCGGTCTCTTGGGCCACCGAGAGATACATGATGCATTTGGTTTTGCATGCACATGCAACGTTGCGATTTACGTGACCGATCGGCCGAGGGAGTTGTGCAAATTCGATCGCGGTGCCTCGAGGGTCCCGAAAAAACGCGAGGAGCATTGCCAAAAAAATCTCCGAATTATTTTCGAAAAACCGAGACCGACATTTTCCCGCAAATCTCATTTTCCTGTAAATCTAAGATAAGACATCTCGCCTTACGAATATAAGAAAAATTGGATAAATCTTAATCGTTAAGAAAAAATGACGCGATATATATATTTAACATCGTTCTTAACCTTTATTTTCACGTTCTAGTGGATCGACCGAGGACAATTTTGCGAGGTTAAGCGTTATTCCTGCCGGAAATTATTTTCGACCCCGCTCGAGGTAGCTGCACCGAGCGATTAACGCGAGTCTCATTTGTCGATTATGGTGGATGGACTTTATGCTTCCCTGGAGAATTCCGGCAGGTCTAACGATCCCCTGGGAGCTGCATTTGGTTTTGCATGCCCCGCAACGTCGCTCCCGATCTACGTGACCGATCGGTCGGCCCTGGGAACTTGCGGAGCGCTTGATGCACTTGGCCGATTGGTCGCTCCGCGTCGGGCGCATCGATGCTACTTGCGTAATTCGGCAACATTACCTAGGGGATGGGCAAAACGCGTTATCTCGGCTCCTCGGCGAAATTGCATTTGCACGTGAGCGTCGTGGGGGAATTGCAAGCGCCAAGCGCCACCTATGCATTCGACCAGGCGCGAGATTAACCCTTTCGCGGTCTAACTTTTTCACCCCACGAGTTATACCGACGTTACGGTTTCCCCCTATTCTAGGAACTCGGGGGAAGCGAGCTGCACTCCGGCGATTGCACATAGGTCCCGGGAGGATGATTTTCCAGGAGGAAGCGAGACCGGGCGAAGATTCGTCGCCTTTACCTCGATAATACTGATGCAGATCATGAGGTACGGAGGTCGCATTCGGAACTTCTGTTTCCGGATCGCTGGTGGGTGCCTGGGGGTGGGCCTGGGGGTGACGTCGTCGTCCCGGCCCTTCTTCAGGATCGGCGTGATGATCGTCGGTGAGTTCGGGGAACAGAGGGATCCAGTCTCGGGGTAGGTGGATTTCGTCAGGTCCGGGGAGGAGAGCGTCGAAGACGTCGGCGAGGTGTCCAAGAGCGCTGCTTCGGCGTCCATTTTGCCACCTGGGGGCAGAGCGAAATTTCATTTATCGATTGCGCATTTACCGTCGACCTCTGTTTTCAGGTACAGGGATTCAGATATGCTTTGAAAAAATACTCAAAATGGTAATATCTTCCAGAGCCGACTTTTGCCAGCTGGGAACCGCAGGGTGGGTCGCGAATTGTATTTCTCTATCGGGGCGAGGCTTGCGTGCGAATGCAACTTAATGACCCTAATAATTCAGGATTCGAATTTCTATAGATGGTACGGAAGCGCGACCGGAACAAAAGCGCGAAGCTTGCGGGGCCGGAGGATTCATAAATTGGCAAAGCTCGGATGGGAAGATGAACCCGTTAATGGCCTAGGGCACGCCGGTGTGCGTCAACGACTCGGGGAGGGAAATTAACGTCGGCGAATATTAAAAAAGTATTACCGAGGAGCGATGTCTCCATTACTTTCTTCCCTCGAAATTTTAGAGTAATGCCCGACTGCATTGCAGACGCTCGGAGAAATCGGTCTTCCAATTAGGGGCAGGTCCGAGCCATAAAAAAATCCACTAAAAATGGACGTTCCCCTTTTTTCCTAAATTAGAATATTTCCTGGTCAATGACCAGAGGTGCATTAAAAATTCGGAAAGCAGAAATAACGATCTCGCCCTCCGGAAGCAGGCTCGTGCCGATGCATAGAAACCTTCGTGCACTTTCTTCTCGAGCATACACGCGCACGGACGCTTCCAATTACATTTGTACACATTTGCCGAGTGGAAACGAGGCGAGGAAAAATGAAAGAGCCGAGGGCACGCGAAAAGACTCGACCGTGTAATTTGGGGTCAAGACGGCTCTTTCGGCGCCCTTAAGAGTCCTCCACCCGAAGACAGGGAGCACCGAAGTATGCAGACGAGGATACAAATTTGATCAATTACGCCGGAAAAGATAACTATTTATAATTTGTAATTTTATTAAAATCGCCCCGCTTAATCGCGGGGTTCGATGCCGATGTTTTGAAACGGGTCGATAAATCCCCTCGGTCTTATTTATTCGTTTCTCAGAGTGGATAATTTTATTTTTAAATTACTCGTCCTGGGAGTTATAACGTCCAATCGGGATTTTAAAATGGCTCCACTCCTACGTGTAATTGTTGTCAATGCACTTCGGGGGAAGAGCCGTTCGCGCAGTTGTCGCACTTATGCATGCAGGTCGCTGCGCCTATTTCCTGAGCACGCCTGCATAAACATTTCCAATTACTTCCGTAAACGTTTACAGAGTGGAAGCGAAGAGCAGAAAGCAAAATGAGCCGCGACGTACGGCAGGGAGAAGGAAAACCAATCGCATTTAACGAAGGCCCGGACAATATCCAAAATGGCGCCTCGGGAGAAATCGTTGCTTCCTAAAATCCATCCAGGGACTCCTTGCAATAAACAATTTCCATTTACGGCGTTTCAACGTTTATCGCCGCCGCCCGGAGCATGACTATCCGTGTCGATGCATAGCTTATGCATGCAGCCAGCTGCATATGCTTCCATGGATGTTTACAAACCGGATGCGAAGACGAGAGAGGCAAGAAAAGGCGCACATGCGAAAAGTCTCCTCTCGTTGCATCGTACACGTGGGAATAAATCGGAGAAAATCCAATAAGAACCGCGATTTACGTCAAATATTTTCCCGATTTATTCTTTCCGTCGATATTTAATGTACCCAAATTATTAACGGGTTCCGGGAATTTTTATTAGTATTTTTGTACGCGTTACAAGCCGAGGTGAGCGGGAAAGGACGTCAAGGAGAGAGAGGTGCATCCCTGGAAGTCGTCCAGGTGGTCCAGGAGCTGCTCCTGGCGTCAGGCAAAAATGGGGAGGAAAAGCTCGCCGCAGTCCTGAAAGTTGACCGAAACTCGAGCGGGGAGTTAATCGTCGAAAGTTCCGCGCCGGGCTTAATGAAGCATTGACGTGCAGGACCCGTGTACCTGTCCGCTCTTAATTAACATAATACCCACCGGCGGGGCATACAAATCAAGCATAATGTCAGTGCGCGCATGTCCCGGCTCTCGCCCGGCCAGCTAGAGGTGTAATCTCGTCATCGGTGTCTTCCAGAGTATGGTGATTAATCTCTGCCCCTCCTTGATATACCTACGCGCGAAATACCGAGAGGTACCATTCTCCCGCAATTTCCCTCCCCTTTGAAATCCCCGTAAAACCGTCATATCGTGACGCAGCTGTCAACGCGACGCGGAGATGTAACGAATTCCATCTCGATTACGATTTAACGCGCCATAAGGTGTTGCAGGGAACTTCCAGATAGGATTCGGCATCCGAAAGCGTGGCGCTGTCGAGGCGCCCTGCGAGTGCACTCTCCGGGTCCAAAGGGGTCCGCATCGGAAACGGCCGAGGAGGGAGGAATTTTCCGCCTGCGGAAATCCAGCATCCAGGGAGCCGAACGAATCGGTCATCGATTCTCTTCTCGAGCCATCATCTCCCGGCGCTCGATTCCATTCCAACCAGGTCGGAGCAATTATACCGGTTTATTTCCTCGTGTCGATTGCACTAGGTACGCCTCTTTACTTTTTAACTCGTAGTTGCCGTCGAGATCGACTCATGAAATATTAATAGCAAATGATTCTGGCCTGGATGCAAGTCCAGATGGAGCCGATGATCTCTGTCCCGTTCGCGTTGCCTCAAGACGTGGAAGAGCCTTTCCGATCCGGGGACGAGAGGGATCTTCCGCAGCGGAAATGGTCGGGGTGGAAAGGTATCCATCCGCAGAATTTTCCGCGGGCACCCAGCATCCGGGGAGGCGAACGAATCGGTCATCAATCCTCTACCCGAGCCATCTCCCGGCGCGCTCGATTCCGTTCCAACCAGGTCGGAGCAATTATGCCGGTTTGTTCCCCCGTGTCGATTGCACCAGGCTCGACTCTTTCATTTGAAATTCATAGCTGTCACCGGAGTCGAGTCGCGAAATGTCAATCGGAGATGTTTCCGGGCTGGATGCCCGCCTAAACAGAGCCTACGGCCTTCACTCGACTGTAATGCAACTCCTGGGACATCGGAAAATAATTGCAGGTATATGTTTTCTATCCATTTCACGGCCGGACGGAACGTCATCCGAGGGTCGAGGAATTCCGGGGAATAATGGCGGAACAAATTTTGGACGATGACACTTCCGACGGCCGCGACCCGGTGCACCGAGCAATTCATCTTCCTCTCGTAAACCAATTCGCTCCGAAAATATAAATCCCAGACACTCTCTCTCTGCATTTTCTTTGTTATACAATTTTATACGCGTATAAATCTCTCGTGACGATTTTTGCGGGTGGTCGCAGCTGGGAACTCGGTTCCATAGGCGACGGGAACATTAGACGTGGATTCGGAGGTGCATAAGTCTATAATGCCGCGAATGCCCAGCCTCGTCATTGTGGTCGAAAATACACCCCGGATAAATGGTGGGTGGTGGCACTTTCGGTGAGAATTATGTGCAAGGACAAACCGGGTGCCCCTTCGGTGCATAACGCGGGCACGTATGCGAATGCACTCAGCCCATATACCTGGACATTATGTAGCCACATATGTGTTGGCCCACCAGACGAGGCGTTTGGCTCGTTCGCTAATGTATGCCGCATACGTTCCGTAACGGAGCACCTCCAGAGGAACAGGGAAAACCCTTCATTTTCGACATTTATCGCCAATATCCGGCCGGCCATCTCGCGGCCGCATCTTCTGGAGATATTTTCCCCCGTTGGGGTAAACGACGCGTGTAAACGATTACCCCGTACATCACGAGCGGCCGAATCTACGCAGTTATCGGCAATTTTGCGGACGCCGTTAGCGGGATTGTTAACCGATAGCCCCTCCCTCGTTTCTCTTCCGTCGAGTAAAAAGTGGAGGTTAACTCTAGATATTGCCCGCATCGGTCCAGGACTGCATTAAGTGCCGGTGCTCATAAGCTACATTACCTTCCCGTAATTAATTACACCTTGAGAACGGATTTTTATACCCAAGGCGACTGAACGATGTGCCCAATTTTCGGGGGACTCATTTAACGCGCCGCGAATGCACTTTGAAAATTAGTCAGGCCCGTCGAATGACATTGCGTGGTCCCGTTCGAGGGCGAGGATCCGTTCTCAACGAAAGGGTGCAAGGTGGAGCTCCGTAAAACGCGGTTTACAAGGAAATACGACCTTTTTCCAGCCGTGACGTACAATGGGCTTGGATGGGAAATGAGAAAATCCTATTCGAGAACGGTGCACCCGGCTGCGGCACTAGAGGGCAAGTCTCCATGCATTGGGTGCACATTATGCCGCCAGGAGTTTCTATACTCCGGATCCTGAGCGAGGAGTTACCCGTGGTTAACGTATAATTTATATAATTATTTTCCGCCTGTATACGTGGCCCGAGGCTCGCTAGTTGGAGGTGCACTCGGTTCAGCGAGCGGATGCAGATTAAAGGAATAGAATGCAGACTTTCGGGACGCGGCTCACTCTTTTCGATCCCGGGGCAAGAAGAAGTCCGATGAAAATCGGAAAACTCCAGAAAGCGAGGACCCATGGAATTCTCGTGTCCGGAAATTGGAAAATCCAACAGTGCCCGGAAATCCAGGAATTATCAGGGACCGGAATTCCCAGGAATTTGGTAAAATTCCTTTACACGAAAGTGCCGCCACGTCCGTCATCCCTCGGATTCCTGGCCGATGCGCGCAAAATGCATCGACCGGTCTTCCGAATAGAAATCACCTCGTAGAAATTTTAATTAACCATTCCAAGGTAGCATCGAGTCGAGAATGACCAATTCGCGTGATGCCAAAGGGGGGTGCTTTCCTCGAGATTCCGTGCATAACTCCGCCATGCACGCGAGGTGCATCGACCTGCGCGTCGATGTAGGCACAAAGGGGTTCCATCCCCCGAATGACGTATATTACCGCGAACGTGGTTCAGAAAAATGGCATCCACCGACTTAATAAGAAAGGAAACGGCAATAATTTTGACCGTTCCCTGAAAGCGGTGCAGACGTAAGGTGCGCCAGATGC